AACAGTACCCCCCCCCCCATCCTTCTCCGCTATCGTTTACTAATCCGCTGTCTTATATTAACCCTACTATATCCTAACCTTTTCTTCCTACGTCTACCTCCTTCTTTTAGAAGTATATATATATATATATATATATAATCAATTACAATTTTATGAAATTGAAATCTGAGACATGAGCGGATACAAGGGGGGGGGGAGGTAGGACCTTCGCATCCCACTGAGATTTTCAGTAAAGCTTCTCAACAGTACTTAAGGGAAAGAAAAACTAGTGCAAAACAGGAAAAATATTTATCTTAATAAATAATATAATGTGTGATAAGTTAAAAACAAAGTTTTTAGTCTTTAGTCATTAATTTTTACTCTTGTGAGTCTTTTCAGTCAAAGCCTTTTTGTTCCATATTCTGGATTTTATGTTCCGAAATAAATCTAGCACCTCCACACGTAAATCCTGTATCCGTCCCTGATCTAAGATCTAACTGAAGGTTGCATTAAATATCATCTTTAAAAACTATAATTGCTAAAAGAATTAACCATGGGTTATCCCGGTGACCGAGCCTTAAAGGGACTTTCGACGTAATTTGACATGTCCTTCCGATTATAGAGTTGCATTATTTACATTAGCTTACACGAAGTACCCTGTAAACCTAGCAGAAGCAAAAATAAAAGATATATATATCCATTCGCATTTATGCAGCAGGGACAGGGTTTCACACTGGAACTCAGCCTGAACTAAGTCTTTGTCACAAATTCTGATTTTCCTATCCCCCTTTTAACCCATTGTCGTAGACCTTAGATATTTCAAACTATGAATTGTGTAATATCAAATAATAGGGTTACACTATAGGTTGAAAGGATACAGGGATTGGAAAACTCAATTCCTTTCTACTATTCAAGGTAGAAAAAACTTTTGATTAGCATATATATAACATTATGCATATACTATGATTTTCTATCAACAGAACGGCACAAAATAGCAAAATCGTGTGTAATTATTATTTATTACGAGTTATTCATTAAGTTTTTGAAACAAAGTCTATTTTAAATGATATTTCTAAAACAACAAAAAAATGTTTGAATAGTTGAAGATGAACTGAGTATGAGAGCAGACAGTGTTCTAATCCATCCAACAGGATCTATTACCTTCCTACAACCATATAATGGATATACAAATTATCCAGGATATACAGGCAAATCTCAAGCAAATGCGTCATATTTAGGCAAATATGAGACTAATGCGTCACATTCGCGTCGACATACGCAGAGTTATGAAAACAAAAAGGAGACTGAGAGACGAGGAGTAGTTTCAATAGGTATACAACAACAGAATATTCATACATTTATTCATTCATTCATCCTTCATTCTCATCCATCCTTCACACTCAAGTTTCACACACATCAATCAATAAACATCTGCCCTTCAACAGTTCTTTTTGTCTTACCGTAATTTTAAGGGTTTATTAAATATTGAATAATTAAACGTATTGTATGCGTCCAAAAAAACTTCTTACAACAAATATTACTAATGCTCATTGCTCAAATTATTCAAGAAAGCTCTAAGATTAAGTTTGACAACGAAAAGAACTAGATAGATGTCTCACGGCCCCCTAATAAACTATTTTTAGTTTTTTGCTGTTTTTAACTGTCTTGGAAATTTCATTTTATCATACCAATGAGATTTTGCACAACAACAGTAAGACCCATAGAACTGTGGAGCAAGAAGACGACAATTAAGTAATTTGTTGTTTTAAGTCAAATATTTTTACCAGTTGCAATCAAATGTCAACTTTTTAAGTGAAATGGTTCTGTTTACATTGCAAATTTGCTCTGTTTTACATTCATCAATCAATGGACTCTTTAAAACCACAACTTAAGTCTAACTGTAATGAATATCGTGTAACCCTATATCTGTAAACCTGAACTACGTTGATACCACCATTTAGCTTGATTATATTTTTAAATAACTAATTAAAACTTGTAGTTAAGTTCATTTGCTTAACCTATATCATAGAATTAAAAACAAACGTTAGTTGGAATAAAACTCTGCTTTGATTACAATGTGAGAGCATAGATAAATAAATAAACATAGATAGCTTATGTACGCAAAATCACCAAGAATTGTACAGTCCGCGAACTCATACTTCTAGGGGTCAAAGTTGTACTTCAATGATAAGCGGGGTGGTTTGGTGTTTTAATGGATTTCATAATAGAGTGTAAAATAACTCCGGGAATGGAACTATTTGAACAACAATATTTCACTCAGCAATATATCATATTGACGAGAACTGAAGAAGGACATGAGAAGGACTGAACTAACTTAAATTTCTCTACAGAACTCATGTTCACCACAAGTACTCGATGACATAAGAACAGCCAATGTTCACAACCGACCTAGTTAATCTTTATAATAGGAATATCTTTAAAACATCTCTGTACATTTATATCTTTCAAGATGAAAAATGTCATCTTATGCGCAATCTATCTTTATCTATGTGTGAGTGTAATTGTTTCTTGGTTAGCGAACAAGAAGCGTCTTGAATCACTTTCTTGAAAGATAGATATAGATTGGGCATTACATTGAGTTGTATCTTATAAGACAGATACCTGAAAATACAGACTGAGTCATATCTGGATTGGTATTGACTATGATATTTGTGATGAACCTTGAGTTCTAGATTGAGTTGTATCTTGTAAGACAGATGCCTGATAATACAGACTGAGTCGTATCCGGATTGATATTGACTATGGTATTGCTAAGTACCTTTGAGTTCTAGATCGAGTTGTATCTTGAAAGACTGATACCTGATAATACAGACTTAGTCGTATGCCGATTGATATTGACTATGGTATTACTGATGAACCTTGAGTTCTAGATCGAGTTGTATCTTGTAGGACAGATACTTAAGAATACAGACTGAGTCGTATCCGGATTGATATTTACTATGGTATTACTGAGGATCCTTGAGCTCTAGATCAAGTTGTATCTTGTAAGACAGATGCGTAAGAATACAGATAGAGTCGTATCCGGATTGATATTGACCAAGGTGTTATAGAAGAACCTGGAGTTCGAGATTGAGTTGTACCTGGAGTGGTATACTGATCAAAAAGTATTTATTGGAGTAGGGAATTTACTACATAACAGTCGTCTTCCTGTTCCATAGATTCATTGGTCTCAATGCACTTTTCTGGAAATTTGAATTAGATTTTATCTTAGTTTTCCTCAAACAATTTGTTTATAATATAACAAATCCGGAACGTGGCCATGTTATTTAATTATTAATCAATTGAGCTAATATATTAAACTATATATATCACTAACAAATACTTGCTTAATTTAGGTGAAACATTGTTACACTGCTGCAGCTTAGATATCTCTACAGAGCTTAGGTAGACAGGTTTTTTTTAAATCTTGTGGACACATTTTTAATTAATTCTTCATTCAAGGAGTAACGATTTACAACTGTACCTCTTCATATATTATTGATCGATCTTTGTTTTTGTATTGTCATCATTTCGATCTGCAGATTTTCCATAGAAAGCTACTCGCAGATTTGTTCTATATACAATCAAGGTGGGAAAATAGCTGAGATGTGATACATGTTAGATATAAAAACGAAGATATCCCCGTTATCCTTAGTCAGAAGAAAATTTGATCAATTTGGTATGCTAGGAGATGTTTATTACACTCTCAAATTGTACACTTTATTAACTCATTTTTATTGTTTTAGAACTGTTCTAAATATGATGTCTGGTGGTACAACAGATCTTATACAAGTTCTTCAAAAAGTTGAGCGCTATTGGAGGTTACATCATTATATGATTAGATTATCATTATTATCATTATTAGATGTACATAAGAAACAGTGGTATATCTGTTTCCCAAGTTGTCTCTAAGATTTACCGAACTACACTTAACACGTTCTGTGTGCCCAGGAAGATATTCTATTCATTTTTTATGAAATTTTTCTTTAAATACATTTTTAAATTACATAATCAAACATATTTTTTGAAGAAAAAAAAATTTGAATAGTTATTCTATTAGGCCATTGCATGATTCCAAACAAAACGGAAATATTTTGCTGGAAATCCGCGAAAACGGTCAAGTACCAACCCGGCCAATACCAACCCGGCCAGTACAGTACCGGCAGTCCACCTGCTCAACTTTTACCAAACCATACCTAGTCAATCAGCCTAGTAAACCAGCCCAGGTTGGTCAACCAGGCAACCACAGGCTGGTCAGTCGAACAGGGGATTCAGAACTGGATACAGTTGCCATGAAGTCATCAACAGTATACAAGGAAAATACAAATATTAACTTAGAACCAATTTTCATATATAAAACTTACTTTTAACGATTTGCATGGACTACGGATGCTTTAATGGTTAGGAAAAACTTTTTATAATGATTTTCACGTTTGTTTTCAATTGAATCTTCTGAATTAAAATACCATATAACTAATTTTGCAAAAGGGAAGATATTCAACAAGTTTTTATATTATTAGCTTAAAAAATTAAGCGTGTATAAAAATAATGTTTTCTAAAATACTGTTCAGTTCATATATATATATTAGTTGCATTCATTTTCAAGTTAATATTTCAATAAATTAGATGGAAGAGTTTGAAACAGATAGACAGAAAAGATACGGTCGTAGATTAGGTAAATAGTCTAAGAAATGGATAATAAAAATGATTAATTTCATGAAATTACTCTTCTAGAATTCCGTCCTCATCCTCAAACTGAGAAACCACGTCGTAAATTTGGAGATCTTGATCCAAACAAGAGCTATTCAACATCCGCCATTGATCAAGAGAATGCAGAGTTTTCTAAACCAATGCTCAAGAACTCAAGAGTTAAGATTGAGCCGGAGTTTGTAACAAAATCGTCGCAGCCAGCGATTGAATCTGTTTTAGGAAAACATGAAACAAACTTGTTAACTGCTCATGTTAAACTTATCACAGGTAGTTTGAAATTTTTCGATAAATTTTATTTTATTCAAAAATTTGCGTCGTTTACTAAAAACAGAAATAACATACTTACACAGACACTTGCAGTAATTGAGGCTTTGGCCATATCTCTTTGCAAGCCAAAGCCGTAGACCTTAGATATTTCAAAGTGTGATTTCTGTTAGATCAAATGATATATAGAAAAGAGTTCATTTGACAAATTTAATATTATAATACATGATTGTTTTACAGGTGCAAAGCTGAAGATTAAAATAGACGAGAATACAAGATGTGAGGAAGTTTTATCTTTGTCTTGTAAAACTCTAGGTAAAATCAAGAAACGTTTTTTTATTCATGTTTATTTAATTTTTCACTGAATATTAATGAATATGTAATATTTTATTTAGGTCTGGCCTCGACCAATGAAAGATTGTTTTGTATTTGTTTCTTGAGAAATAACGAATATTTTTATATTCCTCCGACCACGAAACTAGTTAAAACAGAAGATGAAAATGGAGAAAATGAAAATCCGCGAAAATCAAAAAGTCGACGGCGAAGCAGTTTGGCGGGCAGCTGGCGGGATGGCCGGACTTTTTATCTAAGATTTGTGGAGTTTCCGCACAATTTGGATTTTGTTCCATATTCTATTCGACATATTTTCTATTTGCAGCTTAGAAATGACTTTTTAGCAGGCTTGTACAGGTAAAAATTAATTATATTAAAATTTTTAAAAAAATGCAGATCTATAAAATTTATAATGTAGGATGAGCCTTGATGAATATTTTTCTATTGGAGCCAGTGCTCTGAAAGCAGATCTTAGATTTGCAACAACAGATTCAAGTCTAGGGTTTTGTTCTAAAGGATCTCGAACTAGCGTCGAGAACACCGACAGATTCCTTCTCGTAGATTATCTTCCGGTTCCAGTGATTAAATATACCGGAGAAAAACGCGCAAAAGACAAAATTTTAAAAATGGCGCGAAATACCGATTCCGGTAAAGACGACCTGGCCGTACTTAATAAACTTATTAACGCCCTCAGTAGAGACTGTGGACTTGCGTCTTTCTCGTATCTTGAAGCAAACCAGGAAATTAAACCATTTAGATTATTTTATTAGATATATATTTCATCTAAGTTCGCCCCTGCGTAAATTCCCATGTTAATTTCCCACCATTAAAAGTGACAAATTCCCATACTTTAGTAATTAAACATCATTAATTTAAAAATAAACATATTATCCTGATCAATGTTTGCAACTTAATTGAAAATTCGCAAGTTAAAATTTATTTTAATAATTTTTATTTTTTTTCTGAATTGACATTACTTTACACTAAAGATAACTCCGCTTTTTTTGCTTTGTACGTTAATAAAAGGACGTTCCCTTGGGAACCTTTTTTACAAAATTTCTGAATATGTAAAATAGTTTTACTTTTTAAAAATTAGGACGACATTCAAAGCGAAGATTTCATTCACTTTTACATTAATTCAAATTACATCAACTCATTTTGAATTGATGTACAAAAATATTATTCGTTTTATCTGTATCGAGAAGAGGAAAAAACTTCAAACAAGCCAATTTCTTTTTTTCTGCCCCCCCCCCCCGCCAAAAAAAAATATCTTATGAGGAATATAATAAAGATTTAATCAAGGAATTTAGTTGAGAGGAAAAACATAAACATTAATAATTTAAAATTCAGAGAATCTTAAGTTTTCCTTATAACTTTGATAAATTAATTTACTTCCTAAAACTTAACTTTTAACTTAAACTTGATAAAAGTTATATTTTATGTATTTTTTATGAAGAAGTTCGTCTCCATTTCTTTTCTTTTATTTATCCTGAATGGTTTGGTTTAATTATAGACTATTGAAGCAAGAATAGGGAATGAAGGAATATCACTGATTGAAAAACCTAAGGTTTGTATTAACCCTATTCCTGCTGGGTTGTCAATTTTACCCCCCTCTGTAGTTTTTTTTACATAACTCAAAAGACGGTTTCAGGATTTTATGTAACTGGAGTGGGGGGGGGGGGGGGTTGTAAAAAAAAATTCTTTTTAGTTTTTAGTTTAGTTTTTCTAAATTATTTTAAGTTTTGCAAAAAAATTTGCATATTTGAAATGGCATTGTCAAGGGCTTTTTAAGAATGTATATTAACATTTTTTGGACATTTCTTTTGCAAACATTTTTAATAAATAACTGGATTTTGCAACAAAATTTTTTTTTTTTTTTGGTTGCAAATTTGCAATTTTTTGCAGATTCTAAAAGTAGAGCATAAGAGCTTTCCAATGATGTATCATTTGTCATATTTTGACATCAATCATGGGATTTAGAGGGGGGAGGGGGGGGGGGGGTTACTAACACTTAAAGCAAGAACTGCAAAAAAAAGTTTTTCTTAATCCTCTTGAGTGTTTAATTTTGGTGAATAATTCAAACGTTGCCCCTTTTATAACTTAAAGGGACTGTAAATTTTCCCTCAATATATAGAGTGAAATGTCCGATTAAGAACGGTATCCTTAAAAGTTTTGTCTGTTTAAGATAGAATGAGCTATCCATGTTTCTCTATGCAAAGTGAAGATATCTTTTACATTTTTGATAAAATAAAGTTTTAAGAGTGGTCTCTGTGTATCGGTAAACCCTTCTGTGAATGGAGGTTGACTTGAATTTACAACGACAGTTTCTTCAAGGTTTGTCTGTATCTAGGACTTGTTCTGTGGAAGTCAGCTGCTCAAGCTGGTCAGCTGGGTCCAGCTCCGAGAGGTCAGATGTACAGGAGAAAATATTCAGTTCTACGATGCAGGGTCAGAAACCAAGGTCAAACTAGGGTTTGGATCAAGGTCAAGGTCAATAGCAGGGTTACTAGAAAGATGGAGTAAACTACACTCATTGTCTTCCGATATACCAGGTATACTAATCAATAAACCAGGTTAAGAGCTTTGTTAGTTTGGGTTGTTAATCCCTTTTATCTAATTAAGATATTTTTTGGTTCAAGGGGATAATTTGTTTCTTTCTGAATATTTTAGAAGGTCAATGACGGGATGCAAAATATGAGACTGTTCTTAACGGATCAAGCACTTAATCGCATCAGATTAAAAGTTTCCACTGTGAATATTAAACGAAAGCTTTTTAGATTAGCGCTTTTATAAATAAAAATTTCGACCTTCTAACCAGTTATTTTCACGATGTTAATGCACAGTTTGTCTCTCTCATTTCTCTTTCTTCTAAAATAATTGATAACAATTTTGTAAAATTAAAGTATTGGTCTTTTTTATCAAAAAACAACGAAATTTTTAAATGCATATATTAATTAAAAATCTTTAAATATATATCTTAAAGTTACAATTCAAATTTAGCTGATTTTATAACTAAAACTTATCTATAAATACATCTGATATTTATAAATATATATAGATCGTGGAAGACGATTTAGAGAGTTGTACCAGAAGCTTCGAAACCATGTGGTTGAACCTGCACTCGGTGGAGGAGGACGGGGAGGAGGAGGAGGAGGGAGGGCAAGCTCATCAGATAGGAAAAAAAGACGATCTCTTCCCTCATTTAGTTCAGGCATTAATATTAACTTTAATAAAAAGGGTTTTCACAAAGAAAATTTAAAAGTTTTGAAAAATCAGAAATATTCAGGGAATTTGTCCAATGGAAAACAGATCTATGGGAACCAAATTGATGTTATAACCCAAGCATTTCATAGATTTAAAGATATATTAACAATACTACATTAATTTTGGAAATACTTTTACTTTTATAAAGGATTTGTATCTAATAGAATAAAATATTTATCTATATAATAATTATTTTTAAAAGAATTGAGTTTTTTCCATTGCTCAAACTCGAATTTTCTATTAATATGTTTATGTTTTCAACATGATGATGGTGTAAACCTTTGGTATTTTATACTTTGACTAGTAGACATAGCAGAATTTGCATAAGGTTTACACCCCATGACATAGGTTGCAAAGATATGGGGATTTGAAAATCAGAGTTTGTGGCAAAAACTCAGTTTCTTTGTAATTTCAGTTGGTGAATTAAAACATGGTTATCTGGAAGCAAAAACCAGGTAATTATTAAATATAATTAGTATTCAGTTATTTTAATTAATTTTATATTGTAATGAAACATCTTCTTGTGTATTTCTATTTGTGTACTTCTAGATGTTCCATACGAAGATTAAAACACTATGGATCCATGGCTAACAATTTACTAGTGGGAAACCAGTCTAATTCTAAATTAATCACGGATCCTGGGAATCAGTCTAATGACCTTCTTGGTCACGGAAATCCGTCTAGTGACCTTCTTGGTCTCGGGAATCAGTCTAGTGACCTTCTTGGTCCCGGGAATCAGTCTAGTGACATTCTTGGTCTCGGGAATCATTCTACTGAGAACCTACCAGGCTACAAAACCCAGTCCTCTAGGTCCTCTAATTCTTCCCTTCCGTCCTCGGAGGACGGTGCTGATCAGAAAAAGCTGAAACTTGACGAGGTTAGAATGTGCAATCCCGAAACTAAAAAGCCTGTCGGACATAATGGAAAAGTCCCAGAAAAGGGATACAGGTAAATATTTAGATTTAAAGAATTTCTATTTCTTTTTCAGTTCATAAATATGTTGCAAACTCACAATTTCCTCTCCTTATATCTTTTCAACCTGATGGTTTAAACTTTTTATATTTCACAATTTGACTACTAGATCTAGCAGAATTAATAGTTTGAAATATCGATGGTCCACAACGTTCCGTTGCAAAGTTAGGTTTTGATGTAAGTTTTCATATCTTATCAAGGAGGTATAAATATAAAGATTGGGTTTAATTATTGTAAAAAAAAATTAGTTTATAGAACAACAATCTTGTCTTGTTTACAATCTTGGTGTTTTTATAAATATTTCTTGAGCTGTATACACACCTAGCCCTATCTTCATAGTTTTAATCTTTATTGTATTCACAAACAAATTTGTGTTTAGGTATAGAGTATACCTGGAGAATGATGATTATGAGGATAATGACTCTAGTATGGAGAACTCCAGGGTTCTCAAGAACTCAAGCCTGGAGCACTCCAAAGTGCTCAAGAACTCAAGCCTGGAGAACTCCACCGTTCTCAAGAATTTAACCTTGGAGAACTCGAGACTCTTCCACCTTGACGAACCTGAACTGGGACAAGGACAACCTGGCAAACCTCTACCTGTATCTCGGAAAGGATCTATTACGTTTGGCAATACAAAGTTAAACTCTGAAAATCCTTTTCCAAAAAACGGAGTAAAACAAAACCTGAAACAAAAATCTGAAGACCAGATTAAACCCAAGGAAATTGCTTTATTCAGAAATAGAATTGATTTAAAGATAAAGTTTTGACTTTAACTAAAACTTTTGAGACAGTTTTTAAAGCTTTCTAAAGTAAGTTTGGAAGTGATCCTCATTGATGAAATTGATGAAGATTTTTGAAAATTCGATTTTTTCTAAATAAAGTAAATTCAGGAGAGAAAACGATCCCACACTGTTAGAATGGGAACCAGAGCTTTGAAAGGTAAAAAAGAGTTTATAAGTTTTTTTTTATGAATTTTCATTTTTCTATAGTGTATGATGTGGAAATAATTTTTTATAAATACAGATGTTTTGTGATTTAAAATAAAAGATATGATAAAACCATTTCTAATTCAACCAACAAATTGGTAAACTAAATTTGTAAAACGGCAAAAAGAAGTAAATTTGGCAAAAATTAGTTATAGTTTTAAAAAAAGTAAATAGTTGCCTATATATAAACTTTTTTTTTAAAATTTTATGACTTGATTATTTGACGTTTGATATTCTGGTATTTATGTATTGTTTAGGATCTAGTATGGAGAACCTTCTACGCCAAGGATCTGAGAGAATAGAGAAAACTAAATCTAGTTTCATCCAGTTTAATCCATTCTCATCCAAACTATTCCATTCATGCGAGAACATTACGGAATCCTTCATCCATGATCTTAAACCCTTTCCGGGCACTAAACTTATAACCAGGAGGTCAGCTTCCGGTCTTGCGAAGGAGACTTCCGGTCTCGTGAAAGGAGCTTCCGGTTCGTTGTTGGATACAAAATCAGCCTCGAAGACGGTTTCAGAACACTCTCTCAGTAATATACAAATACTAGGTAAAATCGTAAAGGCAGCTAAAAGCGGGATAAAGCTCCTTACCTATGAAAGAGAGGGGGTTAGAAAATAGAGGGGTTCCTCCTCACCTTGAAAAAAAGAAGCGGTGGGAAGTTTTTGTTTGTTTTGAGCTTGAAATTATTATTAGAAATCCTACTTCAATTTCCGTTTTATACAAGATAGAACAAATATTTCCGATGACTTCCTTTATAAACTGTTCACTCAGGAATTAATAACTTCAAGTTTACCCGTTTAGCATTTAATTATTTTATATTTTCTTTTAGGAGAAACTCTGGATTCAAGTCTTTCAGTCTCATTGTTAGGTAATTATCTTATTCTTATACAAACTATACTTTTAAAGGCCGGAATACATACAGTGAGAACCAGGAAACTGTTTAATAGGAAGACGACATTCCAGCAAAAATAAAGTGCATTTCATGGTGTTACAATGCAAAAAGTTTGGCCAGTAACTTATCTAATCACTTAAGTCATAGCTTCAGATTTAAGTCGTCTTCCTATTCCAGACTTTTATGGTTATCACTGTATAACTTGTCTCGAATATGAAAAAAGTTCTAATTTCATTAAAAATAATTTTTTATTAATATATTAATTATCATTATTATTATTTATTATAAAACCTTGTCATAAAAATTGTAAATAAGTCTTTTATTTAAAAATTTAAAATTAAATTGTATATAGAGAGGTTTGAGAATATGGATACTGCAGAATGGGAACCGACAAGAACACTGACAAGACTTGTTCTCAGGTATTTCTAATTTGTGTCATTTTTTATATTTTTGATGCTTTTTTTGTAAATAACTTTAATTCAATATTCAATTAAGAAGAGTATTTCAATATGGGTAAAATAATTCAAGGGTTTTAGGACAAAAAAAAGCAATTTTACTTGGTTTTAAATCGCAATATTCCTTCGCTGTGCAAAACTACCAGGAATTATTTAGATTCTTGAAAATGTAATAATGCAAAGTTTATTTAGTTTAAAAATTTCACAACTTATAATTTATAGCGTATAAAGGTCGTCATTGTCTGTGATTATTGATGAAAATCGACCAAACTGAAATAATTCTTTTAATTATTTTACTTTAGGAGGAATAAGATGACAGGAAGGTTAGGAGTTCGAATCACGCAGACTCCGGGCGGTATATATGTCGAGAGTATAGAACCAGGACAGATGACAGTGGTAGAGGTTAGAGAGCAGTCAGACACTGATAGCGGCGTATCTTCAATCCCCCAGGGACAACTCAAGCCAGGAGATAAGATTCTAGAAGTTGATGGAACAGGGATAGAAGGATTAGGATACAAGGAGGTTCTAGATTGTATCCAGAGGTCAGGGGATACTGTGCAGTTCCTTGTATCCCAGCTAGTGTAGCAGTATCCTGACTAGCATATTTGTATCCCAGCTAGTGTAGCAGTATCCTAAACCAGCATATTTTTATCCCAGCTAGTGTAGCAGTATCCTGACTAGCATATTTGTATCCTAGCTAGTGTAGCAACATCCTAAACCAGCATATTTGTATCCCAGCTACTGTAGCAGTATCCTGACTAGCATATTTGTATCCTAGCTAGTATAGAAGTTTCCTAAACCAGCATATTTGTATCCCAGCTAGTGTGGAAGTATCCTGACTAGCATATTTGATCCCAGCTAGTGTAGAAGTATCCCGACTAGCATATTTGTATCCCAGCTAGTGTAGAAGTATCCTGACTAGGATATTTGTATCCCAGCTAGTGTAGAAGTTTCCTAAACCATTATATTTGTATCCCAGCTAGTGTAGCAGTATCCTGACTAGCATATTTGTACCCTAGCTAGTGTAGAAGTATCCTGACTAGCATATTTGTACCCTAGCTAGTATAGAAGTATCCTGACTAGCATATTTGTACCCTAGCTAGTGTAGAAGTATCCTGACTAGCATATTTGTACCCTAGCTAGTATAGAAGTATCCTGACTAGCATATTTGTACCCTAGCTAGTATAGAAGTTTCCTAAACTAGCATATTTGTATCCCAGCTAGTGTAGAAGTTTCCTAAACCAGCATATTTGTACCCCAGCTAGTGTAGCAGTATCCTGACTAGCATATTTGTACCCTAGCTAGTGTAGAAGTTTCCTAAACCAGCATATTTGTATCCCAGCTAGCCAAAGCTAACCAAGTTTATCCATTAGTCAAAGTTGCATCCCAGCTAGAAAAGTTAAATCTGTATATCAACCCAGGCCAAAGCTATAATTCTGCAAGTATAAGCGTCCAAAAAAGTTATTTTCGTGTAATCAACAAAAAGGTTCCCTATTTAATCATCCTATATAAAAACGAAGCTATGCATCTCCCAACCAAGGCCTGGTAGAAATCCTAATGTTAAATTTTCTTTCTATAAATGGCTGTGCGTTACTTACTAAACTAAATTGTAAATAGATTCAACATTTGTATATAATACCTACACTCTACAGTATGTTAATTATTTAGTTATGAAATAATAAATATTAAAAAATATTAAATTGTATTTTTATTTTGTATTTTGTATTTTGTCTTAACAACTTATCTAAACAGTGTAAGAGAGGAATTGATCACCGAAAAGAACACATAATGATTTATTATGATAAACGGAAAACCCATTTTCTCTTCTCCATTTGGCGAAAAAAATAGTCGCAATTGTTTTCTCAATCGGCATTTAACGATGAATATCAAAAAAAATTCAGCATCAATTCCGATTTAGCCATAGGTCTCTGTCAAAATTATACATTTTAATAAGTGTATAAATAATAAAGGATAAGTTTGATTTGACGGGTTCATTTTGAAAATATCAAGAGCGCGACACTTAATACTTACAGTGTTTTAACAGATACGAAATTAATTAAAACAACAATTAATTTTTATTGAAAGATATTTAAAAGCATGTATAATAATGAATTGTAATATTTGTAATAATGAGATGAATGTTTATCTATGAAAAGATGATTATCACAATTTAAGTTTCTAAGTGTTAACAATGAAATATATAATTAAAACAAAACAAACGGTAAAAATATTTAACTGTTAGCTAGTATAAAGGTTCTGAATAAACATGAACATTCAGAGGAAGATGAAATTCAATTTTTCATCTTTTTCACCCCCTGAAATCTCGTTGAGATAGATTCAGTGTCTCTGTTGTAATAAAACTATTCTATTTGTCTGCGTAAATACCCCCTGCGGAAGAGGAAAAGGCTTCAACTGAAAAATGTTTGATGAAAAATTATAGATTGAATAAAAAAAATAAGAAAGAAATTGACTCTTTGCCACAAATTAAAATTTTCTAATCTACTTATCTAGGCAACTTAAAGGCGTAAACCTTTTATATTTCAAACAAGGATTATTTGATCTAACATAATTCAGAGAGAAATATCTAAGGTCTCCGACATTGGGTTGCAAGGATATTGGTATTCGAAAATCAGAGTTTGTAACAAAGACTCAATTCCTTTGATGAAAAATTAACCTTGAATTTTGGCGGATCATGCTGAGTTTTGATTCTGGTCTTGGACAATCTCTTTCTATCTTATATCGGGGGTGATAGCAATGTGACAACTGTGTGATAGCAAGACAACTTTTGGACTCAAGTTATGATGTGAAATTGTCCAAACAATTGTGCAGTGTACACAGATCCATTTCACTTAACAAGTTTATTTTCAAACTATACTGAAAATACTATTTTCTTTTAAACATCATGAAAGTCACATACAACTTTTTACTGTCGTCTTTTAATTCCACAGTTTAATGGGTACCATTGCATGTTTCAGGTATTTTAAGCTAAAAAAAGGAGGTATGGTTAGATTAGAATTGAATTTTATATCGAGCGGTTTAAACTAAATTGCATCTATTGTTTCTGCAATGAATAAGGTTTTCTTTGAAACAAAAGTACAGTATGTCGTCTGCTTTATTTCAAATCCGCTATTTGTAAGAAAAAATGAGTTCTCAAGATTGTTGTCAGATTGTTGGCATTTCTGGCACTTAAAGTTGAGAGTTTTTTGGCTTTTAGTTTAGCTAAAAATGGCCTCCCACTATGGCTCAAAGTGTAAAAAAACGGAAAAAATAAACTGCTGCATAAATGCTTCCAAAATTAATACCAGAAGTAACCCGTATGGTATTAAAAAAACTGAGTAAAGTACTAATCAGCATACATACTCTATTCATTAAATACAATTTTTAGTTTAATATCTTTAAACAATTCGCTGAGTAAGATAGATAAATAAACTTAAGGACGAAAAAAGAAATAAAAAGATTTTAGAAGAGACTAGCCTGACTGTTTCTAAAAGTATCTTCAAGTTGAACATCTGGTTGCGCAACCTCATCTGAATGCACATAATATATTATTATTATTTGAACAGTAGAGACAAAATTACATTAATTACGTGAAATTAGGATCCAATTAGTTTAAAAGACAGATGGTCCATAATTTGAAATATTTGTTATTCTAAAAACCTACGCAGTATAAATATTTAATGAACAGTATATTGAAATCATGAAATAGTGAAAACAACATGTTTTTGTAGAAACAGTAGACGTATATTTTGGCAGGTGTGTGAAGGGTTTTGAATTATAAAATTTAGATTTTGATAAATTTGATCATAATTGATCATAATTCTAAACTGAAATAAGGAACAAGGAAACAAGAAACAAATATTTATTGACAATTTAAATATTTTTGTATTGAAACGTCTTTCTTTGTCAAAAAGAATTTTATTCATCAATTTTTAAGTAAGTTAAGTCTATCTACCTATCTTTATATCTAATTTGTTATCTCTCTAGTTATCTTTTTGTCTATCTGTCTATCTACCTGTTTTTAGTCTAACTGTCCATCTGTCTATATGTCTGTTTATCTGTCTGTTTATCTGTCTATCTATCTATATGTCGATCTATCTTTCTTTCTATCTATTTTTTCATCTGTTTTCCTATCAGTCTGACTGTCTTTCTATTTGTCTGTTATCAGTCTATTTATCTGTTTAACAATCTATCTATCTTTCTATTTTTCTATCTATCTATATGTCGATCTATTTGTTTATCTTTCTGGCTATCTTTCATCTGTCTATTTGACTGTATTTTATTTGTACAGCTCGATATATTTTATCCGTCTATCTGTCTAACTATCGATCTATCTATCCGTCTATATATCTGTCTATCTACTTGTTTCTCTATCTGTTTATCTGACTGTATATATATGTGTCTATCTGTCTGACTGTCTATATATTTGTTTCTCTATCTTGTGACCAGGACCTTGATAACATTTATAAAATAATAAATACAATGACCAATCTAGTTTTCTGACAGAACTCAGTTGGAGTTTAATCTACTAATTTATCAGAATTAATCATTCGTGTCATATGCTGAACCGTCAAATCATCGCACACTGTCCTATAGAGGTCAATGATAGCTTTATTTTTATTTTGCTGCTATTGTACTTTAGAAGTCATTGATAGCTTTAAATGGCGTTTTAACATTTCCTTTAGAGGTCAATGATAGCTTATAACATTGATGACATTGTTTTTTAGTCTGCTCTTTTTCTAATATTTAAATTCACCCTACATGTTTTAAAACGTTTAAAACTAAACAAAGAAACTAATTGCTTGCTCTGAACTCTAACTTTTTTATCCCTAATCTTGCAAACCAGATGATGCAAAACTTTGATAGTTCACACTAAGACTATGAGATCTCATAGCTTGAAAGGTCTATGAAACCAGATTTCAAAGATATAGAAGTTTCTGTACCCGTTTATGTAGTTAATTGTCCTTTTCCTTTGTGTTTATAAACCTACAGGGTGTCCCACTCCGTATTAGATAGTCAATGGGTCTAAATTACAATTTCTGGGACTAATTAGAAAATTTAAGAAAAATAAATATTTTCAAAAATTGAATTAGGCTTATATAAGAATTTTCTTGGAGGAAATGCTATGTTTTTCGAATATTATATGTTTATTTTGTCAAAACTTTTGTGTGAGATAACGATAGTCAACAATGCTTGCTATCCACTGTGCCAATTTGAATTTGAGGTATAATTGCTTGAACTTAGTTATCGTTGCTGGTTTCCGACCATAGAGGATATAAAAGTGGAATTGTAAGTTTCCAAAACGTTTTAATTATTTTTTTGACTTAAAGTACGGAATATCATGGTTCCATTAAAATATATAATTCTTTCTTGAAAATCAAATGAAAATAGAGGTATTATGAAGGACCGTAGATTGTCGTCTTCTGTTTCCGGTGCAAAAGCCAAACCAAATATATATTTTGTCATTCACTTTTACCAAATTACCATGTTGTATTTTAGAAATAAATTTATCTTTAGTACGTTTTGTTCTCGTCATTTTGTGTCGCTACATTTTGGTGACCCCGACGTGATTACTTTTTCTCTAAAAAAGTTTTCTTTTTCTCTCGCTGACGTGCCTGGAAATGGTTTCAACCGGGTCCTTGTGTTTTCCACGCCCAACGCCATAGTAGGGTTTCCGGTGATTTCAAGAATTTTTCTTTTTTCAGCGTTGGAAGCGATCAACGAGATGTCAACTGATCAACTGATGAAGTTTCGGCCCTTTAACAACAGTGTCAATGAAACTTCCAATATTCTGGACCTGGACCGATTCTCCTTCAGTTTGGTTCTTACAATCTGAGGCTCAGTTCGAGGACAAAAAAATCACCTTTTCCAGGACAAATATTACAAACTGTATTGCCGCTCTACCTGGTTCGAACCCCCCCCCCCTGGTGGACCTTACAAAGCTTTGAGGAGGCGTCTCATCCAGATGTATTGAATAAGGATTTTCAACGTCACCACCAAGCCCTTCATAGTTTACCCCTGTTGTCCTCGGAGTTAATGGACATAATGCTAATTGTTCTTCCTGAGGATGGACAACCAGGTTTTTCTTCAGAGTATTGTTCATAGACAATTTTGAATATTAATCGTTTTGGATGATTTTATAAATAAGCCTATACTCAAATTGTAAATTTTTCAATGAATATAAAAATGAAACAAAAAATTATCAATATTTAAATTTCATTTTAAAGATTATCGTGGTAATATTAAATATTTTTAGAAGACCATTCTCAAGATAAACAGGCACTTAAAAACAGATCAATTATATTGTGCATGAAAGGACTTGCATCCAACCATCTGGTAAACTAGACAATAATCTGATCTCAACTTATGGTTTACTTTTACTCTTTATCATAATATCTCACTTAATAAACGGTTTAATAAAGTTAGAATATGGACCAAAAAATTATAAAAAAAATTATAAAAAATTATAAAAAAATTATAAAAACAGATGGTCCATAATTTGAAATATTGGTTATCCTAAAAACCTACGCAGTATTAATATTTCATGAACAGTAGAGACAAAATTACATTATTATTATTAATATAAAATTTGAAAAGAATGTTTACCATCGTAGTAATAATAATAGTATACTTCTTCCTCTCCCTCATTAGTTGATAGCTCTACAGCTTGTTCATCAAGTTCTTGCGGTAAAATAGGGTCATTTACCGCTTCTAATAGGTTTGGTTTATCTACCGCTTGCGGTAAGAAAAGTTGATTTAATTCCTGTGTGGGATTAGGTTGATTTGTTTCCTGTAAAAGAGATGGTTGATCTGTTTCCTCTAACAAAGGTGGTTGACTTTCAACTTGTTGATTGGTTTCAACTGCAACATCAACCGGTATAAAAACTGGTGGTTGGGCAGGTAGACTTGATTGATTGATGATTGGCTCCAGATCACTTTGAATGATTGATTGATCAACAGTTTCAGGTTCATCTACTTTCTCCGACTCAATTAATGATGCATTGACAGATTCCTCGGGGGTAGGATCATCAAGATCAACTGTTGAAGTTTCTTCTAAAGAGGACGAAGCAGGGATAGAGGCTACAGGGAGAACAGGAACATCAGCCTCTACAAGAGCAGGATTAATCTCCGGGGTCTCCGAAGGAATCCTTGCGTGAGGTCTAATCCTTGAGTTGAATCCTGGTTTCCTGTTGGGTTGGAAACCAGGACGTAGTAAACCTTGTGTTTCCCGAGCTTCATTGTTTCCTGCATCTGCTGAATCCAGGTCTGACTGACCGACTTGATTGCCAGCTGACTCAATGACAGTTTCTCCGGCCAGTCTATCAGCTGTACGTTCTGTTTCCAAATTCTGGGTTAATCTGTGACGTGTTCTAAAATACAATTTAAGAGTTAAGAGAGAAGAAGCTCTGATAAGGTTGATAAATGCAAGAGCTAAATATAAGTTTATAGTTTAAAATGTTGATGTCTAGGGCTAAAAGCCCAGTCTTAAACCTTAGTTTTCCCATATCATCTTGTTATTGTTTGGCTCATTGTTGTATAAATATCTACCTTGAACCCTCTGGTCTCTTGACCCTACTCTAGGTTAGACCCTGAACCTTGATACCTGGATATATCCTCGTTAACATGTTGAACCCTATTCCTGGATACAGCTTCATGCTGGGAACCCTGGATATCCAGAGTTTAAATAATTAATTTTTAAAATCTGCATAGCAAACAATTAATGTAGAGATTTAAAGGATTTACTTAAAATAGATTATTGTAAAAGTCAAATTAATAAAAAAAATGTAAGAATTTTTTTTTTCTCTAAATATCCCTGCGCGGCCCAGGCATCACTGAAATAGATAAAATGTTTGATTACATTTAAAATAAAAAAGAAATTAGTTCAATTTAAAATCTAATTTCACATTTTCCTGATATAATTAAATTTTATCATTTCCCTTGAAGTCTGTGCGTCGTGTGTTTCTGCATCTTCCGAATTATCAAGTTCTGATCCTTCGACCTTAAAAATATTTTGTATTTTTACAGATTTAGATTCTGAGTGAAATAGGATTGTGAGGACTTAATCATTTGAATGTTTTTTTTAGCCAGAAATTTATAAGTTTAGTTTTATTTTTTTTTGTCTACCTTCAGTTGGGCTCTTTTCCTAGCACTGTCAACCATACTCAATTTTATCCTAAAATTAAGTATGCTTAATTTTTTAAAATTCCATTGCTATGTGAATTTACATACATTTGCTTGGTATTCAAAAAACTGTTCAGCATTTTTTGTACCTTTGTCTGTTGATCGGGGCTCTCGCTGGAGGTTTAGTTCCAGCTGTGTTGAACCTATGAACAAACTGAGCACTATCAGGACGCCTGCAATATTTTTATATTTTTAAAACTTGGAAATAATAGATTTCAACTTTATTATATTACTCGTTTTCCCTATAACAAAATTTCTTTATATTATTTCTCCAATAAACGTTTTCAAAATAATTCTCATTATTTTATAAATCCTTCCAATTTCTTAATCTTATTCTTGATCCTGATCCCGATCCTGATCCTGATCCTGATCCTGATCTTGATCCTGATCCTGATCCTGATCCTGATCCTGATCTTAATTCTGATCCTGAACCTGATCCTGATCCTAATCTTGATCGTGACCCTGATCCTGATCCTAATCCTGATCCTGATCCTGATCCTGATCCTGATCCTGATCCTGATCGTGACTCTGATCCTGATCGTGACTCTGATCCTGATCCTGATCCTGAGTCTGATTCTGATTCTGATTCTGATTCTGATCCTGATCCTAATCCTGATTCTGATTCTGATTCTGATCCTGTTCCTGATCCTGGTCCTGATCCTGATCCTGATCCTGATCCTGATCCTGATTCTGATCCTGATCCTGATCCTGATCTTGCTCATGGTCTTGGTCTTGATCCAGATCCTGGTCCTGATCCTGTTTTTGATCCTGATCCTGATCCTAATCTAGCACCTGATCCTGATCCTGATCCTAATCTAGCACCTGATCCTGATCCTGATCTTGATCTTGGTCCATATCCTCACCCCGGTCCTGATCCTGATCCTATCCTGATCCTGATCCTGATGTAGCATCTGATCATGATTCTGATCCTGATTCTGATCCTGATTCTGATCCTGATCCTGTTCCTGATTTAGTACCTGATCCTTTTCCTGATCTAGTACCTGATCCTGTTCCTGTTCCTGATCCTGATCCTGATCCTGATCCTGATCCTGATCCTGATCCTGATTCTGATTCTGATTCTGATTCTGATTCTGAACCTGATCTTGATCCTAATCCTGATCCTTTTCCTGATCTAGTACCTGATCCTGTTCCTCATTTAGTACCTGATTCTGTTCCTGATCTAGTACCTGATTCTGTTCCTGATCTAGTACCTGATTCTGTTCCTGATCTAGTACCTGATTCTGTTCCTTGAATGCTGAGGAGTTTGACCGGCATCTTTAGCTCCAGGAACAGAGGACCGAATCACTTCATTTGTAGGAACACTGAATAAACAATATTTTTAGAGTGGAGAGTGGAGAGTGGAGAGTGGAGAGTGGAGACTGTATCGAAGAGAGTGGAGAGTGGAGAGTGGAGAGTGGAGACTGGAGAGTGGAGACTGGAGAGTGGAGAGTGGAGAGTGGAGACTGGAGAGTGGAGAGTGGAGACTGGAGACTGGAGAGTGGAGACTGGAGACTGGAGACTGGAGAGTGGAGAGTGGAGACACTATTTTAAGTTACTAATAAGTTAAAAATTTTCATGTATGATCCATACAACAGTACAACGGTACAACGGTACAACGGTACCCTTGATCTTTGTGGGATGAATGTCATCTTTTTATTCTTTTAGCTGTCACTTCATGAAACGTATCCATGGATTATTGTAATTTGCAAATGTTGCAAATGAAAATGTACAGCGCACTATGAATTGATATAAAACCAATCCATTAGAATATGCCTTACCTTGTTCTTATTCTTGTTCTTAATCTTTTATCCTCCAGGGTCACTCCAAACTTTGTATCCGCTTTAGATCTCTGCAGAATATATGAAAAGGATTATACTAATTTGGAAAAGATCCCCCCCCCCTCAAATATCCGTAAAAAGATTAAATTTTAAATCAACTTCCAAAATTCTAATTTAACTACTTGAAACATTTAGATTTTTTCAAAGTGTCCACATTGAATATCGAGATCAAACGCTTAAGATTAACAATATCCACACAAAAGTTCCAATCTCTCTGGGCATATTTTCAGATTATTAACACTTGTATATTTTACAATTAATTTTGACGTTTACACGAGAACAATTCTGCATGTTCCTTGTTGATCTGTAGTTTAACGAAATTTAAGATAAAGTTCAATAAAACTCTGAATAATTTATTTATATAACTTCAATAAGACCTACCGTTGCTTCCTGCTCAGTAAAGTCTACTTCTGCCTCCGCAACGTTAGATATTTCAGAATCTGTACTTTGTGTACTTTGTGACCCTTCTCTAACTCTGATACTGGTTCTGCGGGGCACAAATGGTTTCTAAAAAAATAAAAATAGATAATTATCATCTCGTTATAAAATGTGCAATTGACATATATTCAGTACGATGTGTAGGTCGGATTTAATGAATAGTCAGAAACAGTTGATCTACGTATAGTCATAGATAGTATTTTTCTGGTATACTTTCAGTCGCACTAGAGCAGTATCTATCCGTACCTAGTACAACCACTTTCTATCCCTTGATTCAGATCGCAGGAAACCTTTTCAGTGGTTACACAATAAACAACAGAGTCTGTACGGATTGTACACCTAATTTTAAGTGAACTCCAATTAAAGCATGACATGCCCAATGCTCACGGTATGCCTAGCCATCTGTTGGATTCGATTGAAATTGATAAGTTTTCAAATATTAAAAGAAGAATTACTAAGTTTTGCTATAGCAAAGGTTTAAATGGTCTTGTTGGGAATCAAATATTTCACTTTAAAAATGAAGGGTAACTTGAAATTACGTCTGCAGTCCGTTCAGGATTAATGTATAACTGGTTTAAATTTTTTAAAACTAAAATCTACCTTGACTACTTCAGGTTCAGATTGGAGTAATAAATCAGCTCCAGTTGACAAATTGTCTGCTTCTGAAGGTTCGTCAGTCAGCTGGGACTCATCCTCGACCTCAGACCCAAGTCGTCCTAGTCGTCGTCGGAATTGCGATCGTGATCTAAATAGAAGTCGAATGTGATCTCAATGTTCAAACGTATCTTAAACTTTTGGAATACAGGATCAAAATGGGAAAATCAGGAAACAGGCTTAATAAATAGAAGTTAAGTAGTTGAACCATGCGTAGAATTGAAACTCTTCTCTTTAGCTTGGCCCGGCACAACAACTGGTTCAACCGGCGGGACGTGGTTCAACTACCTCTTACTTTTCATTGAATCTATTTCTAGATAATGGATTGGAAAATGCAGATTAAAATTAATTCTCTTCTTGAGGATCTAGAGTTGGGTTAATCTAGTCGCGGTTTAATGGCTGTACGGAAAATGAATTAGAGTTTAAAAATACAAGAGGTGGGATAGAAAAAAGAGTTTAATTCAAATCTAAAGAGTAAGAGTGCTGATACCTGAAGGAAGAGGAATCATTTTCTGCCTCTAAAGCTATTTCAACAATTTTGAGGTTTTAATAGTTTTGTAAATATATGTTCATAAAAAATATAGTAGTTTTAAATGTTTTTTTTATTGATTTAAAATTGTAAATTTTTCCCTGAAGCTCCGAGGAATACAGTTACACTGCAAAGGATCAGAACCTGAACACAAAAAACTTTAATAATTTTATTTCCAATGGATGCTTCCTTTCGCAATTTTCTATGATTAGAAGAGTAATTATGCCTAGAATTCCACTCATGAAAATTTTCAAATAAGAAGTCATATAGATATAACCTAGGAAAACCGGAAAACATGTCGACTAAACATGTCGACTAAACATGTCGACTAAAACTACTGAAAATGTCTAGAAATTTTAAATTCTTTAGATCATCTTTACAACCTGATGTTGACGACCTTTGATTTATAAAATTATGAATATCCCTTGATTAGATATAGTCAAAGCTTGAAACATTAAACGTGTCTCACCATTTAGGTTTTCAGATATAAGGATTAGAAAATCATAGTTTGAGTTTAAGTGGATTTTTTTAAATAGTATCTCAATATATGTATTTATGTTCTTTCTCCCATTCGTTTTGGAAAGTTTGCAAGAAAACCAAGACTTTCATTAATTACATGAAATTACATTAATTACGTGAAATTACATTGATTACGTGAAATTACATTAATTACGTGAAATTACGATCCAATCCGCTTCAGAGACAGCTGGCCCATAATTTGAAATATTGGTTATTCTATATAAATAAAGTAGATCATTCATTAGAGAGGAGGGATTGATATGGAGATTTTTATATTTAATTCAAAACCCAGTTTTTTGCACACAATTTGTTATATCTTTAAGGGAACTTTTGTTAAGTTCAACGCTTTAAATTCAGACTTTTATTCCAGACGGATATTGTTATACTTATGTTAATTTATTTTTACGATTTTTTAGCTTACACCTAGTGCATTGCTCAACAAAAATAAACAACATCGGAATAAGTTCGAAAATTATGAAAAAAACTCAATTAAAAAAGTTCTATTAAAGAAAACTTTGGAACGCGGTGCAAGATGGTTTTGCGCATTTTTATCAAAAAAAGGGATCATTTGTTTGCCCCTTAGTGAAAGCTGAATTGACATTTGAGTTTGTATTTTCATGTTTATATTGACTCACTGTATTAATGGGTTGGCTGAGCCTAGTATAAAGTCTCACCTTGCTCCAACGCATGGCGACGCAGACTGATTCAATGCCGGCGTACAGCTCTATCATCTTTCTACCTAGCTACATACATATATTGGTCTTTCTCAATATATATCCATCTATCTATCTACCTAGCTACATTCATATATTGGTCTTTCTCAATATCTATTCATCTATCTATCTACCTAGCTACATTCATATGTTGGTCTTTCTCAATATCTATTCATCTATCTATCTACCTTGCTACATTCATATATTGGTCTTTCTCAATATATATATATCCATCTATCTATCTACATAGCTACATACATACATATATTTGTCTTTCTCAATATCTATCCATCTATCTATCTACCTCGCTACATTCACATATTGATCTTTCTCAATATCTACCCATCTATCTATCTACCTATCTATATATATGTTGGTCTTTCTCAATATCTATCAATCTATCTATCTACCTAGCAACATACACATTTGATCTTTCTCAATATCTATCCATCTATTTATCTACCTAGCTACATACATACATGTATTGGTCTATCTCAATATCTATCCATCTATCCATCTATTTATCTATCTGTCTGTCTATCTAGCTATCTATTAATCTATATCTATATATCTACATGTCTATACAAATACAATCTATGTATGTATGAATGAAGAATTTACCAACAACTTTTGAGCAATTTGTTGTATTTTATTTACACCTTGCTGCATGCTTTATCACTCTTCAGGATCTATGTATCTCTATGTATCTCTATGTATCTCTTTGTATCTATGTATTTATGCATCTATGTATTTATGTATCTATGTATCTATGTATCTATTTATCTATATATCTATGTATAAATATGCATTTATGTATCTAACTAATAAAGCAATAATCAGAACAGCTTCTCAGTTTTCATATTTATTAATACAAATTGTTTCAGATCTCTCGATCCTCATCAGTCAATAAACATGGGTTAACTGATGTTTTACGACAAATATTCATTTATGTATCTATGTATCTATGTATTTTTGAATCTATGTATCTATGTATCTATTTAGTTGTTTAAAGAATTTTGACTACTGAGGATCGTCATGAGACGAGAGACATTACTTATGTTTAGTATAATTCTTTTGGAATAAAATGTGAAGTTTAAAAACGGGAATATCTGTGTATCTATGAATCTATGTATCTTTCTATCTATTTATGAATATAGATCTTAATTTTCTTACTCTATTTCTTTGTCTATTTGAATTGTGAAATTCACATTTCCTCTGCATATTTAGATTGTTAAATTCTCTTTCGGTATCAGAGGATGATAAGATACTCTACAAATACATTTTTTGTATTGGTAATCTACACCCGTCCATTGTATCCTAGGCCTTCAAAGTGTTTTTCTCCAACACTAGAAACACCTGCAGTATATCTTACGGCTCAAACATGTTCTTGAGGTCTATAAAACTATAGACGGATCTAAATTCTTTAGGGAACATTCCGAAGAGTATTCAGGCTTTCAGGAATATCATTGAGCAGCAATATAGAATTAAATGGAATTTTTAATTTAAAAATAGTACACTGTTTGTAAGAAAATCATAACTGAAAGGTAATGAGTTCTCGCCACAAACTCAAATGTTCTAATCCCTGTATCTTTGCAACCTGATATTGTAAACCTTTGTTTTTTTAAAATAGAATATTTGATCTAATAGAGATCATATTTATAAATATCAAAGGTTGCAATTGCAAAGAGATACGAATAGCTGAGTTCATTTACACTGCATGTAGTTGGATTTAACTTGGTAAAGTATCTAATATCCTAATAATTAATTAAACTAAGCATTTTTTATTAAAAATATTTCAAAAAGAATGTCTTCGAATAAGAACCAGGCTCATTAATATCCTGAAGTTTTATGTAAACCCAAAGATTGTATTTTAGTCGATTTTTCCTTTTTTACTAGGCATCAGTTTAAGATTTAAGTTTCAGTTTGAACTGTAGTTCAAGGTTCTCCCTAGAGCTACAATAGGACGGATAGTATAAATAAATTGATAAAATGCACCAGGGGGGTCCAATTCGGAGAAAAATTAAAAGATGATTAATATTAGGACCGAGGGTACAGGTTCAGTAGGACTAATATCAAATTTAGTCTGTTTTTCAATTTCAGCTTTTTTATTAGTTTCTCCGTGGGTTTCTGAACCTGAACCTGAACCTAATCCTGATCCTGGTATGCTCTAACCTTGACATTCAACCAACTCAAACAGTGAGAGTTATATGAATCTGAGGATGGTTGAGGGGGGGGGGGACTGAAGAAAATATGTTTTGCGTTAGAATTCATAACAGTGAAGAATTTTGACATTTTTTGGTGGACATTTAAAATATAGCAAAATTTAAAAATTTAAAGATTTCATAGAGAGAACATTTCATCGACAGGACATTTCAGTGAAAGTAAATTTTATAGATAGAACATGAAATATATAGGACATGAAATGGATAGGATATGAAATGGATAGGACATGAAATGGATAGGGCATGAAATGTGTAGGACATGAAATGGATTGGACATGAAATGTATAGGACATGAAATGGATAGGACATGAAAAAGATAGGACATGAAATGGATAGGACATGAAATGGATAGGACATGAAATGGAAAGGACATGAAATGGATAGAACATGAAATGGATAGGACATGAAATGTATAGGACATTAAATGGATACGATAGAAATGGATAGGACATTGCAAAGATATCTTATCATATCTTATCTAAAACATATGACTTATAACTTAGGAAATATCTTCTTTGACCTTAAAATATCTTTTAAAGAAATGTCTTCTTTGAATTGTCCTATCTATATGAAATGTCCTATCTATACGAAATGTCCTATCTATGAAATGTCCTATCTATATGAATTGTCCTATCTATGTGAAATGCCCTATCTTTTAAGTATTTTGTTTGCACGTAAGAACATGAAGGTGGTAGACAATAGTTCCTAGCTCAGAGCTCTTCAAAAAATTAATGCCCCCCCCCACCTTCAGCAGTCCCCCTCCAATTACTTCTAAAGCCAGTAAAATGCTTCAAAGCTAAATATTTATTATCTTGAATTCTATTATTATGTTGCCAAACACAGACTTTGCGCACCTTTAATTACATCCTTATTTGATTCTGTTATTGTGCAATCCAAATTTATTCACAACAAAATATTGCACTTGTTACATTGTACTGGTATATTTATATATTAATGATTTGCATCAGCACATTGCATGGATGTAAATATATAGAGATTAGAACATCAGAGTTTAAGTCATCATTATTCAGTTTCTTTTTTTGGGGAAAAATATTTATATCTTTCTTGAGTATTTTAAAGCCGAAAAGACCATTATGCAACATAAGGATGTTATACAACGTCATCATAGAGCTACATTTTATCCTATTTGAAGAGAATAATAATGTGTAAAAAATACTAAATGAATTGTGCATCTTTAATTCCAATCCTTTTAGAATTTAAATATATGGCACGCATTTCTAAAAATTAGTTTTAGAATAATAAAAAGATTTAAGAATCCCAGATTTTTAAGTTTTCACTCTGTTCTAATTCCTTTTATCTTTGCAACCAACTGGGATATTTCAAACTTTGAGTATTTTTAAAAACATTTTTTTTATGTTTTTAACTTTGCATATTCAATTGTTCTTTAGAATAATAAAGGTCGGCGAAACCAAGTTGCAAAATTATGAGGATTGGAAAATTAGTCTATAAGGCGCCCCGCAGATTTAACCGTTCAATCTTTATCCCAGCATGATCATAATTTAACCAACTAAACAAATCGCCTTTTCTTTTTTTAACTTTTTTTCTTTTACGAAGCGTATAAAAACAATGTGAAAAAACAACTATCTAAATTTCAAGATGGTTAAATTAAAAACCAAAACGCGATTGAAATAAAGGAATAGAGTTTTTGCCAAAAATCCCAATTTTATAACACCTAAATCTCAACAACCAGATGATGCATACCTTTAATATTTCAAACTTACATTGTTTAATCCACCAGAATATATTCATAGTTTGAAATATCTACGGTCTACGACATTTGGTTTTAAAGAAATTGGGATTTAAAAATCCGAGTTTGTGGCAAAGACTCAATTGTTTTGAAAAAAACTAACGCAAATAGTCCTGGTTAGTTATCCGATCCTTACTGAATCCGCTTCGATCTAGCTAACTTGTGTATTTGTGGATATATAATAGAGAACAAGAAACAATACATTAAAGAAATAATAAGGAAGAAAAAATTATTTTAAAACAATGACGCCGAAAACATAAAGGATAAAAGACTCACAGAGTTTGCCGGGGAGATTAGTAATTATTTATTTATTTGACGAGGTCACAAAATTATTATGTTTGATCTGGCAGTGCGTAGGTCAAACTTCAAACTGTGATATGATTGCATTTTAATAGTTATGCTTAATTCACAACATAAGATGGTTATTGCAATTGTACTGTAAAAATATATTTAAGATAATGCTGGAATCATTTAGGAAGTTTTTCATCCTCTCTGACAATTACATATTTAACACTTTAAAAACAAAAATATTTACAATGCCTTAAGCATTTTACAATTTACAAACTGGTATTTTAGACTTGAATACAGTATAAATTTTAACGATGGGAAAGTTTAGGATAGAGATTTGTAATGGAAGAAAATAAAATAGAATTTGATAATAGGAAGATTTAGAATAGAGTTTTGAATTGGGAAGGTTTAAAATAGAGTTCAATGATAGGAAGGTTCAGAATATGAGTTCCAATGATAGGAAGGTTCAGAATATGAGTTCCAATGATAGAAAGGTTCAGAATAGAGTTCAATGATGGGAAGGTTCAGAATAGAATTCAATGATGGGAAGGTTCAGAATAGAATTCAATGATAGGAAGATTTAGAAAGGAGTTTAATGATGGGATGGTTTAGAATAGAGTTCAATGATAGAAATGATCAGAATAGAGTTCAATGATAAGAAGATTTAGAATAGAGTTCAATGATATGAAGGTTCAGAATAAAGTTCAATGATAGGAAAGTTTAGCATATAGTCCAATGATAGGAATGTTAAGAATAGAGTTCAATGATATGAAGGTTTAGAATAAAGTTCAATGATTGGAAGGTGTAGAATAAAGCTAAAGGATAGGAAAGTTTAGAATAGAGTTCAATGATGTTAAGGTTTAGAATAGAGTTCAATGATATGAATGTTTAGAATAGAGTTCAATGATGTCAAGGTTTAGAATAAAGTTCAAGGATAGGATGTTTTAGATAGAGTTCAATGATATGAAAGTTTAGAATAGAGTTCATGGATGTGAAGGTTTAAAATAAAGTTTAAGGATAGGAATGTTTAGAATAGAGTTCAATGATTTGAATGTTTAGAATAAAGTTCAAGGATATTAAGATTTAGAATAGAGTTCAAGGATGTGAAGGTTTATTAAGTTCAAGGATATAAAGGTTTTAGAATAAAGTTCAATGATATGAATGTTTAGAATAGAGTTCAAGGATATGAATGTTTAGAATAAAGTTCAAGCATAGGAAGGTTTAGAATAGAGTTGAATGGTATGCATGTTTTGAATAGAGTTCAATGATATGAAGGTTTAGAATAAAGTTTAAGGATAGGAAGGCTTAGATAGAGTTCAATGACATGAATGTTTAGAATAGAGTTCAAGGATATGAATGTTTAGAATAAAGTTCAAGTATAGGAAGGTTTAGAATAGAGTTGAATGGTATGAATGTTTTGAATAGAGTTCAATGATATTAAGGTTTAGAATAAAGTTCAAGGATAGGATGTTTTAGAATAGAGTTCAATGATATGAATGTTTAGAATAAAGTTCAAGGATATTAAGGTTTAGAATAGAGTTCAAGGATATGAATGTTTAGAATAAAGTTCAAGTATAGGAAGGTTTAGAATAGAGTTAAATGGTATGAATGTTTTGAATAAAGTTCAATGATATGAAGGTTTAGAATAAAGTTCAAGGATATTAAGGTTTAGAATAGAGTTCAAGGATGTGAAGGTTTATTAAGTTCAAGGATATAAAGGTTTAGAATAAAGTTCAAGGATGATAGGGAATATATTCTAAATATGGGATATGATAATATTAAGTTCAATAATGGGAAGGGAATGAAGTCTAAATATGGGATATGATAATATGAAGTTCAATAATGGGAAGGGAATGAAGTCTAGATATGGGATATGATAATATGAAGTTCAATAATGGGAAGGGAATGAAGTCTAGATATGGGATATGATAATATGAAGTTCAATAATGGGAAGGGAATGAAGTCTAGATATGGGATATGACAATATGAAGTTCAATAATGGGAAGGGAATGAAGTCTAGATATGGGATATAAAAGTATGGAGTTCAAGTTCTTGTTTCAAGGGCCGAGGTGAAGCATGAAGCATTACATCTCAAAATGTTGCAATCATAACAATTCATTCTGTGTTCAGCCAATTATTATAATTTTTAATTGACCCGTAAAAAGGTTTGAACCAGTTAACCGGGTTTAATGCTAAAAATATTAGAATTAGACGTCTAATAATTTTTAAAATAAATTGTTCTTGAAAACTTAATACCATATACATATATTGCATCGCCATACCTGTACGCTAATACCCTTTCCTAGTCCTCTCATTTTAAAAAAAAAACCTGAGATATTATAAATTTCATTCAGATTCCATTTTATTAAAGACAAATATATCTAAACGAAATTCTTCATGTCTCTGGTAATACAAGCACAAAAAAGGGCTGACCACATTTTGTAACTGCCAAGACAGGCGTTTTTTGTGATTATAAACTCTAGCATTTTACTTCTAATATTAGGTTTACGAAATAATTTCGCAAATTATTTTAAAGATCGAAGACGACCTTCAAGCTGTATTTCTACACTCATGATTCGTGGGACACCCTGGAGATTCTACCCCGCAGCCTTTTATTGCGGTAATGCTACAAGGATTATGTATACTTTATTTGATAAATACAGCAACATTTTCAATGATTTATGAAAAATTCATGTACAAAAAAATACAGTTCAATTGCTTGCGATAAAACTTTGTACATTTATTCATATCTGTACTAAATATATCATCATTTATTTGAATTATTTTTAAATATTTATTTTCATTTTCTTTGAAAAATTACTTTTTCATCACTGTCATAGGAAAGAATCCTCCTAGTGTAGAACTCGTCTAATCGATCCTGTGGTACGCTTAATGTATTTTTTTTTACTTATTTTAAAGATTCATTGTATTCATTTAGACATATTTTTACTTTCAGTTTTAGTAAATTTTAAATTTTCTATTAATTTAAAAAATGTTTGATAATGATGACCAAAAATCAACCTACACAAATGTTGTTTACAATTAATGTAAAAGGAATACGTTAAGGAACCCTCCTTTTCATTTTTTGTGATGAAGAGTGAGACTGCATCTTGCCCAACATACACCTAAATTACAGAGTTTGTGAAAAGTGGATTGATATATATTTGTAAATTAGTATTTAACATTGATATTTTAAGAAACATTTTATAAATTTCTTGAAGTGAGTTTGCACTGTAGGTAAAGTTTATAAAAAAGTGTCAATATCTGTACTAACACCGGCTGTAAATTGTCAATTTAAAGTTAAAAAACGACAATATCTTTACCAGCGCTTATAAATATCCCCCCCTAAAATTTAATTGAGATTGATTTTTACATTTCATTCTGCTTACAACAAAGTATAAGAATGATGACGGGGATGTAATTTAAGAGTTTGCGCAATTATAATAGTTTCTACAACTACCATCTAAAAAGCTACCTCTCTATAAAGCTGCTCGTGCCAGGTTTCTAAAAAGTGTTGAAGCATCTTTACTTGACCTGGAAATTTTTTTTTTTAAATATTTTTTTTTTGTGCGACTGCCCCCTTCTGTTTCTTAAATGGAGTAGGTATACAAATAAAGGTACTGTAATGTAAACGGTAAAATCTCAGACCTTTAATTAATATAATTGCTGGAAATAAGATTCCTAGATATTTAACTATTAGACACATGAGATGAAACGGAGTGACCGGCAATGTATGGTAGTTGAACTGAGAATGTGGTATTGTGGAGAAATGTTTTAGGATTCATTTGAGACATATAAAACGTTTTAATGATTATGATTTAAATTATTAAATGATAACGACGAAAAATGTAAAAAAAATCTTTAGTATACTAATTAGATGTTTAGGTAAATATTTTTCGATAGTTTGTCAATAAATCAATGTTAGAATCAGTTATTTCTTTTTCATCATTATTTTGAATTTGTTATTCTTTACGAATTTGCGCTCAAACTCAGTAATTATACATCATTAAAACGTGTTATATGTCTCAAATGAATCCTAAATCATTTCTCCAAAAAACTACATTCTCAGTTCAACTACCATACATTGCCGGTACGTCTGTATATCGTGTATATCGATAAACAATGAAATACATGAAACTTATGTTGAGTTTGAAAATGCGTTTATTGGATGTCAGTAAAAATTTGTATAGCAATCATATTTCTAGCAATCATATTTCTAGCAATCATATTTCATAGCAATCACATTTCTGCAATCATATTTCTAGCAATCATATTTCATGGCAATCACATTTCTGCAATCATATCTGCACTAATTCCATGTTGTCCTACCTGCCCTTGACGCGTCCATCTGGTTCTCTGGTTCTTGAACTAAGGTAGATCTAAACCATTCTTCATTCTCATGCTTAATAATATTTTAAAGTTAGTTTTTATAAACAATTTCTCATTTTCATGCTTAAAAATATTTTAATAATTAGTTTTATTTTTTTTAAACCATTCCTCATTCTCATGCGTATTAATATTTAAAAAGTGTTAGTTTTTAATTTTATAAACCATGAGAATGAGTCTCATGCTTAATAATATTTAAATAGTTATTTTTATTTTTCATAAACCATTCCTCAATATCATGCTTAATAATATTTAAATAGTTAGTTTTATTTTTTATAAACCATTCATCATTCTCATGCTTAAAGACATTTAAATAATTAGTTTTATTTTTCATAAACCATTTATAATTATCATGCTTAGTAATAAATAAATAATTAGTTTTTTTTTCATAAGACATTCGTCAAATATTAATTTCCATATAAATAATTAGTTTTTTTTAAAGACATTCCTCAAATAGAATTTTCGTATTAGTTTTACTTATTTTTAACTGTCACAAACTACGTTTGAAAAAATCTAAAATATGTGATTTAATTACATTGATAGTGAATAGATTATTTAAAATGTTACACTGATATCTAAAATGTTACCCAGGTATTTAAAGTGTTACCCTGATATTTAAAATGTTAACCTGGTTATTAAAATGTTACCCTGATATTTAAAATGTTACCCTGATATTAAAAATATTACCCTGATATTGAAAATGTTACCCTGATATTGAAAATGTTACCTTGATAATTAAAATGTTACCCTGATAATTAAAATGTTACCTTGATAATTAAAATGTTACGCTGATATTTAAAATGTTACTTAGATATTTAAAATGTTACCCTGGTATTTAAAATGTTACCCTGATATTTAAAATGTTACCCCATAATATCTAAAATGTTACCCCGATAGTTAAAATGTTACCCTGATAATTAAAATGCTACCCTGATATTTAACATGTTATCCTGATATTTAAAATGTTACTCTGATATTTAAAATGTTACCCTGATATTTAAAATGTTACCCTAATAGTTAAAATGTTACCCTGATATTTAAAATGTTACCCCATAATATCTAAAATGTTACCCCGATATTTAAAATGTTACCCTGATATTTAAAATGTTACCCCATAATATCTAAAATGTTACCCCGATATTTAAAATGTTACCCTGTTATTTAAAATGTTACCCAGATATTGAAAATGTTACCCTGATATTGAAAATGTTACCCTGTTATTGAAAATGTTACCTTGATGATTAAAATGTTACGCTGGTATTTAAAATGTTACCCTGATATTTAAAATGTTACCCTGATATTTAAAATGTTACCCTGATATTGAAAATGTTACCCTGATATTGAAAATGTTACCCTGTTATTGAAAATGTTACCTTGATAATTAAAATGTTACGCTGATATTTAAAATGTTACCCTGATATTTAAAATGTTACCCTGATATTTGAAATGTGACCCTGATATTTGAAATGTTACCCTGATATTAAAAATGTTACCCAGATATTAAAAATGTAACCCTGATAATTAAAATGTTACCCTGATAATTAAAATGTTACCCTTATATTTAAAATGTTACCCTCATATTCAAGTGTTACCCTGATATTTAAAATGTTACCCTGATAATTAAAATGTTACTCTGATATTTAAAATGTTACCCTGATATTTAAAATGTTACCCTGATATTCAAAATGTTACCCTGATATTTAAAATATTACCCTGATATTTAAAATGTTACCCTGATATTTAAAATGTTACTCTCATATTTAAAATTTTACCCTGATATTTAAAATGTTACCCTGATATTTAAAATGTTACTCTCATACTGCTTTCTCAATTCAAGGCTTACACACAATTTTAAAGTACATTCATAGAAATCTGGAAGATTCTAGATATAATCTGGCTTTCGCCAATCTTGTGGCGAAAATGGGGCCAAAACCCAAAAAATCCTTGGATAATTCTTTAAATACTTCCCTGGAGGAAATGGATAGTGAGACCACTGTAAAGGAACAAGTCAGTCATCAAGGCTTTCTTTATAAAGATTTTTGCATATTTTTTCTCTTTTCTTTTGGAAACCTGTATTTTCAAAAAAAAATTTATTTAAACAAATTTAAACTACACCATTTATATATGTATTTATATCTTTGTGTGTGAATAAATCTTTATAATATAATAATATTTAAAATGTTACCCCGATATTTAGAATGTTACCCTTATATTCAAGTGTTACCCTGGTATTTAAAATGTTACCCTGATATTTAGAATGTTACTCTTATATTCAAGTGTTACCCTGATATTTAGAATGTTACCCCTTACATTCAAGTGTTACCCTGATATTTTGAAAAATACCTTGTTTGGAGAAGTGAAACTTTCTTTTACAAGGCTTTCCAATGTCTAAATATAAGAACTATTGATGAATTATAATTATGTTTATTACATATTGATGAAGAGTTATTTGGTTTTGCCGTTTTCAACACAAGTAATATTGTTATTATATAGTTTCATTTTTTAGAGATAGAAATATTTTGTTCAGAATTTAACCTGTGTATAAACATCTGTATGAATGAACCATCTTGTAATTGATATTCCAAAGCAACAAAACCCTGATGAAGTTTATTTTAGTGCTTTCAACCAAAAAAAATAACAAAATAAGCATTTAAAGCAGTTTTAATGTAATAGTAATTTAAGCGTTATTTATTTATTTTGGAAAAATCTTTGAGCTTGAAGTCAGACCATTTTTTCATATTTTCCTTATATTCAATGATACTAAAGGGGTCCAAGGAATTTATAAAAATTGTCAAAACCTAGTTTAAAACAATTGTATCTATCTTAAGTTCCTAAATCTGAATGTTTTGAGTTTATGTACCTGTATCCGTTGTAAGTGCATATGTACATAGAGTAAGTAGAAGCTGCTGTACAGAATTAAGAACTGATATTACTGTTGTAGCTGTATAGAAATTATCTATATCTAAAATCAGCATTTAATTGAATCATTTGTTGAGGTTTGTAAGACTAGTTTCATAAATAAGACTGTGAACATCATAAATATGCTGAAAAGAACTTGCTTTCTGCTAAAGTATATATATATTAAAATATATAAAGTTGTTCAAAGAATTTTAACTACTGAGGATCGTCAAGATAGACGTGACGTGAAACATTATGTTTAGTATAATTCTTTTTTAATAAAAAATGTGAAGTTAAAAACTGGAATACTAAAATATATATATACTTTAGCAGGAATATACAGGGTGTCTCCAAATAATAATAATAAGGGTCTCGTTCGTAATCGGATTTTCAAGATTTAGACCATTTTGTTAATCTAAGTACAATGTCCGGAGCCAAATTTTAGACTTTTAAATCTAAAAATGACAATTTTAAAGGCTCCTAAAGTTTCCAAGTGGAGTAAGTAAATTGGGTAAAAATAAAGATAAGTTTGCACATAAGGGTCTATGCAGATTTGTTATAATTGGATTTTCATTGAAACCATTTATGATATTGATTGAAACCATCTATGTACAATTTCAGGAGCACTATTTTTGGCTTGAAGATCTAAAAATAACAATTGAACTGTATAACAAACTGCTAACATTGAATATAAAATTGTGCAAATGGAGATTATCTTTTACTTTTTACTTCGCTCCAGTTGGAAACTTTAGGAGCCTGTAAAATTGTTATTTTTAGATCTACATGCATAAAATTGGACTCATTGAATCAGAAATTGTATGTAAATTTAAAGAATGGTCTCAATCTTGAAAGTCCGATTAAAAACAAGTCTGTAGACATATATATATATATATTTACATATATTTATGTTTTTATAATATATTTATATATATAAATAAATACTATTAGGTCTTTATGGCGCATCGCGAACTTTTTTCTAATAATAACACAGAATCTTAAATATTGATTTCCGGAGTTTTTTCTTCATTCATAATAAAAACAAAGAAAACATAGTAATTGAGTTTTTGCCACAAACTCTGATTTATTAATTCCTATATCTTTACAGCCCAATGTCGGTGATCTTTGATATTATAAACTATAAATTCTGTTAGATCAAATAATCTAAGTTTAAAATATTAATGGTTTACACCATCAGATTGGAAAAAATATAGAGATAAGAAAAATTGAGTTTGTGGCAAAGACTCAATTCCTTTATGCCCCGGTTCAACCATTTTAACGTTTATTAAATTAGATACACACAAACACATCCAACAAACAAAGACGGTGGAGTGTAACTATCATAATACTTCATTTCTTCTTATTTATTTACTCATTGCTTTTTAAGAAGATGTAGATACAATTGAAAGAATTTATCTGATTATTAATCTCTTACCTAGGAGTGCACTCTCCAGACAAACTAGTAGAAGAGACAGGAGTAAACAAAAAACCTAGAATTTAAAAAATCCTTGAATTTTAAACTTATTTTTTTTTTAATAAGGATAGAATGTAGTCTCTATACTTGTATATAACAATATTTTAATAATTGAGTATGAAATTACAAGTAAAGCATATAAAACCATAGTTTAAAGATGTACGAGAAGATTTTTAGTTTTTCTTTATATTTGAAATAAACATAAATCTCTTTCAGCGTACTCCATACTTAAAAAGAGTTTACTCGAAAAAAAAAAATTTAACCTTCTTCAAATACTTTATCGGAAAATACGCATTTTACATCTTTCGCCTTTTTTACCTAAAGCTATAAAATGTAAGCAGGGTAAAAAAAGATAAAACTAAGAGCCTGGCAACACTTCAAAGTTGATGAACTGCTGAACTTGCTGATTCTCACAAATGTTTTAATTTACACACCAGAGATGCACGAGAATATTAACAATGTTTTATGTTTTGTAAAATCGCGAAAACTCCCTTTAAATGTATATTGTGTAACCTGAATAGGAAGATGAAGGCCTGGCAAAGGAAGGGAAAGAGGTTCACAAAAAGAATGGCAATTTCCACCTTTTTATAAAGCTACAATTGCTTTAAATAGTTATAATCATAAAAAACTGGAATCGAAAGGTTTGAACTTTTACTTTCATTTTCAAAAGTTATTGACGTTCTGTCCTTAGGATTTGAGTAATTGCAACAAATTTTGATTTTATTATTCATAATCTTTTCAACCCAATGTCGTAAACCTGAAATATTTCAACTATGAACTGTTTTAGATAAACAATATCTAAAGTTTACACCATCAGGTTTCAATAAGGATTAGAAAGTCAAGAGTTTGTGACAAAGACTCAACTCTTTGACCATTCTGATTACTCGCCACAAACTCCAACTTTTGTTTATCTGTTCAACCTAATGGTGTAAACCGTTGATATTTTACACTTTGTCTATTTTAGTTAGTTGCATACATAGTTTGTAATATCAATACAATATCAGGTTTCAAAGATAAGACAATTAGATTTTGTAGTAAGTAATCAATTCTTTCTTTTTTTTAAATAGACAATCCTCTCTTAAAATTGAATTTACAATTGTATTTCCTGTAACCCTGTGATAGAAGATACAGATATCCTGACAGCTAATGTTTTCATCTGTCGCAGCTGTCGAACCATACATTGTTACCAGCCGACCTAGTCGGCAATACACATTTTTAAATAATATTTTCAAAAGCATCCTTTCTAAACAAAACTTTACAAAAATTCTAGTCGTTTTTTTGAGCTGGAGGGAGCAGATTTTAATCACGGTGAATGCTTGAATAAAAACAGTGTTTGGTCCGTTATTCAAACATTCAATTTATATGTTTTATAAGCAACACAAACATCTGCCAGGCCAGCATATTGTGTCTCTGTTTTCCAGAACAAACCCAAATCAATCACTTGTTTACTAGGGAGCTAAAAAAATGTTCTGGCTTGTCTCTTCTGCCCGAGGTAAAAGTTTGAAAAATCAAACGTTTAGATAATACAAATTTGCGATATTTTACACTTCTGAAAAATTCCATAAAGTTTTTAAAAAAGAACCAAAAAATGTGCCCGACAAACACCTTGAAACCCCTATATAGGGTTATGCTTTACTAAGGATAAGTTGAAGTTGAAGCGACTGTATTGTAAATAAAAGTAACCCTCAAGGCAAAGATGAAAATGCTCGATTCACAACAATACCCTTCAAAGCTTTGTTTGAACAAGTTTGTAACTATGTTTATAATTTTGAATTCTGATTATCTTCAACTGTGGTTTCTCTACAAAATTTTACTTGCGTATTTCTACGGCAGGAAAACATATAACGACTTTTCAGAATTATTCACTTTTAAACCTAAAAACGACAATATCCTCCACATTGTATATCGGGTCACTCTAAATTACGAATACAGTCCCTTAAAAAAAGTATTAAACCTGCCTTCTGTCTCGAGCACAGCGAGTGTAAGAACGTATGTATTGTTTCTAGATATAGAAGGGAAGGAGATATACAGGATACGGAGGAATAGAGATAATACCTGATAATAATAATAATAATAGTAAAAATAGCAACAACAATAAAACAATACTATTACAATGGTTGTGGTAAAACAGTTTACATCTAAGTGAAAGGATATACAAAATGATAAGAAGAATAATAAAATAAAAACCTTTTTTTAAATATTTGTAGAAAATTTGTTTTGAAATATTTATTGTAAGTATATACACTATACCTGTGCAATGATATATATAATAGTAATAGCTTTGATTGTTTTCACTAAATAGAACTCAATATCTTCCTCCTCCCTTTTCTTTTCCGTCTCCTCCCCCTTTCCCCCCTTCTCCCCCGCCTTCCCTTCCATGATGCTGTAGCTGGCTATTGGGATTGATAATCCTGATTTAACTTTATCTATTTATCTAATCATATATTTTCAAATTCGATCTATCCAAGAAGGCGAATAAATCAGACTTTATGGACGACCCTAAACATTTTGAATATGACAATCTGAAGGTTGAATTTGTGTCTTTTGGCAAAGACATACATAAGACGTTATAAGTTTTATTTCTATTAATTTTTTAATTTAAAGGGAGTGTTCGCAAAAAATGAAAGGGGGTATAGGCTTAATGCGATAAAAAAGCGCTTTTGATCGCTACTAATCTTACTTCTATCTGTTGCGTCTGTAAGGAAAAAATTGTTAAAAACGACTAATACCGAAGCACGCAGCGTCCATACAAATTCGGAAAGATGCTACATTCAACTCTGATCGTAAAAAAATCAATTTAATTCCAAACAAATCATTCAGATATTACAAGCAGTAGATGTAGATGGTTGATATTTCATAATATTTTTTGATTTTGTTTTTTAAAAATAATTTTCGCTAGCGCTGTATTTTCGAACATTCCTGGAAAATATGAAAATGTCGTCTTCATTATAAAAAATCCTCGAAACATGAATAAATGTTTTCAAAAAATACAAAATATTATGAAATATCAACTATTTACGAATGTGTCGAAAAATAATCAACGACTATTGTTTGTAATATCTGAATGATTTGTTTGGAATTGAATTGATTTTTTTACGATCCGAGTTGAATGTTGCATCTTTCTGAATTTGTATGGACACTACGTTTTTTGGTATTAGTCGTTTTTAACAATTTTCTCCTTATAGACGCAACAGATAGAAGTAAGATTAGTAGCGATCAAAAGCGCTTTTTTATCGCATTAACCCTATACCCCATTTCATTTTTCGCGAACACTCCCTTTAATGTAAGAACTTTGAATATCTTAAACAATTTTGAAGGCACAACAATCAACAGTCAATGATCATATTTAGAAATTCTTGAGTTGTTCCAAGACATATATACATCTGAACCTTTCTAAGCTGCAATTGGTTAGACTAAGCTGTTTTAATCAATGCAATGAAAATGACTGTTTCAGTTAAGGAAGACGACTTTTAGAAAAGTTTTCCTAAATCTACTCCAGTAATGACTAAAATCAGAAGGATGGAAAGGGAAAACAGAATACAGAACAACGTCAAAACCTGAAGTTTTTATATTTTTATAATATATGTTTTTTATTAAATATTCCTAACTTCAGTGGGACTTTAGTAAGCGATTCACAACCGTACCCTAGATACTTTTATCTGTTCAACAACTTAAAAGATATTTTCGTTTTTCTAGGTTTAAATGTTTTTTTTTCTAATAACCTTATACGTTTGCAGAAAAAACCACATTTGAAAAAGTTTTAAACATTTATACATTAAATAATACATAATTAAGGGTAGCGTTGTGAATTAGACATTTTCATCTATACATGTAAGGTACGCTTACAGTCCTTTCTTTCTGTATAGCATGCAATATTTGTCATTTTTTTAAAAAACACACAGATGTGCTTAATTGTAACAAATATTTTACAAATATTATGTTCAATAATCATAATTCTTAATTTAAAAACACACAGATATGCTTAATTGTAACAAATATTTTACAAATATTATGTTCAATAATCATAATTCTTAATTTAAAAAGTTCTCAGTCCTCGTAACCTGTTCATAGTTTCTGCGTATTTTCGGGAACAGTCCCTCAGATAAATATCTTCTTCTAAAAAAAGGTTGTCTTCAATTATTCAAGCTAGTGACCCTTCATTTTTACGCTATAAGAAACGTCAAATTCACAACAGTACCATATGAACCCCTTATCTAATCCAGGATTATCTAAAAGGTGACTCATGCGCATATGAGACAAAAAAGGAAATTATTAGAATCCAGCCCTTTTTACGATAGAAAAACGACAATTTCATCCTTATCTTTACTTGAATAAGGTTTAAAGGGTACTATTGTAAATCGGACATGAAACTTTAAATGGTTTGTTCATTTTGAATTATGTCAACATTCCCTTTACATTTATAAGGGTCACGTTTGAAGTCTTCAGTAGAAATAATTCAAAACGATTTATTTTTATTTCTCAGGTTTGCTTACTTGTATCCAAAGGATGGCATGATAAAACCAATTCACGAAACTCTTCAGTTTTAAAATCACTGGAAATAGTAGATGTTACATCTCTAGACGTCAATGTAATGTCTACTACAGGAGTTCATAACTTCTAAATTAATAAAGTCAAAACTTCTAAAAATTGTGAATCGATATTTTGTTTGTTTTCTGTAAAGAACTTGAGAGCTGGCTGTATTGTAAATTAAAGACATGAAAGCTCTAACACCTGTTATATCTGAGGGGTCAATATAATCTGTAATTTTTCCACATAACGTCACCACACCTTTTATCCAACATTTCGGGGTTTTCTGGAAATTTGTTGATAAATTTATTTTGAAGAAAAATATTGCCCCTGAACATTCTTTTCAGTTTATGAAATTCTAAAACATAATCATCCTTTAGTACGTTAAATATTTTAACATATGTTTTGCTGCACAGGAAATTGATTTAATATTACTTATTTGATTCCGGTTATGTAACCAATTTAAATACATTTAGTACAAAGTTATCAACGAATATCAAAGACGACATTCAAGTCGTCTTTCAACAGTTGTGTTTCGTGGACACCTTATATCATTAAGTATACACGCATTTGAAAAATAATTTCAATCTTCTATTCGTTATATTATTGAATTAAATGATGTAATTTTTCATTTTTAGGTAACTTTATGCCCGTTTAGGTTCAGTATGTAGAGTGTAAGACTTGTTTCTAAAACTATTCCATTTTTGGTACATGAAAAAATAGACCTTAAAAAGTTTCAAACCTATTAATTCATAAATTAATGCATCAAGTTTTAGAACTACAAGGCCAGAGATTAATAGATTAACATTAAAATGTCGTCATTGTCTCGTGCAACTGCAAAGTAAAGTCAATTTAGAATCTAAGGATGGCTTTAAAATGTCAATTTTGTTAGAAAAAAGTTTTAAAAAATAAAACTTTGATTGGATTTTTACAGGTCAAGTCTTTTCAATTTTGTTGGTGACTTATTTATTTATATGTCTAGTGATAATAGTATTAATTATCATTATTTAATTATTCAAAAATCATATTTTATTCTTGAGATTCAACAATAATACATATTTTTAACTTTAACAGTTTTATAATTACACAAGGAGAGGATAAAAATAAACAGTTACCAGACTTTTCTAACTTATAGCAGCGCATACTTTGCTTGTCTGGGTGTCTGTCTTTTTGTTTGTATCCAATACACGTCAAAACGGCTGAACAGATCCGGCCCAAATTTTTTGGTGGGACCTCACGTGGCCCCAGAGAAGGTTTATAAATGATCAAAATCTCAAAAAATTTGCCTCCTACAAAATTAGATTTTCATTAAATTTTTGCAAATCCGCGAACTTTTTTTTTCAATTGTACTCAAAGATAACATGTTCCTAATTGAAATAGAATATGTGCGCGAAGCGCCCTAAAAGCCTAGCTTTATAAACTCAGCAACAGATTAGGAAAATGGTGAGCTCTACAGCAAACTGTTTTCTCTGTGGTGTATAAAGAAACGGTATAATGACAAAATGGCAGTCAAGTTTAAAAAGTTTAAGTTTAGATGCATTTTCTTTAAAAGTTTGGCACAAGATGCATTGTATAATTCATATTTAGATTGGTTGAGTACATGTAGCTGTACTCTCAAGGTAATGTACTAAGGTACGTGAGTAAAGATATGTTGTACTAATTACAATGGTTTAAGTACAAAAGGCAGAAATGCTTAAATATATTCTTCTTCTTCTTCTCCTTCTAGTTGTGCGTCACCAAGAGGGCTGGGCCTAAAAAAGACAAATAAATAAATTGTTTAAGCATAACTTTTTCTTACAGTAATAACTAGACAACAATGGAATAGGAAGACGACCAAATAATAAACCTTTAGTGTATTTGATGTTGTTACAAAGCAAATAATCTTATTAGACACTTTTTAAACACACTAATTTAATTAAATTAGTGTGTTTACACTGCACAATTACTGAGTCTCATGCTCATTGGACTTTTAAAGTTATAACATTTCAAATTTTTCTGTTTATCACTATTCACTGTAGATTGAACATTTAGTTTTCGTATATTCACAAGATTCATTTTTATAAAATTACAAATTCATCTATGAAAATAAACTATACATGCATCATGCATCATGTTTAAAGAAACTATACATGCATCATGCATCATGTTTAAAGAAACTATACATGCATCATGCATCATGTTTAAAGATAATCTGGGATTTATTACAATTTCAGCAAAGGTTAGAAAAATTCTGGAAAATCAAGGAAATAGCTTTTTAGATTTTCTAAAATTATGAACTAATACCTAATATCACAGTCAGTATCTGGTAGTTCAGCAATATCCTTGAATACTCCGCTAAACGTAGAGAAGGTTGGATTCCAGTTCAATAATGCCTCCCAGCTTGTTGGTCCTAAAATAAGCATAAAGTAAATTTTTGTTGCAAATTTTGTAGAATTTAACTCTGTTTAGATTAGATGATTTAGCTGAACAAATGTTGTTTAAAGGAACTTTAAGGAATTTTAGTGAGCCTCCATTTATAGAGTGGCATGTTCGATTCACAACCTTTGTCTGATCAAGAATGAATGAAATATCTTAATTATTCTGACTAAAAATTGATTATTTTCACTGAAAAGTAACTTATACCTGCATTCCTGCATTTATGCTTCATATAAAACAGAATTCAGCACTGCTCATATGTTACTCGGATAGATGTATAAACGGTACCTTGTGAATCGGACATGTAAATTTTAAAATCGAGGTTGAAAATACATCAATAGTAAATATTTACCTGATGGCGAGGTGAGTCCTGAGAGGTCGTCATCACTCACATTTAATGTGGAAAGGGAACCTCGACCCTCTAGTATATCTTTCTTCTCTGTATCACTAGGATTCAGGTTCCGGAAAACCATTCCACCAGGGTTAATGCTTCCGGAAACTGGTTCCAGATTTTTACCATTGTACGGAGCATCATACTCGTATTCGGAACATGTAAAGGAATCATTCTCACTGGGACTATCACTGGAGTCTCCGTCATGAAGAACATCAGTGTTAGTGTCCAGCAGATCGTTAAACTTCTTCTTTTTACTGTCCACACTCATTCCGTCCATAACACTAGAGTTTCGACCGGACTGAATATTCCGATCCTCGCCGCGCTTTTTCCGACGACGTCGCGCGCGTGACGAGCTATTGAGATCACTGCCTGAGCTATCACTAATATTTCTGATTGGTTCCCTGATACTCCTCTGACTGTGCCTACTGTGCTGTGTCTGGAGTAGGGCAGACTGTAAGGGTTTTCCACTGATATCCTGGAGGGTGAGAATACGAGGAGTTTGATGAGAGAGTTCACTACTAGGACTTAATCTTGCCAGGGGGGTACTCTGCAGTTTATTATTACTAAGTGAGGTGAGACGGATAGGACTACTGTTATTCTTATGGTTAAGTTTGCCCCATCGATCCATATTAAGATCTCGTCCATGCCGGCCCCCATCCCTATAATCCTTGTAATGGTATATAATATCTATATCCGAGGGTGCTATAGAGCTTGCGTTCTCTAGATCATAGTGTTCAGGTTGATCAGGTTCCTGCATTACCATACTAGCAGAGTAGTCTGGTAGATCATCTCTAGTAGAGTATCCTAAAGGACTCTCGTTAACAACATCACGTTCTATAACATCAGGTTTCTGGGAGGAGGGCATCTTCTTCGGACGGTTAAACGTTTCCTAAACAATTCATCCTTTAACATTGTAGTTTATTATAGTCCTAAATTGTAAATACAATGAATAAAAATAACTTTTGTTTAAAACAGTTCTCATTACGGTAATTTTAGTTGGTATCACATATTTAATCAATTTAGTCATTATCCTCATAATTACCACAGAATAATAGATCTAAGGATAAATTGGGTTGTTTACATTTTACATTGGGTTTTTAGAAGAACTAAGGAATTTTTAAATTAGAAAACAAAATTGTAAACAAGGCTGGGGAAATTAGTAATCAGTATTTACTTAATGTTATTTTTTATATAAAAATAATTCTAGTGCTATCAAAGGAGTACCGATCAAATGAAAACAACCCTAATCTCCCTCTCTTTTGTTCTATACACCTCCTTACTATTCATAAAAACACTTTCATGAAAAAAATATCATTACCAAGGATATATTTCTGAAATATGTACAGTGATAACCAGAACACTTTGGAATTTGAAGTTGACTTTTAAACTCAAGTTAGGACAATGAGAATGGAACACAGCAATCGTGCAGAGCAAACAGACCTATTTTACTTATTAAGTGACTTAATAACTTATCAGTAGCTTATTTGCTTTGTAACAACATCAAATGCACTTCAGTATTGCTTTAATGTCGTCTTCCTATTCTACAGTTTTCTGGTTATCACTGTATATCAACTATACATTACTTTGCTTTGTGAATAGTTGGTTTTATCATGAACCTGCCACAGATACGTTTTTAGATTAGCGGTATTCATAAAAATTGTTGCCTACCTAAAAAAGCTCTGAAAAAAGAAATGTGTAAATTTTCACCTTATTGTTTAGAATCTGATTGAGTGAAGAATCTGTTGCACTTCTATTCTGCATTTTCTGATAATTCTTCTTCTTGATCTTAAACGCGAAGAACGACCCAAGGATGGCAAAGATAAGAATAATGAAGAAGACAATGACGATGATAACCCCGACATTGACCGGGTTGCTGCCCGCGGTCACGCTGAGGAACCCGGGCAAGCAATCGTGGTTTACTCCTCCTCTCTGGGTAGTGTTGGAAAAGAGAGGATTAGTTCCGTGATAGGACTGAACTACTCCGTTTATAGTGAAGTTTACAAGGCAGCCTCGGAATCCTTAAAAATTAATTTTTTGAAAAAACCGATTCACAATTTTAAGCATTACGGTAAAAGATAACCTTTAATGTAAAAAGTTCCAAATTCACGGTTTCCTTTAAACCTAACAAACAATGAAAATATCTTCACTTCTCTGTGTAAAAAATGACAATGTACAGTGAGACCCATAAAACTGTGGAATATGAAGACGATTGTTCTACTCAAGTTATGATTTTTAACAGTTCAATGAACATGAAATTTAAAACCAACTTGTTGAGTGAAATGGGTCTGTTTACAGTTTACACTGCACAATTTCTTTATTTCAGTGTAAACTGTAAACAGACCCATTTCACTTAACAAGTTGGTTTTAAGCTTCTGTTAAAACTATTTGCTGTAACACGTTAGCAAATAAAAATTGCTAAAATGTTGTTTTTATTTCCCACTGTTTTATGAGTCTCACTGTAAAATGTATAAAAATAGATTAATTAGAAATCATTTATGGATTTCTACAGCAACACCGCAGAAGAACATCGATCACAAAATGGTCTAAATTTGATAATTACAAATAGAAAAGTAAGCGCAGACAAAGATAACTAAGAAAATATATGAAGCGGTATTGCTAATCTGTTTATTATTGTTCAAATTCAGTTTTGAGAAAGACTCCACTCATTATACCTTTGTCTTCGAAATCTCTCTTTCCCCCGAAGGTTATTTTTGCAAGGTATGGATCTAGAAAATCATGCGTTGACTCTTGCTCCAGATCATATCCAACCCGCTCTTCATCCAGGTATACCTGGACTACACCAGCTTCTTTGGAAATCCTAGAAAAAAACTTTAAAATGTAAAAAATGGTCAAAGAACGGTTTGGATCAAATAAAGTAAAAATGAAAAACAATATTACCTAACTAAATGCCAGGCTCCGTCAATAACATCATTTGTGGAACTAACATTGATCAGAGGAAACGAGTTCTTCTTAGTTTCATAAACAAGCTTTCCTTCCTTTATAAATACGCTAGTATACTCACTGCTTCTCACAGTCTCAGCTGAGAAAACCAGTCCAACCGGAGTTTCTGTTCGGAAACTGAACCCGATTTCTTGTTTCTCCGTCCTGTTGGATTCTTTCAGATGATTTTTTGTCTGAAACAGTTGGGTTCTCCGATGGTATTCTGAAACCTTAAAAGACATGGTTCCGTTGGCCTCAAGAGAAATAGGATCCAATGACTTCTCACAGTCCTGAGACAGAACTCCGCCAGAGCATTGACAAACTGGTTTCCAATTGATTTCAGTACAAGTCCCAGGGGAACAGTTGTGATTACGGCAAATACTTCCAGGTATAGGACATGACGCTAGAATCTCATGGCTTTCAATAAAAGAAGTCTTTAAGTTCATTTGCTGGCCGTTAATAGTGAGACTCTTGACACATCCAATAAAATCATCTGAACTAACTTGACCGGCTCTGGAGACAATGGGTTGAACTTCATCAATACCTCCGAAGTAAAGAAGGTTTCCGTTGAAGTTTAAAGTTCCACTTTCTCCAATATCTTTAGCAAAACATTTCTCGTCTCCAGCCTGACAAAGTTTACAAAATTCCCCGGATTCTGTGCAATCTTCAATACTTAGTGAAGCAACCCGATTATTTCTAGTAGCTGTTACTTTGTACCAACGACCATTGCTGAGATACTTGTTGACTGAAATTTTAGTGATAGCTGTCCTTGCTCCACCATAAGAAAATACTGCTTTACCATCAATAAGCTCAATTGCTAAGAAGTCCGACCTGCCCCCGCTCTGTCGACCAAAGTTGTAGATAAGTAAACTGTTTGGTTTTAGGGTAGAGAACGTTATAGAGATATCATTAGTGTTCGGATCTAAGGAGGAGAACTTCATGTAGGACAGTTCTCCAAACCCAAAGGTTGAAAGCTCACAATTGGCTCCATAGAAGTTATCCAAACATTTGCATTGATAATTTGGTTTCTTAGAGATACATTCTCCTCCGTTCTGACAGGGGTTGGGTTGACATGGATCAAGAGAGTTTTCACAAACATTTCCTTGGTATCCCGGACGACACAAACAGAAGAATGTTCCCAAATTAGATTCCCGACATGTTCCGCCATTTTCACATGGATTCTGGTCACATGAGTTGGTTTTCTCCAGCTCGCATTGTTTTCCTGTTCTGAAGGAAGGACATAAACAGCTGAATTCATATCCAACCTGGACACACTGTGCTCCAGTCTCACAAGGGTTGGGATCACAAGGATTGGATTTGAGTTGACAGCTTTCACCTTCAAAATTCTGCGGACAGTCACATTTTACTCTCTGCACAAACTTGGGAGAGTTTAGAATAATATCTTCAGCTTCAACTATAACTGTTTCTGATTCCACGAGTGTATTTGATGAGCAGAATCCACTGTTTTGACAAGGGTTAGATTGACAAGGATTGTATCCCACTGAGACTTCTACTCCTGGCAAAACATTATCGAAAGAAAGTTCTGTTTGAAGCACGGACTCAACTTTTTGCTTCTGAATGTACTGGTTGTCAGCTCGCATGAGCACAAAGAAATCTGTCACATTCTCCTCCTTAACAATACTCAGAACCTGGACAGATCCTGTCGCGGAACGATGGAAATTTATCAACTTGAACACACGAGCCAGCTTGGAATGGTCTAAGTTTTCAAATATTCTAATAACAAGAGACGTGTCTTGTGCAACTGCATCAAACTTGTCAAAAGTGAGGAAAATTTGGCTGGTTACGCTGTCATGCAGCCCGTCATTGCCAATTATTGTCAAATTGTAGTTATTCACATTCATGAGGCGGCCAGTATGCAGGAAACAATCCTTCTTCATTTGAAACAGTTTGGTCGCACCATCTTTAATCTTGCAATCATAGTTCCCTGTTGTATCAGGATCTTTGGGCCTTACTGGAGCAACCACCCCTCCAGCAAAATCTCCATTCAGAGTTTGCACAATGACGGTGAGAAGTCTGGGCTCTGAAGGATTATCATTTTCATCAAGGACATCAATAGTGATGGTGTATTTTGAGGATAATGCCGGTGTGCCAGAATCTGAGATTTCAATCTCAATCTCAAGTTCAGGAGTCAGCTCTCTGTCAACACTCACAAGAGATCTTATATCTCCAGACAATTCATCGATCTCAAAGAAATTTTGGTGTTTTCCTCCCACTAGGTGGAAATGGAAAGGACCAGCATTGGGAGCCAAATCTTCATCAATTGGTTGAAGTTTGGCAACTAAAGTTTTCTCTGGACTATTTTCCTTGAGTGTTCCTCTTCTATTGAATATATCTAGGGAGGGAGGATTATCGTTTATATCGATTAGTTTTATGAAAACCTGGGTGGTTCCTGTCTGGGGAGGAGATCCGTTATCAATGGCACCAATAATAAGTTTATGCTGATCAGCCTTTTCTCTGTCCAGATGTTTGATAGTCTGGATGGATCCAAGGTTAGGATCGATCTCAAAAGATTCACTCTCATTTCCATCAATAATAGTGTAACTAAACTGACTGTTTCTGGGCCTGACATCTCTATCCACTGCTGAGACAGAAGTAACAACAGATCCCAGCTTGATATCCTCTTTAACCTCAACTTCATAGATATCCTTCCTAAAGACAGGAGGATCATTACCGTCCTGTACCTGGATAATAACCTGAGCTTCGTCTGTGTCATTACCCTGTATACTGCCTTCATTCTTGGCAAGGATTGTGAGAACAAATCTATTCTGGAACTCTCGATCCAGAATCTTCTTGACATAAATAATTCCAGACTTCTTCTCAATGTAGAACCCAAGATCATTGCTTTGTCCGACAAGGAAATAGTAGATATCCCCCTCAGGACCTGAATCCTGGTCCAGGGCAACCACCTGGCCCACTGCAGTATCCGGTACAGCAGATTCAGATACAGAAAACTGGAAGACCGGTTGCTGGAACTTTGGATAAAACTCATTAGAGCCCGTAATATGAATCACAAGAAGGGTTGTATTCGACTCTTCAGAATCAGGGTTCTTGGCAGACACATGCATCATGTATTCAGACAGTTTCTCAAAATCAAAGGACTGTTTGGATCTGATGAGCCCGGTTTCCGTATCAATCTCAAAATATTGAGACATGTCGGGTTCAACAATTGAATAAATGACTGCAGCGTACCGGGGTGAATCTAGGTCTACAGCTTCCATCCTAATTATATCTGTCCCAGCAGGTTGATTTTCTTCTAGATATGCATCATACTCTGATTGCTGGAAGAAAGGCACATTATCATTAACATCTGTCAGGTTTATATTTAGAGTAGCATTTGAGGCCTTTGGAGCCGATCCAAGATCCCGAGCAACCACTTCCAGTATATATCCATTCTCGACATCAAAATCCAGGGGTTTCTTGATTAAAATCTTTCCAGAGATCTCATCAACATCAAACATATCATTCTCATTCCCACCAATAATTCCATAACGAACTATCCCGTCAATCCCTTCATCTTTATCAGAAGCTTTGAGTTGAATGATAGAGGTTCCAATTGGTTCATTCTCCGGTATAATGATCTGCGTACTAGTCACAGAGAAAACTGGAGCATGACGGTTCTCTCCGCTTGGCATAATCTTGACAACCATCTCTGCACTGAGCTGAGGTACACCTTGATCCTGTGCTATAACTTTTAAATTGTAAACCTTGGGTTCAATATCCTTCTTGAGATTAATCCATCCATTCACAGAGTTAATCTCAAAGTGCTCGGCATCTAAACTTTCGTCCAAGATATATTCAATTTCAGCGTTGAGCCCTGTATCGAAATCATCCACTGCTTTTACTTGTACAACTTTAGCTCCAGGTTGAGCAGAGCTGGAGATAGCAGTTGTATAATCTTTCTTCACAAACACAGGTTTATTCAGATTTTCATCCATAAGGAGAACTTTAACATGGCACACAGAGCTTAGGGGTGGTTGTCCGTTATCCATAGCAATAACCTGGAGAAGGTATTCATTCTCAACAGTTCGAGTTCGGGTTGTATTGTAGTTTTCAAGCTTTCTCCGTGTTAAGATTTCTCCAGATGTAGAATCAATGCTAAAGAACTCAGAAGATTCCCTAAATGAATAGATAATTTGGGAGTTTGGTCCGATATCATCAGAATCTTCTGCGATAACTCTGCCAATAACTACAAAATTTTGTGTTGTTGTCGGAATCATGAATAGATAGTTTGTCTGTTCAAAGCTTGGTATATTATCATTTATATCCTGCACTGTGATCCCAACTGTAGTTTCAGCTCTCCAGGCTCCATCAGTAGCAACAACTTTCAGAAGATATTCATCCTTTGTCTCTCTATCCAACCCTTCAACAAGGATAAGATCACCAGTCTCAGGATTGATTTCAAACTTACCATCTGCATTCTCACTAAACTCATATCTTACTTTGGCATTCTCACCGATATCTTTGTCAACAGTTTGAACAGTGGCCAGGACGGATCCAACAGGAGAATCCTCAGTAATATTGATAGAGAGAATCCTAGTAAATCTGGGAGGATTGTCATTAATATCCTGAACCAAGACCCGGATAAGAGTTGAACCACTCAGAAATTTACTTCCATCATCTGTGGCTTCAACAGTAAACTCAAACATCTCCTGGTTCTCCCTGTCAAGCTTGGCAATGGTGGTTATCTCCCCGGTTGAAGGGTTGATCTCGAAGAACTCCTTATACTTCTCGTCCTTGATGGAGTACTTGAGTTTGCTGCTCACGTCCAGATCGATGGCGAGCACCTTGGTGACTGTAACCGGAGGGAAGGTTTCCTCAAGAACCTCTCCTAGGTAGAGACCTTCAGTAAAGACAGGAGCATTATCGTTTTCATCTTCAACTTGAACATGGAGCTTATGATAGGTTTGGTAATCGGCTCGTCCACTGTCAAATGCTGATATATACAGATCAAACTCAGCTCCCTGAAAATTAAAGATAATTGTGAAAATTTTGATTATAATTAATAAAAATAATTATAAATGATAATGATCAAAATAATAATTATAGTAAAGGATTCTGAGATGTATTAAAAAATGTAATAACCTGCTCATAGTCGAGTGGTTTCTTGATTCTAAGTTTTCCAAGTGTTGAATCTATGCTGAAACTATTGTAACGGTCTCCAGCTGAGATGGAGTAACTTAAATCCTATTCAACCAACAAGGGTCAATTATAATATTCAATCCTAATCCCTTTTTCAAATATTTTATCCTCTCAAACCAACAATCTTTGCTCACACTTCTAAGATAAGCATCATAGCACTGTAGAAGTAACTTCAAGGACCTTTCATCTATTGAGGGGCATGTACGATTTACAATGGTACAATTTTAAGTTGACCCAGCATGTTTTATGCAAAAAATGTAGCATGGTAAGATCTGCAGTGTTAATAGTACCGTTGTGAATCAGGCATACATCTCTTTGATTGTTAGCATCCTTGGGGTCATGTCACCTGAATTTACGTACAAAGTGTCTTTAAGCAAAATGGATTAAAGCACATAATATAAAAGAGAAAGGAAAAATATGAAAGAAAAAAACCAGAGTTTAATATGCTGGAGATAATCTAGAAAAAAATCAGAGTGTAATATGCTGGAGATAATCAAGAAAAAAATCAGAGTGTAATATGCTGGAGATAATCTAGAAAAAAATCAGAGTATAATATGCTGGAGATAATCTAGAAAAAAATCAGAGTGTAATATGCTGGAGATAATCTAGAAAAAAATCAGAGTTTAATATGCTGGAGATAATCAAGAAAAAAATCAGAGTATAATATGCTGGAGATAATCTAGAAAAAAACCAGAGTGTAATATGCTGGAGATAATCTAGAAAAAAATCTGAGTGTAATATGCTGTAGATAATCTAGAAAAAAGGATTAGATGATTAAAATCAAATATGCGGGGGCTTGCAAACAACTTCGAAAATTCAGAAAGGAGGCTTAAGGAATCCTATGAAGTCAATCAAAGATGAAAGAAGACAGGCTTAAAATGTATTTTAAAGGACACAAACAAGCTCATTATATTTCAGGACACAAAAAGACAAGGACAAGAAAATAGAAGTTAAGGTATTAAAACCCGCATAAATGAAGGAGAGATAGAATACTTGAATATCTATATTGAACCATCCCTGTGAGCTGAGTGAGTTAGCTTCTACTTGAGGTAGTTCCACCTCCTCCTGGTTCTCTGGTATCCTAATCTCGGATACAGGACTAGAGAACACAGGGAACAGGCTTCTCTCAGCAGTCTGGAGTTTCAGGACGGATTTAGCAGAGAGCTGTGGGGAACCTTTATCCCTTATCTCCAGGTCTAATGTGTAGGTTTGCTCCAAGTCTAGAGGGTTTAAAGCAGTGATGAGACCAGTATCTGGATCTAGGAGGAACTTGGAAGAATCTGGACCTGTTATCTGGTAGGTGAGCTGACCATTTACTCCTTCGTCAGGGTCAAATCCGTCCAATTTATAAACCATATCTCCTGAAAATATTAATATAATTAGTATTGGAAATAGTTAAAAAAGAATTTAAAATATGAAATCTTGTTTATATTGATTATTGTAGGCATTTGTCTTTAAAAAGAACACCATATTCTAGGTCCTAAAAGGACTGTTTTTTACTTGCAAACGAGTTTTACGAGTGGCATGCCCTATTCACAGCAGTACAACAGCAGAAGAAATACGCAAGTCACTTAAATAGAGAAACCACAAATAAAAATAACCATTTGTAAGAGAGAAAAGCATCTGTTTCTCATTCATTTTTGGTCAAACAAATATTTTATGACTACCGTTGTGAATCAGACATGTCACTCTAAGAATTGAAGTTTTAAAACTCGATATTCAGCTTAACAAAATATTATGAAAATGAAATGATTAAGAATTAATCCAACCTCGTTGAAGATCTGCAGGAATTAAAACAGTTCCTCCGTTCCGTAGTTCCGGAGGATTATCATTGAGATCGAGAATACGGATACTTAGCTCAGCACTAGAGGACAACCTCACGTCCTCACCTAAACAGAGAGGTCAAATTTATGCAACATAACTGGTACAACTTTTTGACCTCGTAGCTTCTAGTTTTTTATTTTACGCACAAATAGAAAAATCCGATTACAATTTTCATTGTTTTCAATTGTAAGTTATAATCAGTATATTTTTCCTAAACACAAATAAGAATCACAATACACATTTTTATTGCAATGCATATTTGTATCAATATGTTTTATATGTGTTGTGTGTGTGTATACTTAAAGTACCCTAAAGATTGAAAAATATGCCACATACATCACATATTTAGTTTAATACTATGCATAAAAACATTACAAACATAACTAGAACTTGTTCAGCTGTTTGTTTGTTTGTTTATCTGGTGAACCCATTATCTAAACTTTTAAAGAAGAACTCGGTAAACCTAATATACTGAATGTTCTCAGATTTGTTAAAAAGTTTTATTTACAGTGGGTTGATTTTTACAGGGTAAACCTAGTTTCCAGAAGCCGGGTTTCCAGGCTACATAATATTCTTGTAGTATGGATGAAAAATAATTTAGTTCCAACCTGAGTCTTCAGCCACCACCACCAGCTCGTAGAGATCTCTGAGCTCGCGATCAAATCTCCAGTTCGGATATAGGTTACCGGATTCATCTACTCGGAACGAACTAGCATCCTCTCCCTCAAGTCTATACCTGGAAATATTTATCAATTTATCTATTTATCTGTTTATCTATTTATCTATTTATCTATTTATCTATTTACATATTTATCTATTTATCTATTTACATATTTATCTATTTATCTATTTATCTATTTATCTATTTATCTATTTATCTATTTATCTATTTATCTATTTATCTTTTTAACTATTTATCTATTTATCTATTTATCTATTGATCTATTGATCTATTTATCTATTGATCTATTTATCTATTTATCTATTTATCTATTTATTTCTTTATCGTTATATCTGTCTATCTGTCTACCTGATGAGACTATTTGTCCCTAAGTCCCTGTCTACCGCCCCAAGGTGTAGTATGGGGGCTATGTTATCCTCCCTGTTCTCCTCGACCTCCAAGGAGTATCTACTCTGAGGGAAGGATGGAGCATTATCGTTTACATCCTCCACAAGGACGCTTAGAGTTCCTGTACTAGACAATCGGGGATATCCTGCAGAATAATAATATTAAAGGAATTGTTCCTGTACTAGACAATCAGGGATATCCTGCAGAATAATAATATTATAGGAACTGTTCCTGTACTAGACAATCGGGGATATCCTGCAGAATAATATTAAAGGAACTATTCCTGTACTGGACAATCGGGGATATCCTGCAGAATAATAATATTATAGGAACTGTTCCTGTACTAGACAATCGGAGATATCCTGCAGAATAATAATATTAAAGGAACTGTTCCTGTACTGGACAGTCGGGGATATACTGCAGAATAATAATATTAAAGGAACTGTTCCTGTACTGGACAATCGGGGATATACTGCAGAATAATAGTATTAAAGGAAATGTTTACTAGATAGTTGTGGATATCCTGCAGAATAATAATATTATAGGAAATGTTTACTAGATAGTTGTGGATATCCTGCAAAATAATAATATTAAAGGAAATGTGTACTAGATAGTTGTGGATATCCTGCAGAATAATAATATTAAAGGATCTGTTCCTGTACTAGACAGTCGGGGATATCCTGCAGAATAATATTAAAGGAACTGTTCCTGTACTGGACAGTCGGTGATATCCTGCAGAATAGTACTATTAAAGGAATTGTTCCTGTACTAGACAATCGGGGATATCCTGCAGAATAATAATATTAAAGGAACTGTTCCTGTACTAGATAGTCGTGGATATCCTGCAGAATAATAATATTAAAAGAACTGTTTCTGTACTAGACAATCGGGGATATACTGCAGAATAATAATATTAAATGGGGGGTATAGAGTAAATAAGGAGGAAGAGGGTTGACAAATATTGCATTTATGCAAAACTTGTATAGGACTTACAGGGTCTAAATACGAGAGTGAACTATAGAAAATGGAAAGGGGGGATTCAGGGGCAAAAATAAATACTATTTTGATAAAAAAAATCTATAAATATATTTTTTACACAATAAAACAAATTAAGACGAAGTCATAACAAGAAAACTATTTAAAAAATTTAAACAAAAAATATAGAAATTATTTATTTGGAGAAACATTTCTGTGAATAAATATGATAAATGAATTTTATGGATCCATTTCCCAAATTAATAAAGAAGTTGTATAATAAAAGATAGAACGAAGAAATGCAGAAAACCCTGATAGCTATTTCAAAAAATTCTATCCCTCCATCTATACATTAGGTTTGACAATACATATCATCAGTTCTGAAAATTTCGCAATTTTTTGACATTTTGTCAGCTGTCTCCTTGTAAATGTCCCAGGTGTCCTGTTCCACANTCATGCATATATCCAGGACCCCCCCCTTCATCTGTTACATGCACCAAAATATGCAAACAAATCTTACAGTAATTTCACCAAATTTAAAGTCACAAATTGCAATATGATTTTTTGCAAAATTATAGATTGCATACATTCTAAATTGGAGGAAAATAGATTAAATTTGACTTGTTAAAGGGACAAGGAGAAGGAATTTCAAATGACCCATTATTTAAAGGGCATTAACGGTTCAAAATGGTGTTAAACCTTTTTGGAGAAAATATAATTGACAATTATCAATTTTCAGATAGAAAAGCAAGAATATCTTTAGCATTTTTACACAGTCGGAGGTTTAAGAAGTTTCGTTTTCACTTATTGAATTGAGCAAACTTTTCATTGATCTGAGGTTACTTAACAGTTAAAATTACGTATAAGGGAAGTATATAAGTTATCAAATGTTGTTCTTTGATTTTGATGCATCTGACCAAGCAGAACTATAAGAAGAGTCATGAATAGATACAATTTAGGGTTGTATTTGTAGACAAATAGAATTAAGAATTTTTGAAAAATATCTTCGAAGATTTTTAGTTTCAGGGTTTAAACTGTAGAATGGTCTATTACCTGTGTCAACAGCGACAACTTGTAAAGTATACACAGGATCCAGCTCACGGTCTAGTACAGAGTGCAGGAATATATCTCCTGTACTGCTGTTGATTGAAAACCGGTTTTCATATGTTTCCTAAAATTGAATAGTTGTTTGATGATTACTTTTCACTTGACCAGATTATGATAAATATTATCAAGATTACCTTTAATGAATACTAGACCAGATTATGATGAATATTATCAAGATTATCTTTAATGAATACTTGGCTTGNACAGACAAGACAGACAAGACAGACAAGACAGACAAGACAGACAAGACAGACAAGACAGACAAGACAGACAAGACAGACAAGACAGACAAGACAGACAAGACAGACAAGACAGACAAGACAGACAAGACAGACAAGACAGACAAGACAGACAAGACAGACAAGACAGACAAGACAGACAAGACAGACAAGACAGACAAGACAGACAAGACAGACAAGACAGACAAGACAGACAAGACAGACAAGACAGACAAGACAGACAAGACAGACAAGACAGACAAGACAGACAAGACAGACAAGACAGACAAGACAGACAAGACAGACAAGACAGACAAGACAGACAAGACAGACAAGACAGACAAGACAGACAAGACAGACAAGACAGACAAGGCAGACAAGACAGACAATACAGACAAGACAGATAGAATGGTTACCTGGGTAGGTCAGCTTGGTTCTCGATGACCTTGGCTAAGTAAGGTGAATGCCTGAAGGTTGGAGGACTATCATTAACATCCTCAATGTAGATACTAAATATTAAATCGATTAAAATCAATTAGTTCAGAATAAATCAAAATCAAATCAAATCTCAGATATCAATGAAGATCAAGCAATAAAACTTAGGTGACTTTTAAGAATACAAAGGCACCTTTCTCAAAAAAAAACATTTTATTTATTGAACATATAAAATAAGAACTGATCAATGTATAAACCTCATAGAATAGATGCACTAAGATGAAACCTCAGAATTCAGACTCTGTTTAAAATATCCAATGCATTGTTTAATGGCGTGATTTTGTAAAGTTAAAATAAAGATTAAACAATGAAATTAACAAGATAATTAAACATTTGAGAACTGTAATTAAGATAAAAGATAACGATTACGAATTCATCAATTAAACGAAAGACTAAACATTTAATTATCACACCACATTTATGTATCTACTTTCTTAAACCTATAAAGGCTGGGGGGTCTGAATCTATGTTTAGCCTGGGGGGGGGGGGCAGTTTGGCGCCCCCCTTAGAAAAATGCCTTATGAATAGGTATAGGGTTGAAATGCATGTTCATAGCCCAATTTTTCAGGCGAGCTCAAAGAAAATAATTAGACCGATAAATTTAATAATTTGGGTGCTAGGGAGGGTTGAAAAAAATGCTTAAAATGGGTCAAAAAAATGAAAATAATATTTTTTTGTTTTAAACAAATATCAAAATGTGACACATGTTTCTGCATACATTTTTCAAGGGCTTTTCTAAACTATAGTTTTTAGATCTGTAGTTTTAGTCACAAAAAAGTTATAGGCTATTTTAGATTTTTTTTCACAGACCAGACTTTTCTCCACCCTGTACTCTACCCTATAAATCAAAAAAAATATTTTTTTAACAAAAAATCCTTTAAAATACTATTCATTAAAAGTCACAAAATTTCATGGTGATAGTGACAAAAATAAGAGGGCTAGGACAAACAACTACGGGGGGGGGCACCAAACGCCCCCCCCCCAACCTGTCTAGGGTTAAAAGATGTTTCAACAGATTGTTTTAAATATCAAGTACGCAAAAATATAGACAATTGAGTGCATCAAACTATTGAAATAAAAGACGACTTTTACATTTAAATTATGAGTTTAAATCGTTCAATGATCATCCAACACAATTATTATTTACCCATTTCACTTTATAAATTGGGTTGAAACTGTTGAAACTTTATACATTGGGTTGAAACTGTGTGCATAAATGGGTTGAAACTGTTGAAACTGTTGAAACTGTGTGCATTATGTAGAATATCAATCAGGAATATAACGAAGAGTAAAAAAATATTTGAATTTTCATTTTGATCTATTCCGATCTAAGGATGTTAACACTTAACACTTATTGTTGCATGATTATATATTTCCATTATACGGTAAACACTAAATCCGAATCAGATAATCTGAACCTGGAATTATATTGGCCATGAATGCCAACTCTAGAAATTCAGGGGAAACGGACCGTACAATTAAACTGTACTGTAGAAATTCAGGGGAAACGGACCGAACAATTAAACTGTACTGTAGAAATTCAGGGGAAACGGACCGAACAACTAAACTGTACTGTAGAAATTCAGGGAAAACGGACCGAACAACTAAACTGTACTGTAGAAATTTTAAGTAATTGTTTTTGATCTTTTCCCTAAAAATGTCTTCGTATGGCAATAGGCATATCGAGTATAAAAGATTAAATAGAGATGCAGATTAAAACTTTTAAGAACAAATAATGCCACAAAATATTCTCTCTTGAGAACATCCTAAATTATGAAAACCAAAAAATTAAAATAAAAAACTGTAGGTTTTTTTGCATGGTAAATAAGTATGAGTTTTGACAGTTAAATAATTAAGATTTTAGGCCCATTATTCTTTACCAAACCCAACGAATTCTTTATAAATAGAAGATGTTAAAGTTTTCTAGCTTTAGATCTCTGTGCTCACCTGACAGACGCAGTATCATATTTGACCGGGTTTCCAGCATCCTCCGCCTGTATTGTCAGCTGATATGCATTCTTCCGCTCAAAATCCAACTTCCGGTTCACGCGCAGGACTCCTGAGTGTTCTCCGATCGCGAAATCTCGACTCTTATCCCCTGAGACGATTGTGTATCGTATTGCACCATTGAGTGCTTCATCATCATCGAATGCAGTGGTTTGGAGAATATTTTGTCCTATAGTTGCATTTTCTAGTACAGTTGTACTGTACAGCTTTGGGTTAAACATTGGCGTATTGTCGTTGGTATCAACAACATGGATCTTAACCTCCATACTTGTAGAGAGGCGTGGCTTACCCATATCCATAGCGGTGATAGTCACGTAGAACAACTCCTTCTTCTCCCTATCCAACACAGCCTTGGTTCTCAGTATTCCGTCCAGCCGACCGATATCGAAATTATCGGAATCCGAACTCGTTACAAAGTATTCTATGTCTGCGTTCGGTCCTGAATCTCTGTCTATAGTTGTAACGGACATAACGATAGTGTTCGGCGGTTGGTTCTCTGTAACAAAACCGTCCGGCGGTGAGGTGAACATCGGGACGGAATCGTTAATGTCCTCAAGATCAAGCTTGACCGTAGCTGTGGCAGAGTTGCGACCTATGCCCGCCTTACCACCATCCACCGCCTTCACGATAAAGGAAAAGGAGGATTTTTCTTCTCTGTCGAGGGCTCGTTTAGTAACAAGGGTTCCGTTGTCAAGCATTGAAAAGTATTCCTCCGATTCACCTAAAATATAGTATTTATGCCTTGAAAATTTGAAAACAAAATGAAAAAAAAGAATATTGATGTTAAAGGGACTGTACACACTTTTCAGCCACAAGGATATCTCCGTCATCCGTTAACAGACAAAGGTGTTAAGGGTAACGTTGTAAACCCGACACTCAACTATACAAATTAAAAGGATCCCTGGAAATTGCGTCTCAGTCCCTTTTGTACTGCTATCAATATGATAATATTGATTTTTATAATACTATGGTAATTTGTCCCCTACCTATAATTGTGTACTGTATCCTCCCGTTATCTCCACTATCAGCATCAGTAGCCAGTACATCGAGTACACTCCCACCAATAGGTACATTCTCATCAACTGTACAAAGAGTTTATAGTTGTACATTGTTCAGTTTAGTTTATTTTTTAGTTTAGTTTAGTTTAGTTTAGTTCAGTTTATTTTAGTTTAGTTTAGTTTAGTTTAGTTTAGTTTAGTTTATTTTAGTTTAGTTTAGTTTAGTTTAGTTTAGTTTAGTTTAGTTTAGTTTAGTTTAGTTTAGTTTAGTTTAATTTAGTCTAGTTTTGTCTTCTTTAAACTGACCTGTAGCAGAATAGCTTGGACTAGAGAACTCTGGACTGTTGTCGTTTATATCTTTCACATTTATGTAGACCGTCACAGTAGAACTATACAAACATACATTCAAGCACATTTATGTAAATAGTCACAGTAGAACTAGACAAACATACATTCAAACAACATTTATGTAGACAGACATAGTAGAACTAGACAAACATACATTCAAACAACATTTACATAGACAGACACAGTAGAGCTAGACAAACATACATCAAAACAACATTTATCTAGACAGACACAATAGAACTAGACAAACATACACCAAAAAAACATTTATGTAGACAGACACAATAGAACTAGACCAACATACATTCAAACAACATTTATGTAGACAGTCACAGTAGAACTAGACAAACATACATTCAAACAACATTTATGTAGACAGTCACAGTAGAACTAGACAAACATACATTCAAACAACATTTATGTAGACAGACACAGTAGAACTAGACAAACATACGTTCAAACAACATTTATGTAGACAGACCCATTAGAACTAGACAAACATACATTCAAACAACATTTATGTAGATAGACACAGTAGAACTAGACAAACATACATTCAAACAACATTTTCATTAAATGCAAATGGCAAAAAGGACAAAAAGTAGAATGAATGAACTTATGAATTGAGAAGGAGAAAGGGTGCTTTAACGGATTAAAGGGTTAATGAATGATGAAGAATAAATAAAGAATGAAGAATAAGGAAGGATGAATGAATGTAGGATGAATGATGAAGGATGAATAAAGGATGAAAGATAAATGAATGAAGAATAAAGGAAGGATGAATGAAGGAAGGATGAATGATGAAGGATGAATAAAGGATGAAAGATAAATGAATGAAGAATAAAGGAAAGTAAAGGATGAAAGATAAATGAATGAAGAATAAAGGAAAGATGAATGATGAAGAATGAATAAAGAATGAAAGATAAATGAATGAAGAATAAAGGATGAATGCATGAATATATGTTCCTAAGTTGTGGTGTTCCATTATCAGCTCCAGATACAACAAATATATATTGCTCGTTCCTCTCATAATCCAGTTCAGAGGTTAGTGTAAATATTCCTAAACAAAATAAAAACTTTTTAATGTTTTACAATAAAGTGTATTTTTTTTAAAAGTTTTGTTAAGTTTCAAAAAGTATTTTTTATATAAAATTGAACAATGAAACTGAGTTTTTGCCTCAAAATCTAAGTTTCTAACCTCTAAATCTTTGCAAACTGAGGGTGTAAATCCTCTAAACTTAAAATTTATGATAGAACATAATTCAAAGGTCTAGGACATTGGGTTGCAAAGATATTGGGATTAGAAAATTTGAGTTTCTGGCAAAAACTCAGTTCTTTTCAGCCATATTCTTGCCTTGCTCTGCTGAGCCTTGCCACGATCTTAATCTTTGTTTTTAATAAAACTAGTTTTCGAGCTGTCCTAATACGTCAAAACTCACAGAAATATAGATTCAAACCCTACATATCGCCATCAAACAATTCTTGAATTACAAACTTATGAAACGTTTCGTGAATAAGATCATTCCAGGGTTTGTCACTTTACAGATTATCTTTTCCGCAGTTTGAATTTCAGGAGTGTGTATTTCAGGAGTGTGTGTTTCAGGAGTGTGTATTTCAGGAGTGTGTATTTCAGGAGTGTGTATTTCAGGAGTGTGTATTTCAGGAGTGTGTATTTCAGGAGCTGGTATCTCAGGAGTTTGTGTTTTAGGAGTTTAGTATTAGGCTTACTCCTCTACTCCTTGGCTTAACCTATATATTGGAAAAAACCAACGTTTTATTAAGTCCATTTATTTTAAAGTTTCTAGCTGAGCTCTGGTCTGAAAATGTGTGTTCTGAGATGGAATTTAAAGAATTTGAGCCGCGGTTTTAATCCGCCAAAAACCCGGTTTAAATTAAGCGCCGGCTTAAATCTTGAAACATTTGATACAATTTTAAGTGGAACCATCCATATTTAAACCGCGACTTAAATTTAAACCGCCGCTCAAATTCTTTAAATTCGGCCACTGGGTTCATTTATAAGTTTGTCTCAGCTTTATCGAATTCAAGAGCTTTAATTGAAACTCTGATCCTTATCTCAGCATTTAGTTGCACCATGCATGCGATGATACTTATTTTTAGTTAAAATATTTCCAACCACAATGTTAGGGAAAATCTGTAAAATCAGATTAAATGCCAAGTGTATTGTAATCGCCTTGCAATGGGTTAATCAAGAGAAATTCCAATTTAAATTAAAGAGATGTAGTAAAAGGTTAGAGGGCTTATAACACCTTGCTAAATTGAATANCTGAAGCAGGATCTAGTGTAAACTCACTAATAAGTTACTAACCTGAAGCAGGATCTAGTGTAAACTCACTAATAAGTTACTAACCTGAAGCAGGATCTAGTGTAAACTCACTAATAAGTTACTAACCTGAAGCAGGATCTAGTGTAAACTCACTAATAAGTTACTAACCTGAAGCAGGATCTAGTGTAAACTCACTAATAAGTTACTAACCTGAAGCAGGATCTAGTGTAAACTCACTAATAAGTTACTAACCTGAAGCAGGATCTAGGGAGAAAACTTCGTTCCCCCATTCAGTGATGATTGCGTAGTTGATTAACGAGTTTTGATCTAAATCTGGGTCTTTAGCGGCGACTTTTCCAACCAGTGTTCCCTGTACAGTGTTCAATTATATTATTGGATAATTGAAATAATAATGACAACAGAGACGATCATTAAAGTATTGATTATTGAAAACTAGAGATCGAAATCAAACTGATTATATAAAAGAATGCAGATCAAAGTTCATGGACCCCCCCCCCTCACTTCATCATTTTCACTCAACCTTTCAGATTAAAGCCAATTTATTTTCAATAAATAAGAATTGAGATAAATCTCAAAATATAAAACGTTAAAAAATGTAACACGTGTTCTGTGTTTTACAGAAAGACAAACCAAAAGTAGAGTAAAGCAACAGAGTCCGAAATTAAAGAATTTGACCCGCGGCTTAAGTTTAAGACGCGGCTCAAATATAGTTGGTCCACTTAAAATTGTTAAATGTTTTGAGATTTAAGCCGGCGCTGAATTGAAACCGGTTTTTGGTGGATTTGAGACGCGCCTCAAATTTATTAAATTCGGGCTCAAAATAAAAAAATTATTAACCTCAAACCTAAATTGACCAACCAGAAGAATTGAGAATTTGTAACTAGAACCAAAGGTTAAAGAATTATCTAAGTTGAAAAGTAAAATTAAAATCATTGAAAGGGTTGCTCCTCTAAGGTCAAGGAAGTTCTGCACTTTGGAATTTTTATCTTTAGTTTTTAAACTTAAAGAAGGTTAAACAAACGTTTAAGAAGAGATGCAGTCATGCAAAATTTGTTTCAATGTGTGCAACAATTTAAACTTGTAATCTATATATAAATTTGGCTTGTCTGTTTGGGCGTCTGTTTGTTTGTATCCAATAAACGTCAAAACGGCTGAACCGATCGGGCCCAATTTTTTGTGGGACATCTAGGGACCCCAGGGAAGGTTTATGAATGATCAAAATTTCAAATATTTGTCTCCATCAAAATTCGATCTCCATCAAATTTTTTAAAATTTTGAAAATCCACGAAATTTTTTGTGAAAATCCGCGAATTATTTTTGTTTTGTTTTACGATGTATACAAAGAGAACATGTTCACAATTAATTTAGAAGATGGGCGCGAAGCGCCCTCTAAGGCTAGAAAGAAGGGCGCGAAGCGCCTTGAATTTCTAGTAAATATTAAATAAACTAGCTTGGGAACCCAGCTTTGCCTGTAGATCTGTAAAATTAATAAAACACAGCTAAGAACATCTCCGGTTTCATGATCAAAATATTATGCGAATCGGACATACAAACAAACAGACACCCAAAACATAGATTACAACTTTAAAGGGAGTGTTCGCGAAAAATGAAAGGGGGTGTAGGCTTAATGCGATAAAAAAGCGCTTTTGATCGCTACTAATCTTACTTCTATCTGTTGCGTCTATAAGGAGAAAATTGTTAAAGACGTCTCATACCGAATAACTTAGCGGCTATACAAATAGAGAAAATTGCAACATACTACTTTGACCGAAAAAAAATCAAATTAATTTCAAACAAATCATTTAGATATTACAACCTATAGTCATCGATTATCTTTCGCCACATTTGTATATAGTTAATATATTATAATATTTTATTTTTTTTATAAAACGTTTTCAACGGATTTCCAAAATTGTGAGTGTTGTGCGGCATTCTTAGATAGTTGCGCAAGCGACAAGAGAAATAAACAAATTAATTGAAAAATATTATAAAATATAAACTATATACAAATGTGGCGAAAGATAATCGATTACTATAGGTTGTAATATCTGAATGATTTGTTAGAAATTAAATTGATTTTTTACGGTCTAAGTCGCAGTTGCAATTTTCTGAATTTGTATGGCCGCTAAGCTATTCGGTATGAGACGTCTTTAACAATTCTCTCCTTACAGGCGCAACAGATAGAAATAATATTAGTAGCGATCAAAACCACTTTTTTATCGCACTAAGCCTATACCCCCTTTCATTTTTCGCGAACACTCCCTTTAAATGTATACAGATAATATATTTAATATGTTAATTTTTATAGTTTCTTTTAATACGATCCCCCCTTAACCGTTTCATATGATATTATTTATAGTTAGATGCATATAATTATACTTCAATCTTTTAAATACGTAGATATGAGAAATTATATTTTTCATGATTTTCTAATTTTTTACCTCTAAATAACATAAAATTATCAACGAATAGTTATTATATAAATTCAGGAAATTAAACTTTTATTTTTTCCAAAATCACAACAACAGAGGCGATAGAAGCAAGACAAAGGAATACATGGATTTACCTTTGGTGAAGTTTCATATAATTCGAATGAGAAAATGTTGCTGGTAAACTCCGGTATATTATCATTCTCATCCTCAACCTGATAAACAATATATCTATATTATCATTCTCATCCTCAACCTGATAAACAATATATCTATATTATCATTCTCATCCTCAACCAGATAAAAAATATATCTATATTATCATGCTCATCCTCAACCTGATAAACAATAAATCTATATTATTATTCTCATCCTCAACCTGATAAAAAATATATCTATAGTATCATTCTCATCCTCAACCTGATAAACAATATATCTATATTATATAAAAAATATATCTATATTATCATGCTCATCCTCAACCTGATAAACAATAAATCTATATTATTATTCTCATCCTCAACCTGATAAAAAATATATTTATATTATCATTCTCATCCTCAACGTGATAAACAATATATCTATATTATCATTCTCATCCTCAACCTGATAAACAATATATCTATAATAAAACTAGTTTCGTAACTCAGCTTTGCCTGGAGTTTTCTTTATAAGAGTAACCCCTGTCAATTTTAAATTTTTAAATTAAGCTTCTGTTCAAATCTTGTTTTACATAAAATCATAACTTAATTCAATAAAAAAAAATGTTAAAAAGAAACAAAACTTATTTTATTCATTCATTTTAAGAATGTAAGACACAGACAGTGAGAATTAGCAAAGAGACGAATTTTTTAAAATGACGACATTTTGATTTTCTAGTTCAATATTTAATGGTTCAACCTAGGTGATATATACTCGTAATTATGCAAAAAACAGTGAAGTAAACGAATGCAGAAGTTACTTTGATGAAGTTGAGCCAGCCCTATGGATCCTCAGATTATATGCAGGATGAGACTTCAGAGACGACTGTACAGAATTTATTAACTTATTTTTATATTAGCTAACTTATAACATTAAAACAAGCTCAACCTTTAACTTGATACATTTATATGCTGTACTGTGCACATTTATATGCTGTACTGTGCACATTTATATGCTGTACTGTGCACATTTAAGGTCGCCCCTAAAGTCTTATCATTTACTAGTAAAGAACTGTGTTTATAATAAAAACAAGGCATAGCCCTTATTCGCTGCTCTTATAACCTGTTGTGTTCCCTTACCTATAATACCTTTGTTTTAATGTTTAACGTTTATAAAGTTTACCGTGAGTAGTAGATTAATATCTGAATACTGAATACCATCTGTAGCCCGTACACCTAACCGGTATATACTTCGCTTCTCCCTATCCACACCAGAACCCAGGCTTAGAACTCCTAAACAACAACTTTATTAAAGGAACACTCTCATAAACTCGATATTTTTGCAACCTGTCAATGCAAAAATATCGAGTTTATGATATTTTTGCAATGTCATAGACCCTGTATAGTTCTGCTAAAGAAATAAAGTCTTTAGCACAAATAAAATTTTTCAATTCCCCATATCTTTGTAAACTGATTGTTTAAACCGTTGATATTTCAAAATTAGATTATTTCATCTGACATATTTCATAATTTTAAATATCCAAGGTCTACGACATTTGGAAATTCGAAGTTTACTACAAAGACCCAATTCCTATAATAGGGTAATACCATCAGGTTCCGGAGATAAGGGATTATAGAATTAAAGTTTGAGGTGAGTAATCAGTTTCTTTATTTTACTAGATATGTCCAGGATCTTTTAATAAACATGATCTTACAACTTTATACTTAAAATAAACGTATACAATCTGAATGATAAAGTTGGGAGATTTTTTGTGAACCTTCCAAAGATTCTGCAAGCTTGAATATTCAAAATTATTTCCTAAATCATCTGCATTGGTTCACAATTTATACAATTTCATACCTGAGTTCTCGTCTAGATTGAATATCTCTGTATCCCCTGATATCAGAGAGAACTTGATAGTTCCATCCTTGTCTGCATCAACAACCGTGATTGTGGTCACCAACTCCCCGGGCAAGGTGTTCTCAGAGAACAGGATGGAAGGGGACATCTCATACCGAGGTGGCGTGTCATTAATGTCCTCTATGTACACAATAACCTTAAAAACAAACATTTTAATATTATGAAGGACGAAAATGAATATTAAATGAATTTTAACCTTGCAGGCTGAGTTTCCTCCATCTTGAATAGCCATGAGTTGAAGAATAAATTTGACCCCATGCTTCTCACGGTCTATGTTTCCACTTGTGAATATTTCTCCAGTAGAATCATCAATCCTGAAAAAGTTTTTTTTTACACCAGCACAGATAATTTCAAAATTTTAAATCTATTCGCTAAAAAAATAGGTTGTTCATACCTAAACAGGTTTTTGTTGTTTCCTCCTTCAGATTCTGTTTTGATTATGTAAAACTTAGCAGTTGATTCATCCCTGAGAGAAACCTTGATCAGAGAAACCCCTTCTCCGCTCTCCTCTTGCAGGTTTACTGAGTACTCCTTCTCCACAAACCCTGCTCCCTCTTCATCCTTCTCCAGTCCCAGGATAATAATGGTAGCAGTTGAGGATCTGCGTTCACTCTGCACAGCTTCGTCTGATGCAACCACAACTAGTTTATATTCAGGATCCAGAGTCTCAGGACGGTTCTGCAGACTTATTTCTCCACTATAGTGATCTATGCTGAATAGGAATGATTCCTCCTGGAGTCTGTAGGTGACCAGACCATTAGAGTTTGTATCTTGATCGGATGCACGAACCGTCACGATCTTATCTCCAATTTGGGTTCCAAGGTGTAGGATACCAACAGGAACAGACTCAAACTCTGGAGTATTATCGTTGATATCCTCAATGATAATAGTAATGATTTTCTCAGATGACAATCTGGCAGAAGCTGGAACCGCCATATCTGTAGCTACTACAGTAAACCTGTATGTATCTATCTCTTCTCGATCAATGTTTCCAACTGTTTTAATCACTCCGGATAGTCGGTCTATCACAAATTTTTCAGCAGAACCTGCTTCATACCCTGCCAGGGAGTATTCAATCTTTCCATTCTTCCCGCTATCCTCATCTTCTGCTTCAATAGTTAGTATTGGAGTATCAAGACCAATCCCTTCAGGGATTTGACGAACTATTGCAGTGTTTGGGAACTTTGGGGCATTGTCATTCACATCTTTAACTTTTATTTGCAGAGTCACTGTGTCACTTAGTTGGGGCAGGCCTTGGTCGGTTGCCCGCACTTTTAGAACAAGAGTGCTATCTTTCTCAAAATCCAGAGGTTTCTGTAGATAGAGAATACCGGAGAACGGATCCAGCCGGAAAGATCTCTGATAACTTCCATCCGAGAGATAAAACCTGATTTCTGCATTCTCTCCTAGATCTTCATCTTCAGCGTAGAATCTGAAGACCTGTTGTCCCACATTTGTATCTTCCGGTAGGGTGAGCACCAGATCAGTGTTAGTAATCCGGGGCTTGTTATCATTCTCATCTAGAACATACACGGTTAGGGTCGATATACTTGATTTCATCGGCTGTCCACCGTCTTGAGCAAGTACAGAGAGAACATAGGTTGATTTATCCTCACGGTCTAACTTGTTTACAAGGTTAATTATCCCATTTGTTGAGTTAATCTTGAAACGATGTGTCTTGTCTCCCCCTGTGATTGAATAGCTCACTTTCCCGTTCTCTCCGAGATCGGAATCTGCTGCAAACACAGCCTTTAATTCACTTCCAACCTCCGCAGTCTCAGATATACGTGCAACATAGTTGTCACTGGCAAAGGTTGGAACATTGTCGTTCTCATCAAAGACTTGAACTGTTACTGATGCGCTGTCAACGTTCCTGGGTAACCCGTTGTCTCTGACTAGGACTTCAAATGAAACTGTGTCTGTGCCAAGTTCTGTTATTAACTTCTCCCGGTCCAATGATGTTTTTGTGAGAATAAACCCAGTTTTAGATTCAACCTGGAAATATTTCTGATTTTCTTCCAGACTATAGGACAGTTCAGCATTCCGACCTATATCCTTATCCTCAGCATGGATTTTACCAATATATGTATTCTCCCCCTCGTTCTCCCGTACGCTGAATTCATATCTTGGATTCACAAACTTTGGGGAGTTATCATTAATATCAGAGACGTGAATTGTCAAGGTTAACGTTGATGATCGAGCAGGAGACCCATTATCATTAGCACCCACTGTTAGAGAATAATAATCGTTCTTTTCTCTATCCAACTCCATCTTTAGGTAAATATTTCCATCTGGAAAAATCCCAAATGTATTGTTATCCCCTGCCATGATTTTGTAATCAATTCGGCCATTTGCACCAACATCATCATCAGTAGCCTTCAGATGATAGAGTTTAGAGTTGACAAGAATATCTTCAGGAACAGATAGTTCGAAGCTCTCCTGATCAAAATATGGAGTGTGGTCGTTGACATCAACTATGTCGATCAGAAGTTTAAAATCAGATTTAAGCTGAGGTTTCCCAAGATCATTAACTTCAATCTCCAATGTTATTTGTTTCTCCTGGCTTTCCTTCAGAGGTCTAGAAACCTTGATGGCTCCTGTTACTGGACTTATTTCGAAGAACTCATTTCTTGAAGTTAATCTAAACTCATGAACTGCATTCTGCCCCTGGTCCGGATCCTTGACCGAGATTGTGCTCATGATTTCATGAACTGGTGCATCCTCAAATATCTGAATCCTATTAGGATTAAGTATAATTGGTTCGTTATCATTCACATCAAGGATATAAATCTCAGCAATACAGACAGAACTAATAGTTCTAGATAATGATTTAATATTGATCTTTAGTATATATTTATCCTTTAGCTCTCGGTCTAAAGGTTTTCCAGTTATAATTACTCCAGCTTGTTTGCTGATGGAAAACACTCCATCTTGATCCCCGTCTGAGATGATATATTCAAGATCAGATAGGGTTGAAGTACCCAGAGTAATTGATCCAACCTGTCTTCCAAGCTGGGGATCAACTAGGCTAGAATCCTCTTTTATCTCAAACCTGTAAAGGTCTTCAGTACAGCTGAGATATTCTAGATTATCTTTGTCAATGTGGATTTCTACTTGAGCAGATTCAACAGATTTCCGTCCTTTCCCGTCCTTTCCAGATATTGAGAGTACATACATACTTTCCTTCAATTCTTTCAGAGGTTTATTAATAAAGAGTTTTCCAGTATTGCTCTCAAGCTTAAACAATGTAGAGCTTCCTTCTTCAATTTCATAACTTATTTCAGCATTGACTCCTACATCACTATCCGTTGCAATCAGTTGCACAATCACCTCCTCTTCAGAGAAATCAGATTGGAGAACAACAAAATATCGTTGTGGGTAGAATTTTGGAGAATTGTCATTGATATCCTCGACCTTGACCTTCACTACAGCAGTAGAGGTCAGAGGAGGTCGACCTAGATCTGCAGCGGTCACTTGGAGATCATATTCTCCGATCCTTTCACGATCAATGTCAGAGTTAACTGTTAGATCTCCAGTTTTTTGATCAATTTGAAAATCACTGGAATGCTCACTGTTCACAATTGAGTATCTGATGGTACCATTTTCACCCTTATCCTTGTCTACTGCTGCTAGTGTGGCAATTTTAGTTCCGATCTTAGAATGTTCCGTCAGAGAGACCTCAATGGACTCCGATGGAAAGACTGGTGAAATGTCATTGACATCAAGGATGTTAATTTCAACGGTTGCATTGGCATATTTAGGACTAGTTCCTCCATCTCGAGCTGATACGCTTAGAACTACGCTTTCACGTCTTTCACGATCCAACTGCATTCTACAGAAAATAATATTAATAAGAAAGATAACAATAATAGTAATAATAATAATAATGGTAATAATAATAATAGTAATAATAATAATAATAATAATAATATTAATAACAATAATATTACATAATAATAATAACAAACCTGGTGGTGATGAGCCCTGAACTATGCTGAATATCGAACCACTGGAAATCATTACCGCTAATAATACTGTAATAAATATTACTATTAACTCCACTATCCTCATCAACTGCCAGGGGGGCGGACACAAAGCTACCGATGGGGGCAGACTCGGGTAGAACGGCGGTGTACACAGATTCGGTAAACACGGGGGAATGGTCGTTGATGTCGTTGACGTATATGATCAGATGACTAGTAGAAGTCCTAAAAACAAACATTTTTCCAAATGATCTTATTGTTGAAATTAACTAAATAAATTGGCAATAATAATTGAAACTTAAATTGGCTAATTCACAACAGCGTCCTTTAAACATATTCTGATAAGGTATTTTTAATATATTCGCCATCATGACTTGAATGCTTTAACTTCTCGACTAATAAGTTAGTTATCCCATAAAGTACTCAGTAAATTAATTTTAATATCGAAAGAAAAAAGTAAGATAAAAGTAAGTTGACTTATTTTTTCCTCAGAATGGTTCTTAGCTAATTATATATTAATCGAAATATTGAAAAAAATAAAATGAAAGAAAGCCTTTACTTATTTTTTCCTAAGATAGTTACTTATCCAATGAAAATAAGATAAAGTAGGATGAAAGTAACATGAAAATAGATGAAAGTAAGATGGTTAGGCGAAAGTACGATAAAAATAAAATGAAAGTAAGATGAAAGTAGGATGAAAGTAGGATGAAAGTAGGATGAAAATAAGATGAAAGTAAGATGATAATAAGATGAAAACAGATGAAAGTAAGATGGTTAGGCGAAAGTACGATAAAAGTAAAATGAAAGAAAGATGAAAGTAGGATGAAAATAAGATGAAAGTAAGATGAAGGTAAGATGAAAATAAGACGAAAATAAGATGAAAGTAAGATGAAAGTAAGATGAAAGTAAGATAAAAGTAAGATGAAAGTAAGATTAAAGTAAGATGAAAGTGAGATGAAAGTAAGATGAAAGTGAGATCAATGAGTAAAAATAACAAATTTATCTTTGTTTCTCTCTCTTAAAATTGATGATTTACTATAACGGAGTTTCCCTTGTGGATTTGTGCGGCAGAAAGGAATGCAATCAACCATGTCAATTGTAAATAGATTTTAAGATAGAAAAATGACGATATCTTCCTTCTTTTTTCTAAAATAAAAGTGTAAAGTATATCGCTGAAAATCAGACATGCCACTCCGTAATTGGAATTTTTAGAGAAAAGTGTAAAGATGATAATTTCCTTGTTGTTTCTCTATCAAGCTCCGTCTGAACCCGAACAATGTGAATATCTCCTCGGGAATCAAGACGAAAATGTCCGAACTCATTTCCGCTCGTAATCCGCAATTCTGTCTTCCCGTTCCCGCCTTTATCCTGATCAGTAACGGTGATGGCTGCCACGAGAGAACCGGCTTTTGCATTCTCCTCGACGGTTGCAAATTTTGCGGTTTGGTCCGGGAAATATCGGAAAGTTATCTGATAATCCAGAAATAAAATAATATTCTAATTATGCATACTCTGCACAGTATACCCTTCATCCTCCATTTCTCCTCGACAATAGAATTGATTTTGGTTTAATCTAGAACAATCTACATTCTTTACAGTTTTTATCTCTTCATCCTACTTAATGCTTCGAATATCATTTATAGTAAAAATATGTCTTCTTAACGAAGACATTCTTTAACAAAGTCATTTTAAGCCATTATATTTAATGTTTTCAATCTTAAACCAATCTTTTGATCTTATGATATATCAACCCCCCCCCCTCTCCTCATTCCTCTTTTATAAAAAGGTCTCTTCGACAACCCCATTACCCCTCCTCATTCCTTCTCTCCTCCTCCCCTTCCCTTAATGCCGAACTATTTTAAACTATTGATTTGAATTTATTTTCATGTCTGTATTCCTGGGGTGAATGGTCGTTAGCGTCGAGCAGTTGGACAATCACCGTACATTGGGAGTCCTAGACATAGACACTTATATAATAGACATTAGACATAGACACTTTTATACTATAGACAGAAGATATATACACTTACATAGCCAAAGACAATGATATACTAGACATAGAAACTTATAAACTAGACATAGACACTCATATACTAGACATAGAAACTTACAAACTAGACATAGACACTCATATACTAGACATAGAAACTTACAAACTAGACATAGAAACTCATATACTAGACATAGAAACTTGCAAACTAGACATAGAAACTCATAAACTAGACATAGAAACTTACAAACGAGACATAGAAACTCATATACTAGACATAGAAACTTACAAACTAGACATAGAAACTCATATACTAGACATAGAAACTTGCAAACTAGACATAGAAACTCATATACTAGACATAGAAACTTACAAACTAGACATAGAAACTCATATACTAGACATAGAAACTTACAAACTAGACATAGAAACTCATATACTAGACAGAATACAGTTATAAACTAAACATAGACACTTATAAACAAGATATGACACTTATACCATACTTATGCAAATGCAATTAAGAAAAAATTGAAATGATTAATCAAATAATTAAATCTCATTTAGTTGTTGTGTTTACCTGGTTCGGAGCCCCGTGATCTCTAGCAACAACTATAATCTGACAGGTTCCATCGGAGCAGGACGGAGGTTTAGTCAGGGTAATTACTCCGGTATCTCCGTCTATACTAAAGGTATCTGAGTCTAGTAGTCCGGACTGCAGGCTGTAGGTTATCCTGGCATTCTCCCCGGAATCCTGGTCAACAGCGTTCACCTGAAGAACATCAGAATAGTTCATGTTAAAGATGACACAGTCAGTCTCTACCTCGTTATATTCTAATACAGTGATACAGAGGCGTAAACAAGGGGGGGGGGGTTGTGGTCCAGCAACACCCCCTTCTAAAATCAGTAAAATCTATGGTTTCCGGGGACAAGCCCCTGAAAATGTAAGCCCCAACCCCCCTCCCCTAGGCAGATTCCTGTGTACTCGTGGCGACGCTTCATAAATTTTATTATTTTGTTAATAATTTCCTAACTGTGTAAATTGTTTTTACCTGTATTACAAATGATCCACTCGGTGATGTTTCATTAATAGTTGTTTGGTATTCAGGTTTATCAAATACAGGAGCATTGTCGTTGATATCCAGAATAGATATAGATAATACAGTAGATCCTAAACATCAGGATAATATATATTATATAATGCAGTTGATCCTAAACATCAGAATATATATAATACAGTTGATCCTAAACATCAGAATATATATAATACAGTAGATTCTAAACATCAGAATATATATATAGATAATACAGTAGATCCTAAGTAAAAACATCAAAATAGATATAGAAAAAGAACATCAGATCCAATTTATCAATTTCTAATTATGGTTGTATTAATAATAATGATTATAACAAAAAGAAAACAAAGATGATATTAGAAAAAAAGAAATAAACAACCCAAATCAACAGAATTATTAACGAAAATACAAATATACAAGTAACTTCTGCTTCATTTACTTTTATTATTGTATGACTATGGACCAACATGAAAATCAAATTTAAATTGATACTTGTATAATATTATAAGTAGGGAAAATACAAAATTAATCCAAATCTATAAAAAGAGGAAAACTGATGATAAGACGAACCTTGAAGAGATGGGGTTCCACCGTCTACAGCTGTAATATTAAGAATATAATTCTCAGTCTTCTCAGCATCAAGTAGTTCTACAGTCTCCAGGTACAGGTAGTAGCTCTAGATAGATAGAGATAGACAGAAGTTATAACAGCCTTTAAAAGTTTTTTTTTATACCCTTATTCCTTCCGTTATTGTAAGTAAACATATTTGTTTTCGTAAAATCACTTTTTACGTTGTAAAAAAAGACCTTTTTTGGTAAACAGGTTTTTAGAATAAATTTTCATAAAATTTTTCTGTCATGCAACGAACGGCTTAATTTAACCTCATCCAAAATATTGGATTACAATATATTTATTCAGATGCCTTGTTCAGTTGTGTAGAAAAATAAACTAAGTGGTCTAATTCCAAAGAGAATAGAATATATATTAGAGAGTAATTTACTAGAAAAAAGTGTAAAACGGCCATTTTGTTGTACTGTTTCCATACTGCAGGTGTACTTCACATATTTATGCTTTATAACCTTTTGGGCCCTGGAACATCATTTTATAGGAAATCTAAAATTAATATTAAAAGAAAACCAAATTATGAAATAGGCTGGTTTCATAATTGACCAATGATCATTTCACATAGACTCTATGCCTTTAACTTTACAAACGATGATTTTCCGTTATAACTATAAATCAATTGAAGTTTTTTATTCACCTAATTCATTTTATAAAGTTTATTTAACAGCTTTAAAAAATTCTAAATTGAAATGGATAGTCTAGGGAACATAATGTACTCTACTGCAGATAATTTGTGAACTTTTACATGATTTTTACATTTTGTCAGTCCCTTTCAGCCGGAAAGGGACTGACAAAATTCTTACCGAGGGATTGTCTACATTCCCCTCTAATATATATTCTATTCTCGTTGTCTAATTCTATGGTTTGACCAACAATATGAGTTTGCCTGGAATTTTTATCCTTTTTATTTAACTTTTCTGTTCTTGAAAGTAACCTTATTGCTATATTACCTGACTTGTTGGGTTGTCATCACGTTTCAACGCAAACTTTCCATCTTCGTTTCCTGGAATAAGAAAAATATAAAAATGTTCCAGATTAGGGTTAGTTTACATTCAAACCCTCTTGATGGAGGACCTACATCAACCTTATTTTTATCTCCCTGTCCTCTGTGGTCAAACCCCGAAGCAAACCCAGCTGTAACATTCTTTTGATCTTATTAAAACATTCCTTCAAGTTAAACCAGTTTATAGTTGGGTTTATTGATATTTTTATTAGAAAAATTGTTTTAAGGTGACATTTATGCTTAAAAGTTCTAGTCCCTAAGGAGCCATGAAAAAATACCAACGATTCATGTAGTAGACACATGCTATAATACAGGAAGCGTATTCAGTAACTATATAATAACAGGGTGGTATCACACATAATTGGGTTCAAAATTTCCTGTTGAAATATCAGTTTATAAGTTAAAACGATTCTCACTCCATAATATAAACACACTAGGCTTTTAGGGCGCTTTGCGCCCATCTTCTATCTCAACTTTTAATTTTGGCTTTATCTCTGAGCATCTTCTCTTTGTACAGTATAAAACAAAAACAACAAACTTTTAAACACAAATTTTAAAAAAATTGATCATTCATAAACCTTCCCTGGAATCACGTAATGTCCCACACAAAATTTGGGCCTGATCGGTTCAGCCGTTTTGACGTTTATTGGATACAAACAAACAGACAAACAGACAGACAAGCCAAATTTATATAACTAGCCTTAGAGGGCGCTTCGCGCCCATCTTCTAAATTAATTGTGAACATGTTCTCTTTGTGTACATCGTAAAACAAAACAAAAATAATTCGCGGATTTTCACAAAAAATCTCGTGGATTTTCAAAATTTTCAAAAATTTAATGAAGATTGAATTTTGATGGAGACAAATATTTGAAATTTTAATCATTCATAAACCTTCCCTGGGGTCCCTAGATGTCCTACAAAAAATTTGGGCCCGATCGGTTCAGCCGTTTTGACGTTTATTGGATACAAACAAACAGACAGACAAGCCAAATTTATATATAGAAGATGAAAGAAAGTTTCTGCTGTTCATTGATAGAACAATGATAAACTTATTAATGTTAGAAAACAAAGATAGAACTGGCCCTGGGTGAACGTGTTGTAATCCGACAGCATTCAAATTTCAACGAAAACCATTTCGGACCAAAAACGCACACAATACTCAAAGTGTAAAATTATTGGATCAGCGTGGAAACTTTTCAAAAAGATCCAATTATTATAAATGATCTGTTCGACTCTCTAGTTAATACAATGCTTGATTCTATATGAGGTGGGATTATTGTAAATGGGGACACACCAGGACATTTTTAAATAACTTTTACTTTATTTTTAAGATATACAATATATTGATCGTAGTAAGTGCATAATATATTTATAACGTATTGTGAGTACGGAATATGGATGATATATTTTATGAATAATTTATATGGAGTATGTGAAATACATTTTCTGGGGTGGGAATAATTAATTTGGAGCAAGGATCATTTATTTTAAGCAGAATATATGCATTATGCAATATATATTTTGAGCAGAATATATGCATTATGCAGCATATATTTTGAGCAGAATATATGCATTATGCAATATATATTTTGAGCAGAATATATGCATTATGCAATATATATTTTGAGTATATACCTGAGGATATAAAATACTCCTTGATTACACTATTTTCTCCTTCATCTTTATCCAAAGCTATATCCAGGATAACTCGAGAACCTGAAATGTAAAAATTTTATTTTATTTTTAAATATTTTGTTTTTGTACTATTTAATAAAAGAACCTTAGTTTAAAACCGGAAATTGATGAATTTTTATTTTTTCAACATAGAAAAATCGACACTATCTTCCACATTGTTAGTCAACTTTCATTGATACTGTTGAGAATCGAACATGAGACTCTTTAAACCCAGGCAAGAACAGTGTACCAAGTTTGCATTCAACCTTCTCATATAAAATGTCTTTATTTATGTTATTGAACAGGTACAAATTATAAACAAACCTAAAGAAAACAAGTACTACCCGGTTCTATTAATCATTGTAGAAAATCGAAACAAATATCACGAATTTAAAAAAAAAGAACGAAAAAATCCCTGAAATTACATAAATTCAGCCTGATTATAAAAAGTCTCATCGATTTTTAAGACAAGGTCGACTTTTAAGTGTAACAACACCATGGGCTTTGATTTTACTGCTCTAACTTACTTATTCTTTTCTATAGCCCTTTAAATATAGCCCTGATAGCCCTGTCAAATCTTGGTTTGACTTATTTATCTGCATTCTATCTTTTTTCAACTAACTTTCCATTTCATTTCCTCTTTCGTTCCCTTGTATAAACAGGTCCCCGGGCTTAGTGCATAGAATGTCTCTAAACCATGTTTACCATTGATCTTCTTAAAAATATTGACATGAAAAATATATTCTCTTCATGATCCTACGCATGCCTGGTTCAACCAGAAAACTGTTGAATCATCTTTGACCTTTGATTTCTCTCCCTTTACGTTAGTATTGGGTAAGTTAGGTATTTAACATATCTGTATTGGGTAGGTTAGGTATTTAACATATCTGTATTGGGTAGGTTAGGTATTTAACATATCTGTATTGGGTAGGCTAGGTATTTAACATATCTGTATTGGGTAGGTTAGGTATTTAACATATCTGTATTGGGTAGGTTAGGTATTTATCATATCTGTATTGGGTAGGCTAGGTATTTAACATATCTGCATTTGGTAGGTTAGGTATTTAACATATCTTCACGTTAGTATTGGGTAGGTTAGGTATTTAACATATCTGTATTGGATAGGTTAGGTATTTAACATATCTGTATTGGGTAGGTTAGGTATTTAACATATCTGTATTGGGTAGGTTAGGTATTTAACATATCTGTTTTGGGTAGGTTAGGTATTTAACATATCTGTATTGGGTAGGTTAGGTATTTAACATATCTGTATTGGGTAGGTTAGGTATTTAACATATCTGTATTGGGTAGGTTAGGTATTTAACATATCTCCCTTCACGTTAGTATTGGGTAGGTTAGGTATTTAACATATCTCATCAATAGGAAAATGGCGTAAGAGGATGAAAAACACATTAATTCATAAAACAACTGAAAATTCCATTTCTGCCCAAAAATCCCAAGAGTTTTTCACCGTCATGATTCATATAAACCTGATAATCTCATAAACTTCTTATATCTCATATAATAAAATTTCTTAAACCTGATAATATCTTCAACTTCCTAAATCTCCTTAAATCATATTTCCTATACCTGATAATCTCGTAAACTTCCTGAATCTCCGTAAATCATATTTCTTATACCTGATAATCTCTTCAACTTCCTAAATCTCCTAAAATCATATCTCTTATACCTGATAATCTCGTAAACTTCCTAAATCTCCTGAAATCATCTATCTTGCACCAGATAATCTCATAAACTTCCTAAATCTCCTGAAATCATCTATCTTGCACCAGATAATCTCATAAACTTCCTAAATCTCCTCATTTCATCCATCTTAAACCTGATAATCTCGTAAACTTCCTAAATCTCCGTAAATCATATTTCTTATACCTGATAATCTCTTAAACTTCCTAAATCTCCGTAAATCATATTTCTTATACCTGATAATATCTTCAACTTCCTAAAACTCCTTAAATCATATTTCTTATACCTGATAATCTCTTAAACTCAGTAAATCATATTTCTTATACCTGATAATCTCGTAAACTTTTTAAATCTCCTAATATCATCCATCTTAAACCTGATAATCTCGTAAACTTTTTAAATCTCCTAAAATTATCTCTCTTAAACCTGAAAATCTCATAAACTTCCTAAATCATCTTCTTTGAAATATCATTCTTATCTTTTATCCTTCCCACGGTGTTAATTGCAACTCTAAACCTTTATCTCAACTCCTATTTTAACCCAATTATACATCTTAGATATTGTAAAATTTAATCAATTCAAATTTTAATTCATTAAAGTTAACTCATAACTCTTTATTTAATACTTTAAAGGGTCCGTTCAATTATTTGGATAAATTCAAGGGTAAACTAAATAGCCTAATAGTTATTCATTGATATTAGTCTTTCTTAACTGTGTCCGGAGAAAAAGTGGATTTAAAGTGCTGAGTGACGCCAACTATAGCTTATTGTTAAGACCTATTAGATCAGTACTGACCTATTGTAGAGCTCTCTGAGAATGTGAGCTGGGCGTAGTTGGAGGCAAATGTCGGAGGATTGTCATTAATATCCAGTACTTCTATTGTAACCTAGATAAGGTTTGGGTTTTATTCTCATTAATATCCAGTACTTCTATTGTAACCTAGATACAGTTTGGGTTTTATTCTCACTGCCATTTTTCTCTTGTTCTGAATTTACTTCTTCCAAGATTGTCTTTAGGGGAGCAAAGTTAACTTTTATTGTTATTATTATTATTAATATTATTATTATTATTATTATTATTATTATTATTATTTTATTATTATTCTTCTTCTTATTATTATTATTATTATTATAATTATTATTATTATTATCTACCTGTATAGGGTAAGTAGGTGAGCTAGATATTATGATAAGATCAAAAACTCCATCCTTTAAAGATTCCCTATCTATCCTGGATTGGGTTCTGATCTCCCCGGAGTTTGGGTTGACGGAAAACTCCTTTATATCCTAAGATAATAACAACGATAATAATGATACTTAACTGAAAATAAGGTAAAAAAGAATATACGTAAAATAAAATATAATGTAACTAATATGTGATAAAAATATTGTGATTCTCTCAACCTTGTCAGACCATAGATTTTAATTATTATTCTGAAGTCAGAATAAAATGAAGAGATTAAACATTTATTCTCAAGTTTAAAAGTGCTCATATTTGATACCGAAATCAAGCTCTCAAGATTAACAATGCTCTACACAAAAGGATTTGTGGCGTACCTGATTGAAAGTGTAAGTGAAACCGGGTTTTGTTACGATTCTTCCAACTACAGTTCCAACATCAACTTCTTCTAAACAGTAAAAAGCATCGTTAAAAAAATAAATGATAAAGTAGTTCATCTTTGAATATTGATATTTACTTTAAAGAATTGCATGATTAAATAAAAACTGTGTTTCAAAAAATTGTAGGAATAGATAAAAATCTGTTGGTAATAAAAAACAACTAAATAAAAATTAGATGAATTAAAGAATGAATAAAAAAATGAATAAATGAACAAATAACTAAAAAAAAATAAAAATGTTTATATTTACAAAAGGAAAATTATTGATTAATAAATGAACGAATGAATAAAGAACTAAATTTTTAAGTTTTATAAATCCTATACAGGCTCTTAAGCTCTTACCTGTAATTTTAAATTTCGCCTGCTCTATACTCTGAGCATGAACAGAAGGATTAAACAGGAGAAACAGGAGAAGTAGGCGGAGTATAATAATCCCGCCCCTAAAAGAAGTCAAGGGCCCAGGTGGGATGGTAAGACCTCTTTCCCGCCAAGAGGGCGGAGCAGTTTGCCACATTTATCTACCAGCCCGAGCCAGACATTCTGCAAATAAAAAAAATATTTTCAATTCTAGATTCTTCTTTCAAGTATTTTATCAAGAACTGATTCTTTGCCACAAACTTTGATTTTAAAATCCCTATTTCTTTGCAACCTAAGGTCGTAGACCTTAGATATTGCATACAATGAATTCTGTTAGATCTAATAATCTAAATTTGAAATGATAAAGGTTTACACAATTAAGTTGCGAACATATTGGGATTACAAAATTTAAATTTCTTTGTACAAATATGGTTTTGGGATATTTCCTAATAGGACATTTCCTAGATAGGACATTTCCTAGATAGGACATTTCATTGACAAGGCATTTCAAAGATAGGACAACTCATAGAAGAAGAGTTTTTTGAGACTAGATAAATAATTCCTTTTTTTCCATATAACCCTCCTACTGGATGATTGAACTGGTGTATCGACCGGCCCTGTATAGAAATAATGCCAATCACTAAATCCAATAAACAAACATAACCCACCAACCTACTTATAGTACAACAGAGTTTCTACATGGGCTAACATACATTTTAATCTAGTTGTACACGTTTTCTAGAAACATCCATTAAACTGGTTTTCACGAACTGCAAAGATTTTAATCGCCTCAAAAAGAAATACGATCAATCTATTTCAACGACATTAAAACTTTGATATATGTTTAAATTTTATATTTCCAAAATTTTTTAAATCCGAATCGATTTAAATCTTAATATCTCCTTTTATGTTAGATTGAATACACGAATTTGTATCTTTTAATTGATTTAAATGTTAATAGGAATTAAATAATGTTTGAAACACACTAAGTAAAACTGTCTTTGAGTAAAACGGGAATGTAGACAGAAGGAGCTTGAAATATTCAAATTTTTATAAGCAGGGAATAAGAAAGAAACGGGAAAGTGGATGGAAAATCGGGGATTTAAATATACGAAGTAGAGGAAGAGTAAGAGATAAACGGGGGTTTAATTTGAAGAAGAAGAGGATAAGTAAGAGATAAACGTGAGTTTAATTTGAAGAAGAAGAGGATAAGTAAGAGATAAATGGGAGTTAAAATTTGAAGAAGAAGAGGATAAGTAAGAGATAAACGGGAGTTTAATTTGAAGAAGTTAAGGATAAGTAAGAGATAAACGGGAGTTTAAATTGAAGAAGTAGAGGAAGATTGAGAGATAAACGGGAGTTTAATTTGAAGAAGTAAAGGATAAGTAAGAGATAAACGGGAGTTTAATTTGAAGAAGAAGAGAATAAGTAAGAGATAAACGGGAGTTTAAATTTAAGAAGTAGAGGATAAGTAAGAGATAAACGGGAGTTTAAATTGAAGGAGCAGGTACTTTTTGACCTCGTAGCTCATCTAGTTTGATTTTACGCACAAGTACAAGAGAAGCAAATTTATTTGCATACATATATTATGAGGATGGAATGAGGATGGAAGTATCAGTTGTTAAGATGGAATGAAAATGGAAGAAGCAGTTGTGAAGTTGGAATGAGGAAGGAAAAAGCAGTTGTGAGAATGGAAGAAGCAGTTGTTGTTGTGAAGATAGAATGAGGTCGGAAAAAGCATTTGTGAGGATGTAAGAAGCAGTTGTTGTGGTGAGGGTAGAACGAGGATGGAAGAAGCAGTTGTTGTTGTGAGGATAGAATGAGGATGGAAGAAGCAGTTGTGAGAATGGAAAAATTGTTTGGAAGGTTGGATCTAGCGAGAATATGAATGGAGTACAAGACGGATGCAAGAAACTGATTTTAATTAGCATGAAATTTGCTCTCTTCACCTTTTTGCAAAATAATATTTGCACATTGATATTTTGTATCCTGTCAACCGGCGTTTATTCTGCCCATATATTTCACAATTTCCTTGATTAAATAAAATGTGTTCCTCCTCAAACATAATTTTGATTCTATCTAAAAATAAACTTTTTATGTATGAAGTCACAGTTTTATCAGGAATATAAAATCTGCTATTGCAAAAACAAAGGTCATTGAAAACTCTACTCGCAATCTTAAAAGTTTCCAAAATCTGATGTTTTTAATTCTTATTAAAATAAAAGCTAAATTTTTTTTTTTAATCTTTGATTTTTTTTTGTCATTTAATATTTTTTATTTCATTTCGGATGAAAGACTTATTAGTCTGAACGTAACAGAAAAAAAAAAATTTTGTCTTTTTGTATCACTTAATATTTACGTTAAACACTGCCACCTCATTAATCTCCACTATTTTTCATTTTTATTTAAATCCATTTAAGTATTCATCGTTTTCGTTTTGTTGATTACGTCATGTAAAAAAGCAAAGGTAATTTCTAAAATCAAGAAATTTTTATTTTGGTCTTTTTAATATAGGTTCACTTTTTGTTAAATATAATTTTTCCTTACAATATTGAGATGAAACGAATTAATTAATCAATTTTTCTTAACAACTAATATAAAGAAACAAAGGACCAAGAGAAATACTTGCATTAAACTTTAATTATCTTATCCTTATATATTTGCAACCGTATATCTTAGACTTTTTAATTCAATTTAGTTCAATTAATTCTGATAGATCAAATAGTCTCACCTCTTACCATTAGCTCTCAAAGATATTGGGATTAAAGAAATTAGAGTTTTTGGAAAGTAATCAGTTCCTTTACTCGTCAAATTTGTTCATATTTTCATAAAAGGTTAGAACTGAAGAACCCCTTGTAAAAACCTAGTTTTGAGTTAGTATTTGAAACCATGTTTAGTGTTTTCCTAATGCACACCGAGGAATAAAATATTCTGAATTCAATCCTTTCAATCCTGCGGTTGATTAAAACTGAATAAAATAGTAAACTGTAATATTTGAACCTTGTCTAGCTGCTGCTGTCCCCTCGGGCAAACCTGGAGATTTGTTTCATCCAAACATTCCTGTGTACAGCGCTTTTCACAGCTGTAACTACAGATATCTGTTAATGTATCACTAATCTCTTACGATGTTGTTCAATACTCACGTTTAAGTCACTTTTGTTCAGCTACACAGAAAAGTATTGAGTTTGATTTCACTAAGTAACTTCTTGGGTTTCACAGGTTTTTAGTCTTCACACCCTTATACACTCCACCCTATTCTAAATCATTGGAACTACTGAGCTAAACCGGGCACCCATTTTACACTTTAGGGCCCCTGAGTCGGGAAAAAAGAACGAATTTCACCAACTTACTTTTTATATTCTTGTCACACAGACTTTAACGTATTAAAATTCGATCTCAGTAAAAATATAAAATGCTTAGTGATTCATGTAAGAAAGTAGATGCATCGATGGCCCTGGTTTCTACCTGGAATTGAAGCCACCCAATCTATGGTACTCAACTTTATCTATCTATCTATCTGTATATGTAAGTATATATACTATCCCCGTTTACCAACTAACTCTACTACCCACCTGTGAGGACTTAAAAGATATTTTTCACAAAATATTCAATAGTTTTTTAATTAAATTATTCAAAATTTGTAAATAAACGCTAAATTTCTGCGATGTTTTCTAAATAGTATATATCCCGTACATATATTTAATACGATAGCCTGCCTCTTTGAAACAAGTACTTAGAATACATACATTTAAACCAAATTTAAAAATTATATTTAAAAAAACCGGATTCATAACAAATACGCAAGAGCAGAATTTTATTTGCAAAAAATGTGAGATATAAACTTCCCTTTGAATACATTCTTGAGCAGCTTGGCCTGGCTCCACGGGAAAGCACAGGTCACTGGTCGACAGAGGTTTATAGCTGCCTAACTGTCTAGCTATCTGTCTATTTTTGTCCCAATAATTCGTCATATTTTTATTGTATCCCCCCCCCCCCGGACACTCCTTTAAGGATTTTATATTATAGTGGAAGCAAACGACTAGTTAGAGAGATTACCTAAATTACCGTGGACAACTTTTACCATTTTTTAATGGCATGTTTTCAAATAATAAAAAAGACCTACAGAAAAACTAGATATGATTCGCTGCTACTTCATTCTCCGACATTATCGTGAGTTTACAGTTAAGAAGTTATTTAAAATTCTCTGCCAGGCAGAATTTTTAAATAGCTTGATTTAAATTGTTTTAAATCTATTTGAAAGTTAGAATTCGCTGATTTTGGCAGATTTAAGTACTTTTCTTGTGTTCCTAGTCCTGCAACCCCCCTACTTTATCTCCTATCTGCCATTTGATGCATAATTTTAGCCCCCCTATCATTGAAGCCTGCAAACGTTGCATGATGAAAATTTTTATAAAAATTGCAAACATTTTAACCAATTTTAGAAACTTAAAGTAGTGTTATTCTCAAAATACCGAGAGCCTCCTTTACTTATCAAAAGCACTTTGTTGAAATTTAAATCTTGATAGAGGTTTCGTGGTTTTTCTACGGAAATCCAGGCGTAACTGTTTCCTATTTATTTTTTTCTATTGTAGTTGTATATAAAATAAAATAACAGATTTGAGAAGATTTCAGAATAGTTTTTTCCTCTAGTTTTAAAAAAGTAATGATTAACAGCAAGAAATTGTTCCTAAATAATTTTTTAAAAGCAAGATTTTTTTAGGTGATTCTCAACACTTCTTTGCAAATAGAACTTTTATGTAAAATAACTCTCAAACTCCAGAATTATGATTCCTGCACCCTTGTCACATTTTAACAAAAAAAAAATTTCTTTTATGCTGGTTATTATATCGTTAGAACTGACGAGGGTCAACCCAGACCAAAATATATTTTCAATAAATGTGGAACTAACATCTACTTTTTTACTCTACAGAGTTTTGGTCCATCACCATCACCGAATTTAAAATGTAAAATATGCTTTTTGTTGTTGTTAGCAATACACGTTAGTTATGCAGAAGTAGAAAAGTTTATAAGGATGTATGATAAAGGATGTAGAATGATTTGGCTGTGATATTATTGTAAACAATAGTTTTGAATTATTGATTAAAAACATTTATAAATGTCTACACAGCGCTATAGCTGAGTTTTTATTCAAGGTAAACCACACATCCAATTAATCAATCACTATAAAACTTGAGCTTTCACTGCTTATCAATGGTTAATAAAAAAGAAATTGATTTATCCAAACTTTTTGTTTAAAGATTAATTTAACAAGACTGATGTATTGCATTGCAACTTTATTAGCTGATTAGTTCAAACATGATCAGCTAGTAGTGCTGATAAATAATAACTTAATCAGCTAGTACCAATTGTTAAATATAACTTAATCATCTAGTAGCGCTGATTGATTAAAACTTATTTAGTTGGTAAAGCTGATTAGTTCAAACATAATCAGCAAGTAGAGCTGATTAATTGAAACATGTTCAGTATGTAGAGCTGATTAATTCAAACTTGCTCAGCTAGTAGAGCTGATTAATCAAAATTAAATAGTTACTAGAGCTGATTATTTCAAACTTGATCAGCTAGTAGATATGATTAAATAAAAATTGATCAGTTAGTAGAGGGGATTAATTAAAACATGTTCAGCTAGTATAGCTGATTAATCAAAACACGTTCAATTAGTAGAGCTGATTATTTCTAACTTGATCATCTAGTAGAGCTGATTATTCAAACATGTTCAGTTAGTAGAGCTACTTAATTAAAACATGTTAATCCAGTAGAGCTGATTAAATAAAACTTCATCAGCTATTAGAGCTGATTTTATAAAGCGTAATCAGCTAGTATATCTAATTGATTAAAAAATGTTCATTATTTAAACTTGATCAGGTAGTAGATCTGATTATATAAACCTTGATCAGCTAGTAGAGCTGATTAAATAAAACTTAATCATTAAACTTTTGTAACTATTTAATTGTTTTACTTCACATATGCTATTTTAAAAAGGGTCTGAAGGGTGCATTAATAAATTTTACTTTATGTAAAAGGTTGATTAAATACGACTGGCCAGTAGTAAGTTGTAATTAATAAAAACGAACATGGTTTTCCACAGAGCACTATACATACAATGTGTTTTTTGTTCCTTTTTAATAACATTTTTTAGTTTTAAAATGTTTATTGTATCATGTAAAAAATCGATAATTATGTACATATTTATATATATTATTACTAGCTAAATAAGGACAAATTTTATCAGAAAAGATAGTAATTGTTTATGTTTTGGAGGTCAAATAATTTCTTTAACAAGTCAGAAAATACTTAGCAATGAATTTTTAATACGAAAGTAATCCAATTTAACCTTGCTTTATATTTAGCAATGTATCTACATGAAAATGATGTTGATATTAACCATTTATGTAAAATTTAAACACATTTCGTAAAGTTTCTTTAAAAAATGTAGATTTTTTACCATTTTTAAGTTAGTCTAACAAAAATTCTAAAATTTGCAATTTTAAAAAATGTCAAATTTAAAATCTTTAAAAATTAAGCAAAGTCACACTGTAGGGACGGTAATTGGACTATTTATGAGTCCCATCCTGATCAAATACGGAGGAGGAGGGGGGGGGGGGGCATAAGCCTATCCGATGATCCTCTTGAAAAATAAAAACTAATTTGTCAAAAAATATTGTGGGGAAAGTGAGAACTGTAACTGTAAAATAGTCATGATGAACTATAGTGAAATATTTGTGAATATATGTAAGTGTAGAACTAAATGCGTATTTAATGTATGTCAACTAATAAGTCTTAACTTTTAATGTTTTAACATTGCTTTCTATGTCTAATATTGTGTTAAAATTTCCGGTTTACAAAATGGAAACTGGAAATTTTACGGTTTACGTTACGTAAACCGTAAGCATTCCGGTTTCCATTTGATCCGGAAATATCCCGGAATTCCGGTTTACGAAACAAATTTCCGAATCATTCCATTTTCAAAATGGAAATTTTTTTCCCGAAAAATTAAAACCCTATTTATGACAACAATATTGTTTTCTAATAACAAACAAAAATGTTTTTTAAACAAAATAACAAACAAATTAGTTTTTCAAGAATCAAAAATATCTTTTTTCAAGAATCAAAAATAGTTTTTCTCGAGATTCAAAAATAGATTTTTAACACCAATTTAGCCAAGAGAAAATTGTTAAATAAGGAAATGGGTTTCTCTTTTTTCTATAGGAATGTGATTTTACTTTTTTGATTCACAAAATATTTCGAAAATAAGAAATGATTATCCAATTCTTTAAACATTCTCCAGCTATTTTTAGCTGTGATTTCCCAGGCTAGCTAGGCGAGTAGGTCGCAGCTAAATCATAGCTAGAAAATATCCAACTAATCGAAAAGATATCTTTAGAGCTTATCAGAAATTACCAGACAAATAGGAGTCCAGAATATATGTCACCAATTAGTTTTATATTATTCTTGATTTTGTGACACTAAAATCTTCTAAATCAAATCATTCCTGATAGAAATTATTCAACTATTTATCTAATAATTCGCTTCTACTTTTTCTCATCATCCTTTTCATTTTCTTTTTCTTCGGTTCCACATATTCTATACCTGAACATCATTATTTATTATTGTATGTACCTGCACAGCACGTAAATAATAATGCAGCAGAGGAGTAGGAAGGTTAGAAGAGGAATTAGTATTATATTACAATCTAATTATCAATCATTCAATTAATCAATTATTAAATCATTAGAAATTTAATTGCTAAGGGAAAATATTGACTTGATATTTCTAAAAAGAACAAAGAAAGAAAACAATTGTATAACAATTTAAAAAAATGTAAGTTTGAATAATATGATTTATATATTTCCTTTCCAGTCCGGTGCCATCTCAGCTGTTTCATTCTGAACTGACAAGTTTTCTAAAAAAAATCTATTAAAATACAATCTCTAAAATAGAAAAGACCAGTCCATTTTATTTATTCTTATCAAAACTATATCCATTAAAGGAACAATGATAAATTAAAATATGTTTTCAATGATTTCGTATCTTTAGAATCATTTATTAGAAAGACAGTGTTATCTTATTTAATTAAACTAATTATAAAAAAAATATATGTTTTTATGTTTCTTTTATCTTTAATCAAGAAAAGATCAGGGAGATAATTAACCCTATAAACAAGATATAAGATAGATAAAGATAGATTGCGCATAAGACGACATTTTTCATCTTTAAAGATATAATTGTACAGAGATGTTTTAAAGATATTCCTATAATATAGATTAAATAGGTCGGTTGTGAACATTGGCTGTTCTTATGTCATTGAGTACTTGTGGTGTACATGAGTTCTGTAGAGAGAAATTTAAGTTAGTTTAGTCCTTCTCATGTCCTTCTTCAGTTCTCGTCAATATGATATATTGCTCAGTGAAATATTGTTGTTCAAATAGTTCCATTCCCGGAGTTATTTTACACTCTATTATGAAATCCATTAAAACACCAAACCACCCCGCTTATCATTGAAGTACACTTTGACCCCTAGAAGTATGAGTTCACGGACTGTACAATTCTTTGTGATTATGCGTACATAAGCTATCTATGTTTATTTATTTATCTATGGATATAACCCCTTGAAGCTAGTTACCTGCCATGGAAGACTCAATGAGTAAATCTTGTTGTACATCTTGTGTTTGTGTACCGTCAGCTGTACTGTACTGTAGGGAGGTGCTTAAACAAAATATTTTCAGAATACAGGAAACTGATGGTTTAACCATTTATATTTCAAACCTAGATTATTTGATATTACAGAAATCATACTTTAAAATATCTAAGGTTTCCGAAATCGAGTTGCAAAGATATACGGATATGAAAATCAGTGAACTTCTTTACTCATTATACCAACAAATTCTTCTTGTTTCACACAAAAAATAAATTGAGGTAAATTTCTTTTCTTTAATATTTGCTGAAAAAGACAATTCGAATTTTTTATTTTTGAATCGTTTTTACCTTGAATGTTTTTCAGGTTTAGAATACTTTTCGTCTTTCTTCCATTCCCAAAAGCCAGTCCAAGAACCTTTAAAATTATTTATAATTTTACACAATAGTATAATAAATCATCAAAGAATTTGTTCAAAAATCATCTTAATTTTTAAACTTTTGTTAAGTTATGATATAGAATGTAGCCAGGAATATATATTAGAAGGGAATTTACTAGAAAAAAGTGTAAAACGGCCATTTTGTTGTACTGTTTCACAGCAGCAGATTAAAAAGAAAAGTTTTTTTTTGCCTCTTGATTCAAATTCATTTCTTTAAAACATTCATTTAGAATTTAAGCATAGGGATTTCTAAAACCCCTTTTATTTTCCCCAAACGGTTAATTACTGTTAAAATTTGAAAAAAAAGTTTAATTGATAAATTTTCACAACATTACGATGCAGTTTTTTTATGTTCTTTCTGAATAATACTGTGTCAACCACATTCTTGAAGGAATTGTCTACGAAAATGCAAGGGAAGATTCGATTCAAAACAGAATCCTTTATACAGTTTTTCTAAAAACAATTCTGATTAAAGCGCAGATATCTCCACCATTTTCTAACATTATGATTGATGTAGGCATTCTTTACTTCTTTATTCTTTATTATAAACTGAAAAAGAAGATAAAATGATTTCATAAGTTAAAGATAATTCTGACCTAGTCGGTAGAGGATCAGGTTGAATACTCCAGTTGCATACAAACACTGTAGTAGGATATATACTAGATAGCAGGGACCTACTAGTATCAGGGTAGGGAGAACTAAACAATTAAACACAACCTAGATAACACAAAACTGTAGAACATTTTAGCATGGCGATAGCTCAAAAATCTAGTAGGGATGCAGAGGGAGACAGGATGGGAACATGAATAGAACGGGAGAAGGAAAGGATGGGAACAGGAATAGAACGGGAGAAGGACAGGATGGGAACAGGAATAGAACGGGAGAAGGACAGGATAGGAACAGGAATAGAACGGGAGAAGGACAGAATAGGAACAGGAATGAAACGGGAGAATGACAGGATGTGAACAGGAATAGAACGGGAGAAGGACAGGATGGGAACAGGAATAGATCGGGAGAAGGACAGGATGGGAACAGGAATAGAACGGGAGTAGATAGGATGGGAACAGGAATAGAGAGAAGGACAGGATGGAACAGGAATAGAACGGGAAAAGGACAGGATGGGAACAAGAATAGAACGGGAGAAGGACATGATGGGAACAGGAATAGAACGGGAGAAGGACAGGATGGGATCAGGAATAGAACAGGAGAAGGACAGGATGGGAAAAAGAATAGAACAGGAGAAGAACAGGATGGGATCAAGAATAAAACGGGAGAAGAACAGGATAGGAACAGGAATAGAACGGGAGAAGGACAGGATGGGAACAGGAATAGAACGGGAGAAGGACAGGATGGGAACAGGAATAGAACGAGAGAAGAACAGGATGGGAACAGGAATAGAACGGGAAAAGGACAGGATGGGAACAAGAATAGAACGGGAGAAGGACATGATGGGAACAGGAATAGAACGGGAGTAGATAGGATGGGAACAGGAATAGAACGGGAGAAGGACAGGAGGGGAACAAGAATAGAACGGGAGAAGGACAGGATGGGAACAAGAATAGAACGGGAGAAGAACTGGATGGGATCAGGAATAAAACGGGAGAAGGACAGGATGGGAACAGGAATAGAACGGGAGAAGGGCAGGATAGGAACAGAAATAGAACGGGAGAAGGAAAGGATAGGAACAGATATAGAAAGGGAGGAGGACAGGATAGGAACAGGAATAAAACTGGAGAAGGACAGGATGGGAACAGAAAAAGAACGGGAGAAGGACAGGATGGGAACAAGAATAAAACTGGAGAAGGACAGGATGGGATAAAGGATAGGAACAGAAACAGAAAGGGAGAAGGACAGGATAAGAACAGAAATAGAAAAGAAATAGAACGGGAGAAGGAAAGGATAGGAACAGAAATAGAACGGGAGACGGAAAGGATAGGAACAGAAATAGAAAGGGAGAAGGACAGGATAGGAACAGGAATAGAACGGGAGAAGGACAGGATAGGAACAGGATTAGAACGGGAGAAGGACAGAATAGGAACAGGAATAAAACTGGAGAAGGACAGGATGGGAACAGGAATAAAACTGGAGAAGGACAGGATGGGAACAGAAAAAGAACGAGAGAAGGACAGGATAGGAACAGGAATAGAACGGGAGAAGGACAGGATGGGAACAGAAATAGAACAGGAGAAGGGTATGATTGAAACAGGAAAAGAACGGGAGAAGGACAGGATGGGAACAGGAATAGAACGGGAGAAAGACAGGATTGAAACATGAATAGAAAGGGAGAAGGACAGGATTGAAACAGGAGTAGAACGGGGGAAGGACAGGATTGGGACAAGATTAGGAGAGGAAAAGGACAGGATTGAAACAGGAATAGAACCGGAGAAGGACAGAATTGAAACAGGATAAGGACATAAAAATGACCAGCAAGGGGGACAGGATAAGGACAGGAACAGGAAAGAAGAAGTACTAGCACAGAGGAAAGGATTGGGACAGGAATAGGACGGAAGAAAGACTGGTACTTGGGGGCAGGATTGGAACTAGGAACATGTCGAAAACAAGGAAGAACAATAAGAGGGCGTGTTACTTGGACAGGAACGAGACTGAAATAGGGAAAAGGACTGGGATGGGGGATAAAACTGGGATAGGGTACATGAATAGGACAAGGTAAGGACTAGAACAAGTGAGAAAACTGTGACAGGAAGAGGACTATGACAGGAAAAGGACTTTGACAGGAAAAGGACTAGGACAGGAAAAGGACTAGGACAGGAAAAGGACTAGGACAGGAAAAGGACTAGGACAGGAAAAGGACTAGGGCAGGAAAATGACTAGGACAGGAAACGGACTAGGACAGGAAAAGGACTAGGACAGGAAAAGGACTAGGACAGGAAAAGTGCTAGGACGGTGGATAGACTAGAACAGGTAAAAGGATTTGGACAGGGAAACGGACTTGTACAGGGTACAGAACTTTGAAAGAAAACAGAATTGTGACACAGCGACAGGGGATGAGACTTTGACAGGAAACAGAACTGTGAATTGTGACAGGAAAAATGAAGATGACAGGAATAGAACATGGAAATGGGTAAATAACTTGAAAAGTATCAAGAACTTACTAGAATTGATCTCAACAATAGATTTCGATCAAAAATATCACTTTCTTTCTCCCCTTCGTTGACGAACTCCTTTCCATCTTTAGAGTCTGTTTTCTCCTTTCCTCCGTCTCCTTGATTCTTGTAAACATCATCATCAACATCATCAAGACCCTCTGGTTCAACCTAATCAAGGGTAACATCAACATCATCACTAACATCATCAAGACCCTCTGGTTCAACCTAGTCAAGGGTAACATAAACGTCATCACTAACATCATCAAGACCCTCTGGTTCAACCTAATCAAGGGTAACATCAACATCATGACTAACATCATCTAGACCCTCTGGTTCAACCTTATCAAGGGTAACATAAACATCATCATCAAAATCATCAAGACCCTCTGGTTCAACCTAATCAAGGGTAACATAAACATCATCATCAACATCATCAAGACCCTCTGGTTCAACCTTATCAAGGGTAACATGAACATCATCATCAACATCATCTAAACCCTCCGGTTCAACCTAATCAAGGGTAACATAAACATCATCACAAACATCATCAAAACCCTCTGGTTCAACCTAATCAAGGGTAACATAAACATCATCAAGACCCTCTGGTTCAACCTAATCAAGGGTAACAAAAAAATCATCATCAACATCATATAGACCCACTGGTTCAACCTTATCAAGGGTAACATAAACGTCATCATCAACATCATCAAGACCCTCTGGTTCAACCTAATTAAGGGTAACATCAACATCATCACTAACATCATCAAGACCCTCTGGTTCAACCTAATCAAGGGTAACATAAACATCATCAATAACATCATCAAGACCCTCTGGTTCAACCTATTCAAGGGTAACATCAACATCATCACTAACATCATCAAGACCCTCTGGTTCAACCTAATCAAGGGTAACATAAACATCATCTAGACTCTCCGGTTCAACCTAATCAAGGGTAACATCAACATCATCATCATCATCTAGACTCTCTGGTTCAACCTAATCAAGGGTAACATAAACATCATCACAAACATCATCAAAACCCTCTGGTTCAACCTAATCAAGGGTAACATCAACATCATCAAGACCCTCTGGTTCAACCTATTCAAGGGTAACATCAACATCATCACTAACATCATCAAGACCCTCTGGTTCAACCTAATCAAGGGTAACATAAACATCATCTAGACTCTCCGGTTCAACCTAATCAAGGGTAACATCAACATCATCATCATCATCTAGACTCTCTGGTTCAACCTAATCAAGGGTAACATAAACGTCATCATCATCATCTAGACCCTCCGGTTCAACCTAATCAAGGATAACAAAAAAATCATCATCAACATCATCTAGACCCTGTGGTTCAACCTTATCAAGGGTAACATAAACGTCATCATCAACATCATCTAGACCCTCTGGTTAAATAAAGATAGCTGTGTAAACGGAAGACGACATTTAAGAAATCTTATGTGAATTTTATGTTGCCCAAAAGAGAATAGTTTTACCCGTAGCTTGAAAATAAAATATTGAACTTATTTAACCTAGTCGTCTTCCTATTCCACAGTTTTATTGGTCTCACTGTATATTAAAGGCATACCTTGCAGGTGTTGGACTTAGATGATTTATTGATAATATAGATTACTGGAGTTGTGGATCTAAATAATAAGAATAAAAAATATAACGAGTTTACGCAGGTATGAGAAGATACGTGTTCGAGAATTTAAAAGAAAGGTAGTTTATATGTGTATAGTTTATATGTGTATAGTTTATATGTGTATAGTTTATATGTGTATAGTTTATATGTGTATAGTTTATATGTGTATAGTTTGTTGTGAAATATATTTACTTTTTCCAAATGTATATTTACCTCGTGGATCCACCACTGTACATAATTTTCTTTTATTCTCTCATTTTCATCTTTATAGAATAGTTTTATTGATCAAATTGTTTTCAATTGAAAGGGACAGTACACTAATTGCACAATAAAAATCTTTCAGAGTGAATCATCACTATGTATAAGTTGATATGTTCTTAAAGTATCATAATTTTATAAAAAGTTTGATCATAAGAAGTGCAGTGTTTTATTCAAATATAAAACAGAATTTATACCTGATTGGGTAATCAGGTTATTACGTTATAGTGGAGGGACTGTTATTAGCGTAATATCAAGTGACCCTTCATGCAAAATGGATAGTTTAACAATGCGGAAACCCACTTAGCCGAGGTGCTCATCGACCTCTCCATGGGTAAGCTCATGATGTTTAGAAACCCAAAAAGGTTTTGGAGGTTCTAGATTAAATGGGTCTCCAAGACCCTCAATTTTGTTTTCCTCAAAAGCACTCCCTGTTCACAGTGGACTATGGTCAATTTGAATTCGAACCAGCCCAACCCCTTGTACGAGCGGCATGTACTGACACCACCCTATCCTATGTCGGCCGGTTTTAAATTTGATGGCGCGGCCAGACTTTTTACAGTACCCGGCCTATCATAGGAATATTTGACCCACACCACCAGCTTAGTTTAGTGGGCGGGAGATTAAATAACAAACCCTTGATAACAGGGCAAATAATAACTCATCTATGTTAGGAAAATTAAGGTCAGTTAATTCATTGAACAAAAGATTAATTATCAATTTATGAATGTGTGTATGTAATAAATATCGGGTAACAAGATATTCTGTAAATTTGCAGTACGTTGTACATTATTAATTATCTATCTATATATACATTTGGCTTGTCTGTCTGTTTGTCTGTTTTGGTGTCTGTCTGTTTGTTTGTTTGTATCCAATAAACATGAAAACGGCTAAACCGATCAGGCCCTAATTTTTTGAGGAACATCATGTGACCACAGGGAAGGTTTTTAAATGATAAAAATTTAAAAAATGTGTTTTAAAGGTTTTTAATTTTGTAAAAAAATTAAATTGTTGAAAATCCGGGTTTTTTTTAAAAATCCGCAAAAAATTTTTCTTCTTTGTTTTAGAATGTGAACAAAAAGAACATGTTCACAATTTAAATAGAAGATGGGCGCGAAGCGTCCTAAAAGCCTAGTGTTTTTAAACTTCTACATAAAAAACATTATTCATTTAATCTGTGTTTCAAATGAATACATAGCATGGTTAGCTTTATCATGTGATATATAATGACTCATATCTTAAATTTCTAACTGTGCTGTAAAACGTAACATGATTGCCTTAATCATGTGATATAGATAACGTCGTATGAATTGTAATTACGCCTATTAACTTTAGCTTGTAAGATACCAACCTCAAATACATTAGTTAATACAGAAACTCCGCTTTGATTACAGTGTAGAGTAATTTGGTTTTCGTTGAAACATATGAGTTGAGATCGTGTCCTGTTTGAGACATTGATCAATAGATCGCTATTGTCCGGTTGACACAGCAAACGAGATAGCGCCCACTGGTAGTGACGTTGAAAGTTCACGGGATTGTAGAAGAGTGGATCGTATCCTGTTGGAGACATTGATCAATAGATCGCTATTGTCCGGTTGACACCGCAAACGAGATAGCGCCCAGTGGTAGTTATGTTGAAAGTTCACGGGATTGTAGAAGAGTGGATCGTATCCTGTTTGAGACATTGATCAATAGATCGCTATTGTCAGGTTGACATAGCAAACGAGATAGCGCCCAGTCCCAGTGGTAGTGGCGTTGAAAGTTCACGGGATTGTAGCTGTGTGGTATTGTCCTGTTTGAAACATTGATCAATAGATCGCTATTGTCCGGTTGACATAGTAAACGAGATCGCGCCCAGTGGTAGTGGCATTAATAGTTCAGGGGATTGTAACCATGTGGATCATATCGCATTTGTCCAGTTGACATATGCAAACGAGATATCGCTATTGTCCAGTTGACATAGCAAACGAGATATCGCTATTGTCCAGTTGACATAGCAAACGAGATATCGCTATTGTCCAGTTGACATAGCAAACGAGATATTGCTATTGTCCAGTTGACATAGCAAACGAGATATCGCTATTGTCCAGTTGACATAGTAAACGAGATAGCGCCCAGTGGTAGTGACAAACTTTTAAGAGTACGGCAATTACTACATGTATTGGTAAAAATTAGGTCAATAAGATAATATCAAAGATTGACTTAGTTTTACAAGTCTCCTTTTGAAAATTGTGACTCCCCTCTTTAAAAGAAAACGTTTGATAAATCTAAAAATGTGTGTTGATATGGACCAAACCTTTTTTTAGAGTTATTGAATTATGTTCCACATTTTATTGGAAATATATTTTGGTCTAAGTTGACTCTCTTCAGCTGACCAGATTGTTCCGTCACTAAGATTTAAAACAATAAAAATTTGAAATTTTCACCAAAAAGTTGTTTGTCATATATTTTTTTTTTTTTTTCATCAGCTATCTAGAAGTTAAGTTTGAAAACCTATTTCCGATTTTTTCGTTTTAATTTAAGAAATTTAAACAAAAATCTGATATGTTTGTTTCCATGCATATCGTATTAATTTTAAAAGACTAAATCCTTTATCCACCCATGGTAACCTGTGTTAAGATTAAGAAACAAATAATAGCAGTTCGATTTGTTCGAATATAATAGGAGAAAATTGTTTTACATTTAGTAATGGTTAATATTTAGTTAGAATTGATACATTAACCGTCACTCTTAGGAATATAAACACTGTTAAAAATTGTAAAGACGGAATTGATGCAGTGAAGTTTTCTCATCAAATCTTAAAAATGTGAATAAACGTATATTTTGTTCAGCTATGATTTTAAGTTTCTACGATTTAAGAATTATAAATGATTTTCATGTTTATAAAGGATATGAAACGTATAGAAAGCTGGACTCGAACTAAAATACCTTGAATGGGTAATAATGCCTGGGCCTCCGTAGTTAAGCGATGTAAAATATATAAACTATGTCAAACCATTATCAAATATATTTTAACATTTTAACATAAACAATACACGCAGCTTTCCAAAATTCTCTCTTCACCCTTTTCTCTGAATGTTCAATATTCCTTCTGTTATGCCGTATATTTCAAAATGTAAATTTCTATTTTGTAAATTAATTTTAAATACTTTATATATTAATGTAATCCATAACTTCCCAATCGTCTTCCTTCGCTTCATTGTTATCCTAAATAAACGTAGAAAAAATAGATAAAGTGTCACTAGAAATGCGCCAGTAAATTTTTGATAACACATTCATGAATAGAGAGAAAAAAGTTTAGGTTAGTACTAGTATAAGTAAGGGAGTCCAAATGTACAGGAAAATCTTTAGTTTAATAATTAAAATAAAATCAGAAATTAGAAAATTGGGCGTAAATTACTCAGATACAGTCGTCGTCAAAAATATCAATATAATTAAGACGACTTTCGATTTCAATTTTGATTTCTACCATGCTAATTCAAACAGTTATGTTAGACATAAACATGGAAACAAAGAGAAGCTTTTAATCAATAGCTTCTCTTTATTTACATGTAAACTTGTAATTTGAAAAATCACAACTTAAAGAGAAACATCGTCTTCATTGTATTGATATAAACGCCGACCGTTCTAGGACAAAATATGTCATTAAGGTGTAGTTTCTGAATCAAGATTAACAAGTTAGGAAATAAGTTTTTATGTTTATAAAACTGTGGTTTATCAATAACAATGGCATAATTTATAAATGAAATGTACTTTAGATGGAAAACTTTTCCTCATTTTTTAATTCTAAATAAGCATATCTACCTGAGGGCGGGGGTTGTTGCTAAGGGCCACCTTGTCCTCGTTCAGGGTGAAATAGTTCATCACCTCCTATAACAATAATATCAATAATACTAATTTTTTGTAAATATTAAATGATAAAAATGTATCTTGATGAGTAGTCATAATGGCGTAACTGGGGGGAGAGATATCAATTCAATGACCTATAATGTTAAACCTTTTTGTGACAATATCACCATTTGCCCCTGTTTTATACATGAAAATTTCCAAATCGCATAGTTCTAATTTTCTTTAATTTGATAAATTCCAAAGAATTCAACAAACTTGGTCTACAAGCTGTAGGGAATTGTATGTTTTTCTAATGAACTAAGTTGTGGCAAGTGCCAAGCTGTTACAGGGTAACCCACAAAGGATGAGACTGCAAAGACGACTTGAAACTATTCAAATATGACAATACGAAATTTAGATTAAGTCTTCTGCAGCATTGAATTTGAACGTGGTCTTTAAAGGTCTAATATATTGTTTTATCAAAGAAATACAGAAGTTTATAGTTGCAGAGAATCATATAGATAAGCATAAATTCCGTACAGTCGTCTCTGAAGTCTCATCCTTTGTGGGTAACCCTGTATGGTAAACACGGATTTAAGGAGTTCATTTTGCTTTACCTTAGGAATACTGTACTGTCCACCAGGGAGCGCGTTACTAGAAACTCCTAGATCAGGAACTCGGTCTGTGCGCGCGCCACGGGAACTAGAGACGCACTGATGGTTCCTGAAAAATAGCTAATTTATGGATTAAATTTCTTTTTTAAGTCCTCAACAGAAAGTGTGTAAAGAATAAAGCTCTTTGGAACTACTTGTGTACAATTTTTTCAACAATTCGATCAATTGGGACTTGTAAAACTGTGAAATAGCAAGGCCACTTATTGACTTAACTTATGATATTAAATGGTCCAATGAACATACAGTGAAATCCTTAATAACGAATACATCGAAAGAATTCATCAAATGTCGTATTCTTCCCTTTCTGATAATGGAATGTTGCAGATATTTAGTTTTTGAATTAAATGATTATATGGAACTTTTTAAAACTGTTCCAGCATATTCATGGATATTTATTTATTTTCGCAAATACTGAAATTTACGTAATAAAGTATAAAAATCATTGAAAAATTGTCAAGACGACATTTAATAAATTCTTCAGATATATTCGTTACTAAGGGTTTCACTGTACATGAAACACAAAAAAATGATTAGTGTTATTCAGGCACATTTCACTGAATAAGTCGACTTATAAAGCTTCTGGTAAAACTAATGCTTATAATAATATCATAAAAACACATACAATTTCTTAAATGTCATTTTCTCATTCCATATTTATATGAGTCCCAAACTGTAAGTGTCCAATAAAAAGAAAA